AGATCGTGCCCATGGTCGATGCTTCGGAGAGCACAGACAACGGGCGGCCTCCATCCTATGACGAATCGAAGAAGAGTCTGGAGATTCAGAACTCTGCGACTAGCGAAGAAACGCCAGGTAGCTCAACGCATGTGTTGGCAGCGCACCACGAACACCAAGCTTCAGCTTCGACCGGTCGCTTGGGGCAAAGCAAGCCTCCTAGCATCAGACTTTCCGCCGAGGTCGAGCGACCCTCGCGTAAGTGGCTAGAAGGTATTAGTCTCAACTTTGGAGGGTCGTACGTGGAATCTGTGATTTCACGTCGCCAGAGCGAGGCGCTCACGGACTCTACTGCCCATACGCCATCCGTTACGCCAGATCCGCAATCACCTGCCGTGACACCGGCTGATGAACCGACGTCGTCTCGATTGTCACGCGCTGCGTCACGCTTCAACCTGAATAAGCAGAGCCGCCCAGCTAGTCAATCGGGCGAAGGCCGTATCAGCCTTAACCTCAGTCGCTTTGGAGGATTGATCAAGACCAGCAAGGAGCCGCTACCTGAGCCACCGGTGCTGAATATTGCATCTTCCACCTCGATAGGCCAAGCAACTGCCAGCCCTCAACCAATTTCCCCATCAATGTCGTCAGAAAAACAGTTACACCACCCCCCTGGTACTGAAAAGTCGGATAGAAATGAGAAGGCCGAAAAGCATGACAAGAATGACAAAATAGAGAAGGCGGAAAAGCACAAGCATAAAAGGAAAAAGTCTAAAGAGAAGAATGAAAAGCAGAAATCGGGAGATCAACCCGAGCGGGAGTGCGTCGTTATGTGATGAGCGAGCTCTCACAGTTTTAGATGGTAGCCGAATGGCTTATGATAGCATTATGGGACGGGCAAAATATGGTAGGATGGCAAGCGCTTCTCCTTTTTTTTCTTTTGTTTCTTAAACTTGGATACATCTTTTTTTTCTTCCAAAGACAGAAAAAGATCATCGTCATGGTGTTAAAGAATCCTGGAATGATAGTGTTGGAATGCATGATTATCGGATGGCTGGGAGTCTTTACGATTACTTGCCTGTGCCGATAGATTGAAAAGAGAAGAGAAAGAAACAGTTTATATATAATGATACCACGGCGTTGGTGGAATGAGAATTTCATTTTTCTTGTGTGATTTTCTAGGAGTTCTATACTGATCCAGACGCATTTTTAAATATACATCTTAGGAGCAGCAATGAATGTCCCTCATTTTCTTTAAACGGTGACCTACCACAAATCATATCGTACTCCCTTTCACAGTGAATGTTTTCTTTTCTTGTCATTTAGTACATTCAATTCATCATCTCTCTATCTCTCTTGTACATTCAGCATGAAAAGCAAGTCATGTAAAACTTGGACCCCTTTTAGCCAACATGCCGTACTTGGCAAAATAACTCCCTTTCCGCCTCCTTCCACCCACCTCCCCTTTTTTAGTTCTCGTGTACACATGCCTCCCTACAACAGAATCCCATCCCATCCAAAAGATAAGAAAAAAATAAAATAAAAAATCGACGGACATTCCCAAATGCTTTACATACCGCCCATTTCCCGCCCGAGCCCACTGCACGAATGCGCCGGTCTCGGGAAAAAAAGTTGTAATATACACAGGGAGGCAGAGAAATAACCATGAATCAAGATTCCAGATCTAAGAATAGATTTGCAAATAATCTTGGGCCATGACAATTCTCTCTCCCCTAAAAGGATTGGAGAGTCACCGTCATAAAACTGCCACATACAAGCTCCCCTTCCCATTCTTCACACATAGGCGTTGAAGAATCCCCCCTATAAGAAAGGTTTCAAAGAATGGGGAATTTTCTTCTTTTCTTCTTTTCTTCTTTTCTTCGATTTCCATCCCTTCTCCCGTTGTTATGTAGAGGAGTATGAGCCGGGACCCAAAAAGAAACGATATTCATCATCGTATGTATGGCGAACAAAATTTTTTGCTTTTCGTAATTTCCTCCTGCTTTTTCTTTTCTTCTTCTTTTTTTTTCCAATCAGAGAGTCGTGAGTGAGGCGGAGAAGAGATGAATAATTGTCCCTCTGTTGGCCAGCGGTCCTACTACATTAGTCGTCTATCAATCGAGATCCGATTATGGATTCGGTGATGCGCTGGGAGTTTCCTGTCGTGGCTTTTTTAGAATGGAATGTTGGGAGGAGCCTGGCTGCCCAGAGCCTCCTGCTGGTCTTGGAGCTCTTCGGGGGCAGCCTCAATTGAGACACCGAGGCCAAGCTTGGCTTGTTGCTAAACGAACAGTTAGTCTCAAATATATGGTGTCGCTTGTAAATATGGCACACATACCGTAAAGTGGTCAATATCGGCAGCAAAGGTCATCATGACGGGCGGAGCGACACGCTTCTCCAGCAGGCAGCTCAGCTTACCCTTGGAGTCAACCTGGGCTCGGAAAGTGGACATGCGGAAATCGTATTTGGCACCAATGGTGGTGACGCCCTCTTTTTGCAGGCCACCACCCATCAGACCACCAGGAGAGGGAACGAGACCGAGGCTCAGATCAACACCAGCTTGAACCTTGTCAGACAGCTTTCGCCAGTATGAAGCACTAACGGTTCCCATAGCAGCTTGCAATTGAGCAGTGGCGACCCAGTCAGCGGCCTTGTATCGAGCGCAGTAAGAGACGGCACATTCAGGACCTTGAGTCAGAGCAGGGCGTTGCCAGAGGGTTTCCAGACCGAGAGCGAGCTTAGGAGTAATGGATTGAAGGTAGCTTCCAATGTAGATGCCAGTCATGCCGCCTTCGAGGAAAGAGGGATTGAGCATCTTGAGAGATGCGCTGAAGTCATTGCCAGTATACTCGTGCTCGAACTGGGCCATGTCCTGGCCACCGGGAGAGATGGACAGCTGTGACTTGGAGACCAGCTTATCGGTCCATCGGTAGTTGAAGCGGCCGGAGAGAGAGCCCTCGTTATCAACGTTGCCTTGGCAAAAGACCTGGAGTTGAATTTGGAGTTAGTTATCAAGGCGGTACAGCGGCCCATGCGCGGATCCCAATGCGCTGCTGCTTACCTTGCCGGTGCCGTACATGGCAGCGAAGGTGTACGGGTTGATGCGTTCACCCATTGCAAACTGGTGCGACACCTGGAACAGCGGCGCCATGCTGAAGATCTTTGTCAGGTCGGCACGGATGCCGGTGAACATGTAGTTGTTGAGGAAGACATCGCGCTGGACTTCCTTGGACAGCGCCTCGATTGTGCCAGGGTTGCTCAGGCCGAGCTTTGCTCTCCGCTCGGAGAAGTAGTTGACGGCATCTCCTATTGTAGCGGCGATGGGGTTGGAGAAGACGAGGGACCGCAGTGTATCCACGGGGGTGGCCATGATGGCGGTGTTCTGTGGTGGCTCTGGAGCCGAGCCGGTGATGAACGACGACGAAATCGAGTCGCCTCGCTGCGCCGGTAAGAGGTGTGAAGAGGTTGTTGGTGTATCAAGGATCATTCAAGGCCTCACGCAAGCCTCGGCTGTGGATGTTTGCTGCTCTGCCCCAAGAAGCGCAGTGTCAAGCTCCGAAGCGGCTATAATGGGATGGAGTTGCTGAGAATAATTTTCAACCGACCCAGTTTGTCAGTAGCCTGCGGGAGCTGCACGAGCCACTTTTTGTGAGTGACGCTGCCAACTTGAGACTTTCAGCCTTTTTTTCAGCGGCGGGAGTGCGATAATCCGGAGCCGATGGCCGCGGGGCTTGTGGCTGAAGGTGCCTTTGTACCGGCGACTTGCAATTGGGATGGAAATTCCTGGATTTTGTATTACAATATAATTCTGTGAAAAAGAAAGTAATATTGTTTACTATCATTGGTGTGCCAACTATCTTAATGAATATACGACTTTCACGTCCAAAGCACTCGATTTTTTTGGGAGCAGCCCAGCAACATGACATGGATTCCATAAGAACCTGGAAGATGGTTGATGGTGGGGCAGGTTCCGAGAACTTGATCAGCCATTGCTGCGACGTACCGAAGTGCTACACATGCTGCAGGCAGTACCTCTGCTCGCTCTAGCATTTCTCTTCGGCTAGTTCTCGATACTTGTACGCTTCCCGTGCTGCGTCCCTCCGTTCTTGCCCGTAGCGCAGCTCCCCTTGCATGAACGGCCTCTTCATTTTGCATCCGTCATTCTCAGCACCTAGAACCGAATATATCCGTCCCTAGGGCTCGCCGGGGTGTCAAACGCGACCCTCAGCTACTCCATCTTCTTGGACCAGCTCTATTATTATCGGGGCCTCTGCTGGACAGTCCAGGTCGACAGCCAAGCTCGACATCTCCAGCTCAGTCGCCGTCTTGTCTGATCCTGGTTGCATCATTCCTCGAAGCGGGGCGAAAGGCTGAGCTAAGCCGGATCTCATCTCGCATATCACACCGCATCCCAGATCGCCAGCTTCCCACAAACTCACTTATTGGATTATCGCTTCTTAGTCAATTCGACATCTGTCGCATATTATTCTACTATTGTCAAGTATTATTCGTTAGTGTTCGAAGTTCAGATACTATTGGTTGCAACCACGACTCTGAAAAGCCCAACAAAGCTTCGGTCAAGATTCCTGCCATCTAGCCAAGACGAACTCGGCTCGCAGAGATGGATACCTTACTGTAGGTGGCTTGCATGCGCTCGTGCAGAACTCATGTCCCAAAACCCTTGCAACAGATGCAAGATTGATATTATGGCTATGGCGTTGTGATGTCTTTAAAAAGCTCGCATCTTCCACTCAGCTCTTTTCCTCTGTTCTTGGTTCATCCCTAGCCCCTGACCCAGTCTTCTTCGCCACTGCTATAGCTACACGTGGAACAATTTCGTGCTGGGAGATATTATTTGACGATGTTTATTCACTGACACGCAAGATCAATCATCGGTCAAATGAAACTATAAACTGATTCAACGGCATTCTAGGACAGCTGAGATTGCGGCCAACGCCCCCCGGTACCGCCGGAGGAGCTCGACCTTCATTGATAGTATTCATGATGTGTCTGAAGATAATGACATGGCGCCGGCCCAGCTATATAGCACCATGTCTGGGCGGCTTTTCCACTCCGGCCGTATCACAATTGTTATGGTTGGACCACCTGCTCGCGGCAAAACGTAAGTTTGGCAAGTCTGCAGCGGTTGGGCCGAAAAGCTTACAATAGACAGACACATCTGTGTGTCTATGGCACGCTATCTCCAATGGCTTGGCGTCAAAACTCGGATTTTCCACCTGGGAGACTATCGCCGAGCCACAATAGGCCCTGACGGCTCACTTCCTGACGACTATTTCTTCCCCGATGCTTCTCCTTCATCCATCATCCTGCGTCAAAAGATTCTAAAGAAATGCCGTGAAGATATCTATGCCTGGTTAAACCATGAAAATGGCCAGGTTGCTATTTACGATGCAGTCAACCCAACGGCGAGTGGAAGACGTTCCCTGGCTAAGGAATTTGCAAAGCACGACGTCCAGGTGAGGAGTTAAAAACTGGTCGATATTGGTCTGGTCTCTCTGTTGAGTTTGCTGACAACAGATGCTGAAAAGACTCTATTTATTGAATCGTTTGTGGACGACGAGCGAATTTTACATGACAATGCCATCAATGTCAAGATTTCATCACCGGATGTAGGTTTCACCAAAGCCACTCTATCACATCCCTTCCCTCCAGCCACTGACCGCAGCCATAGTTTGCTGGAATGGATCCTGAAGTAGCGGCGACAATGTATCTGAAAAGGATAGAAATGAGGATCCCGGTATTTGAAACCATGGACGAAGAGGAACTCAACTATATCAAGATGATCAATGCTGGGGAAAAATTCTTCTACAATAACGTTAGCTTCGGTTACTTGGCGCACAGAATTGTCTTCTACCTCACTAACCTTCATATCAAATCACGGACTACCTTCTTTGCCCGTGCGGGCACAACAACAGAAGAGGATTCGTACAAGGCCGACGCAGACCTCTCAGAACAAGGCAGATTCTATGCCCAGCGAATGTCCGAAACCCTGATAAAACATCGCGAACAAGAAAGGCTGGATATGATTGCCAAGGGCGGACTTGATGTACCTCAACGGCCTCTTTCCATTTGGACATCAACGCGTCTTCGCACAATACAAACTGCTGATTATCTTAAAGAAAAGGGATACAAGGTTCGGCAACGTTCTCAAATGAGCCAAATCAATCCTGGTGTCTGTGAAAAGATGTCAGAGCGAGTGATCAGGCAGATCTATCCTGAAGAAGTTGAGAAGCATGGGCTTGATCCCTATCATCATCGATACCCCCGTGCGGAGGTAAGCTACATTGGTTAATTGGATTACGGAAATGCCCGGCGACTAACGACATATCTTGTAGTCCTACCATGATCTTGCCGTTCGACTTGAGCCTATCATCCTGGAGCTAGAGCGCGAACAGAGCGATCTCTTGATTATTGCTCATGAGTCTGTTCTTCGTGTGCTATTCGCCTATCTCATGCACTGTTCTACTATGGATATTCCCAATCTTAAATTTCCCCGCGACGAAATTATCGAGATTATTCCTGCCGCATATCAGAACGAAGCCAAGCGTATCCGTATCCCGGGCTTGGATCCAAAGCTACTCCCAGGCTCTCCCGATGGTATCAGTTTACCCGCCAGTCGACCCATGAGCAGACCTGAGAGCGGCCAGATGACTCCCGTTCCTGGCGGCTTGGGTAGCCCAGCTGAGCCTCTGGAGAGGCCGAGCTCAGAGAAAGTAATCAACACCTCAAAAGACATGGTGGCAGACAAGATCCATGACGAAATTTAAGTAGTGAGCGTCAATATCAAATTTACAATTACGGTTCAGTTCCCACAAATGAGGAAGCAAGATTGTGGTGGTGGTGGTGGTGGTGGTGGTATATGTGATTGTTTGGTGTTTCATCTTACGCAAATGGATTCGAGACGAACAGATGCTTTACGGTAAAATAGCAAGTTTTGGCAACTCTTCGACGATGAAAAATGTTCAGGTGCTTGACGAAAGAGGGAGAGCCTAGCCAAGACCCCATTCATCCAATGAGATACTTCAAAGCTTCCGATCCTCCCGCCCTTTGCGAGGAAGCAATTTCGTATAATGTCCGTTTTCTTTTACACTTGCCTCTCGGTGACACTTCGAGTCAGCCGCATAGAGCTGGGCCAAAGCCCAGGCGCCCCTACCCCTAAGATATGAAGTGGAAGGGGAAGGAGCTGGCCAACCGGCTGAAGGTGTCGCATAAAATTCGAGACACACGTCTGTTGAGTTGAGACAACCACCCTAGAGCTTCTGGACCATCCTTTGCCACTTTCTGTGCTGCCCAGGTGATGCAAGCGGCCCAAAGCGGCCAGACACGCAGACAAGCGGGTGGTATTTTTCCTCTCTTGTCTCTGTCTCATACACCTTCCAATATTGCTCCCTGCATATGCGAGTTTCAGTTCCGAGATTGTAGGGTTGCATGTAAGAAGGTTTGAGAGCTAAGCTCACACACTAAAACGTGCCGTCCCTACTCTACCTTTTTTTTCAACACTACACGGAGTAGTACTACCTCATAGTCTCAGCTTCGACACTTTTCTTTTAACCTCCCCTGAGCTACATACAAGGGTATCATGAGGACTTTAGGTTCAGCCGTGCGCAGAAAGCCCTCCCGATCCGTGGATTATGGCTCTGTCTTGAGTGTCTGGGTTGTGTTACGCAGAGATTTACGTGGTACTTGCGGCTGTATTTGCTTCTTCCTTCCTTGTCTGATCGCCACGAGAGATTTATAAACCGTTGCTTACTCCGTACTACTACCGCGCCACTTCTTGTCTCATCGGGACTACGCTGTGTCGGATATAACAAAAAGATATTGAGATTTTTGTTTTCTAAATTCACTTTTTCGATGCTGAAAGAATAAAAGTACTGCTTCTCCCTTGCGGCTCCTTGCTTCTGATGTCCCTCAGCGCTGCATTGCAAGTAAACCCCGAAGTGGCCTCGCAGCCTGATTCCCTCAGGCTATGGGATTAAGACACCACCACACCAACCCGCGGAAGAAAAAGGAGGCGAGACAAGGCGAGGCTGTGGTCGGAATCGTATAGTAGGCGGCCTTTACTAATCTAATTACGAGACATTGGCGGGATGGAGCGGGAGAGGACGGAAGCAACTTCCGAGACGGGTTGGTGATGCAAGGGGAGAAAAGGCAAAAAAAAAAAAAAAAAACGTACCTACATACTAGTAGCGTGTAGTATCACAGAGCAATAAGAGTAAGAAGCTATAAAGACACTTTCCTCCTATGGGCTGAAAGTGTCTGAGACATACAGCTTCTTATCTAGATGGCTTATTTCATAAGAAAAGAAGTTGTACCAGTATGTATTATGCATATTGTTTTACAAATGGCTTCAGTATGGCTGCGATGTGATTTGCTGATTATTTTGGGCGGCCTCTTGAAACAAGGCTTGCTTCTAGGCCTATTTGTCAGAGGATGAGCTGTCTATTCTATGTAGCTGATTACATGTGCTGAGTGACGCTATGTGCATGGTCAATCTTAATACATTGGGTAAGCGGCAGAGTTCGTTTGATGGGCCTCTGAGCTGTGTATAGGACAAGGCAAATTGTATATACAATTCTGTTGTGATGTGTGGTTGTGAGTTTGGTGATGAAAGAGACTTGACGGCTTATCCGATGAAGTTCTACTTGCAGCCCAAGCGTGCAGAATCTGTTTCAACTACTTCCTTGCATTGCAACCATGTTTATTCTACCTATTAATACTCGCGCCGGTAGCTAGAAAGCCCAAAATTGCCCCTGGGGCCTGAGCCATCCATCTCATCTAACACGTTATAGCTTCAAGTAGCTGTTGATCGCGAGATAGGTAGGCTGACTGCCACTAGTCTTCTATACTTGGTAATCCAGATTCCCAGAGACAGTTCAAGAACGTACATGTATGCTGAGATTGCGTAGATTGTGCCTTTTTCTAGGATTATACGACTGTTAACTGGTTCGAGATGTTCCACGTCATGGTACATAAAAGACTGGCTTTCAATTGAGCTTGTAAGTAACCCAGAACACTGTCTCGATTTCATATCTGTAACCAGGTGGCTTAAAGAAAAAAGTTGGAGAGCTAGTTGTAGGCGTCATAGCTGCATCTGCTTTCCACATTCTTCATGGTTTGCTTCCCACTTCGAAGCATGGGCAGCCCTCCTTTCTGCCGTGGCGTTTTCATCATTCATCATTCATCATCCACATGGGAAGACGGCCGGCTACCTTGACAAAGCATGATGAATGCCCTGCAGGTTAATCGCACGAAGTAACGCAAACAGGGGCTACTAGAGACTTTTCATGACGGCAGAAGTATGCATGCACATATGAAGCACTAGCACCCAAGATGGAGGAGTAAAGACGACTAGAGACAAAGCTCCAGCGCGGCCGGTGCAAAAGCAGCCGCAACCAAAGCTCAACGGTCAACCGCGCAGGAGAGGAACAGCTTTCCGTGGCCGGCTGTATCAAGTAGTACCAATCAGATACCTACAACCTGTCTGTCTGATGTAGTACGCAGTAGGTATTATACCTTGCTCCCTGCAGCTGCAAAAGGCCGTCTGACCTCGCCGAAACAAGCAAGGGCTAGGAGTAAGTAGTCTTGTGAGTGCAAAGTATTACTACTTGCAGCGTCACTACAAACACTAGTGAGAGATACTGCCGACAAGTCCATCTGATTGGGACAACTAGGCCGTAATAGCTTCAACTCTTTCCCCTAATGTTTTGATAGTAATACTAGTAGTAGTAGTTGCCTCTGCTTGTACTTGTAGGCTGTTCCCCTGGGTATAGTCAATTAGTGGTGAAATCGTCTTCCAAATGTGACGCGGTACAGCAAGTGAGACGAGCATTCGGATTCGGGGTCCCATCCGGGGTCCGCTACTGTAGTACCTCTCTTAATCCATCGACTGCAGAGTAGGCTGGTCATATATGACTGGGTGATTTTTAAATCTACCTCGCTTTATGGGTGTTACCCAAGGCACGGAGTACATGCATGGAGCATTTTGGAGCATTTATGCAGTTCTTCACCAAAAAAGCATCATGACGAGCGGGTAGTAGCGTATATTTTGCAGCCGGTAGCAAATCTTCAAGCTCGTACCACTATGCGCTGATGATTTTCTTCTTCTCTTGGCACGTTTGTTTCTGAACGAACAGTTGGTTGCCTCTCGCTTTAGCAGGTACAATTAGTGAGGTGGAGGTAGTGTTCTGCAGTGGTAATCGTAATAGTAGTGAGAGCTTCAAAGAGATGGAAGCTGTTAGTCTTTGTGGCGATTGCCATTCAACCGAGGGAAAAGCAACGTGGAAGAAATCATCTCTTCATGGCAACTTCTTCTTCTTCGCTGCTGTGTGCCGGCTTCACAGGCCATGTCGATGCACCTCCATCGTTGCACCGCATCGCGGCCACCACTTTGGGATCACGTCCCGTTACTTGCGTCGTCCACAAACTGTACAGGGGCTGTTCCAGGTCTCGTGGCCTCGGGGTGGGGCCTGGCAAAGACATGAAATGAGATGCTAGACAGCACTCCATAATGCTCGTAAAGCCAGCAATGAGTCGCCGTGGTCGAGATCAGGGTGCAAGACACGCCCTATTCACACGCGCAGATTGCAGGTAACACCGGGATGGACCTAAGCTGAGGCTCCCGTCGTGTCAATTTCAATCACCACCACGCACGTTTCCATCTGCCACTGCGCCATGACTGTTAAGCTCAGGGTCTCGGTGGATACCTACCCTCTCTTGCGAGAAACATTGTCGACTGTGGAGCACTCTGTAGACTATTCTCTCGCCGTGGGCTTGAAGCTCAGCAAGTTTGCAGCCATATCTACACGCGGCGTCAAAGAGCAGCTGGTGCTACATCCGCCCGCCGATGAATTGGGGCGAGCCGGACAGGGCGCCACATTGCAGCTCAGCCAATTGACGATGGCGATTGGCTGCTGCGTTTCTGATCCAAAGGGAGGCATTGGTAATCCCGGTTCTGCCAACCCAATTGAGACCGGGCTGGCAGCTGGTCAGGCTCTCGCAGCAGAGCTCAATTCGATATCAGGGCCGACTCCACAAGCATACATTCGCACTGCTGTCTCCTTATGCGCGTCGATGGAGATTTCTCGCCATGGGAGACGAAGTGCTCAGGGTCTTAGCGTTGCATGATTTCGGTCATGAGACCCTGACGAAAAAGAAGACTGAAGAGGCAAAGAAGGGAAGAACACAAGGAAAGTCGGTATAACCGGCCAACTTTGGCTCTCGTAGCCTCATCTCTTGAAGTCAAAGTTTCAACAGAATAGCAATGATACTGCGCAGCTGGGCTAGCCAGCATGTTGCTGCAATCTCAGCGATAGTATACCAATACAGCAATAAGATCGCCCTCAGCGTCTGGACGAGCTAATGCCAACTGGCGATGCGCACTAGTCTTGGTAGCTTTCGCCGGCTCTGTCTCGCCCAGATGACTTTCAGCATGACGTTGAGCCCCAATGTGACCAAGACAGAAAGAGACGTGAACAGGGGGGGGGGAGAATGCTTGCAATGTTGGCGTTCGCGCTATGCTGCGGGCCTTTGCCAGCAGCAGCGTACTGGCAGCAATTGGTAATGTGCAGAGAGAGCGCCGAGCTGTGCTCACTTTGCGCAAGTCATGGCAGTAACTGGAGCTCCATGAACGCAAGGGGCCAATCTCTGGAGGGGCAATTAATCTCTCAGAGCTCATATCTCCGACCATACAGTTGCGAGGCCCTGTGCCGTGGAGAGACTGACAGGAAAGCAGACACGCAGAGTATGGAAAGTTGATGGTAGTCAAGCCGTGCCCACAGAAAGCCCCATAGAGGCTGGAGCTAAGATGCCCCCGTCGCTAAAGCAGCCTGAAAAAAGATGGAGAAAAGCACCCAGATAGCGAATACCAGCGCTTTGGTTTGCCTCCATGGTGTAGCTGGATCTGAGTGTTGCTTTCTAGTGGTAGCAGCATCAAGCCGTTGGAGACATTTTTTCACGGATCGGCCTCCCATATGGCAAGCCTTGGAGATGGGGAGGGGGCTAGGGGGTGCCGGATATGCCTCTAATGCCTTGATGCTGCAACTGGTGAGGGGAGCGGAGGGGATTTGAGAATGCTATGCCAATGCTGGCAAACTAGCCATCGAGCACACAAACCTTGGGCTGGGCGCCCTTATCCACTGTGGCCACGGATCCAAAGAGCTGCTCTTTTCCTCGTGAGAATCTCAGGAACGCCATTGCTCCACCATTGATATGGCCTGGCGAATGGTGGTGATTGCCTCTGAAGAATGTACTTGCCCAATCACTCCCTGGGCTTCCCACCAACTCACCTTGGGCTTTCAGGCACAGAGCCTCGTCTTGCATTCGAAGCTGAATGCTGGGATGCCGGCTGCTGGGATAATCCCAATACTAATGATGACGCTCTGCTGCCGCTAAAAAAAAAAAAAAAAAGGCGCAGCTACCGTCCGCGACCCGCTAACAAGGCTCTGAGAAACGCAAAAAAAGAAAGAGGCCTGCATTGGATGTGGTGACGGACACATGATAAGCATCTCGTCGGCTTTGACGACAGGTACAGAATGCCTGGATGCATGGCAGCACAAAGGAGCCATTGCTCAACTCTAGGAGGGTCTTTGGCGTATGTTGCGAACGGTAAGCAGCGCCATATTTTCTTCTCAAGCCGACGTTGCAAGCCTCAGTTAAGCCATTGATTATTGATCGACGGCTACTGGTACTCATATAAAGTACAACTCCATACTCATGTGTTGATATGCCTGCGCAGGAAACAAACCCACACGCGCATGCCGCTACGTTCGGCCCCTTGCTGAAACATGGCGTTGAGTGTTGGCAGGAGTACCTGAGCATGTAGGTATATTGGGTTGAAAAAGAAAAAAATATCAAAGAAGACACAAAAGAAATTGAAAAAAAGACCAGTCACATCCTTGGTTTGTGTACGCACACTTGAACTAGCACTGCTGCACGATGCTACATTTCTATATGTAGAAGCAGAGGCAGCAGTAGCGCATGCGCCTATGAATAGCGTGTCAGATGTCCGTGTTGCCACAGCGTATCTGCTTATTCTGAGTACGGCGCACATGCAAGCATCCGAATCTTTGACTGCGAGGAGCCTGAAGGCAAATCTGCGTGTCTTGCGACTGGGCTGCAATTGTACATGGGAGTAGCATCCTGATCCTGATTGAGCCAGATGCAGTCGACTTGTTTCAGGGACCCGACTCAGGGTTGGCTTTGCTGGCTTTGCTTGGCTGTTGGCTGTGGCAAGCTCACGCACACACACACGCACGCACACATGTTTGCAGCAGTAGGGTGTGCGGCTTATGTGAACGAGCGTCTGCTGTCGAGTGTGAGGTCATCATCCATGGGTCCTATTTTGGGCAAACGATGCTACTCGCAAATCGTCGATTTCCACAGGGGCGCACTCTGGACTGGCGAGATGCACCCTTGGCTGCGCGGCAATGGCCCGGAGAAAAGCAGCAGACAACGGAAGCCAAGAATTGAGCCAACTGCGCGCACATATTAACCGGTAGATGAGGAGGCATTCAGAGACACTGCCACATCTGGCGTGACCTGGATGATATCACTAGCATCATGATTGGAAGCACCACCCCTGGGGCATCTTGTGAGAATCCTGATGCATGCACTACACATGCAAGCCGTATGTAGGTATGAGCGAAATATATATATCAAATTCTCGCCTGTGCATTCGGCCGCAGATCGCAGAGACACCTAGATGCTGGCCCCCCGGCTGCGTGAAATCTCGCCGCCGGTGGGAACTAGGGTCTCCAAGGTTTGGCAAGGTTTGGGCCAATTTGAACCACCTCCTTCGTACGGAGCAGTTCTCGACACCAAAGCGTCAAGTTTGAGTTGTAGCCGTAAGAGGTGGCGTTTGCTGAGGGCAATAAAGCAAGGCGCAAAAGGGGGGTGTGTGGTGGCGGCTACAAGCCAAGGTGGTAAGGGGGACATCCGTCATTCTCATCAATTGACTCTCATCAGCAAACCCCAACGCCTTTCCCTCTGTCTGGGCCCGCGATGCATGGCCCCAGGGAAAGATGATGATCATGAGAGATGAAGACATGGTCGTCAAATGACCTGGCAAAAGGTAAGCGATTTGTGGAAGCCTCTTGCAGAGCCATAATTCAGAAACTCGTCGTTACTCAGCAGCAAGAAAAAAGACGGTGCTACCGGCATATCAGGCCATGGCTTCTTGCCACCCTATCAAACGCTCCGCCTGAGCTATACCCGTATTTGGCCAGACTTCGTAACCGTGCCTAGCATCTGGGGGTAAATTAAGGTCGTGGTAGCAGCCAGTAGGTACCGAGAAAAAGGGGAGTCGTCTGCGATGATGATGCGGTTATCTTTCAGACGTCTGCCCTACCTTGCCGTGGGAGGGTACGCAGGACCGACGTCAACGCGGCCAGCGGAAGCTGTGCCTGCACCTGGCCAGTACCGGTACCTGAGCATCACCTCGTGAGCTGCCGTGAGGGAGCTCCGACGCTGTCTGATCCGATGGGAGGTAAGCCGTTAGCAGCCCGGGTCTCGTCCTCCAAGCCTCCCTAGCTCTATTCCTCCGGAGAGCTGCGAGTCTGCTGCTGTCTATGTGGTCTGGGACGACGCTGGACAGCAGCAAATGGCTCTCTACAGGTACTAGTGGCCGCTAGAAGAGCTTCAGGCTTGCATGGTTCGCTGCATGGCCCTGTCTTTGACTTCCGCTTGCCGAGTTTTAGCGCCAGGTGCCCGTCTCAAAAATGAGCACATGAGCACGTCGAGCCTAACGCTGTGGATCCCCTACTGGATCTCTGGCTGGCGCTGCCAAGTACCCAGACGTAGGTCCTGGGTGGTGGTACAGGCTTTGCTAGCAGCAGCACTCGTCGAATTGTGCACGGAGCCGGAGCAAGTAGAAAAAGAAGAGAACTGCGAGTGAGAGGGAAGAACAGGATAGGATGCCGGCATTGGGCCAGCTGAGCAGAAGAGGCCTTGAGTACCGGGTACCTGCACCCAGCCCAGGCGAGTCCGGCAGGCACAAAGCAGCAGCAGCAGTACCTGACCTCTTCTTCCCACAATAAGCGCGCCCCTACCGGCCTGTATCCATCAAATTTCTCTGCATGGATTGAGTGCATGTACTCCGTAGCAGGTCACCCGCCATCGCGCCGCTGTAGTGGGCTTAGGCGCCCCTCCTGGCCAAGAGCTACTCGCGGATTACCTCACAGTACAGAGATCGGTATGTAATGCTTCGTGCTGCCCTCTGCTCTGCACGCTCGCGCCGTCTCTCTTCCCTTGAGCTCTGCAGCCCATTGATTGATCCATTGGCCAGCGGGAAAGGAGAGAATCGTCCAAGCATCGTCGGCTTTGCGTGCACTTCTGCGGCGTGCAGCTTTTACGGCGCTCTCCTCGTAAAAACCTTCGCCGGGCTGTTGGCTTTCGGTACCTCTCGTGCGTTGGTCAGGTGGTTGCTTGAGGTAGCCTCGCCCCGTCCACCCTCGCTAGAGACTTTATTACCGCGCCTCGCCCTCCCCTCTTGACTTTTTTCCCACCTCACCTTGGATCTTTCTTTACACCGAGCAGACCAAAGGCACAAAGTGTACGTGAACCACCGCTGGCCACGCTGTCCCCTCCCCTCACAAACAACCCGTGGATAGCTCTCTTCCAGGGAATGCGTGGCGTCCCCTCTGTGTTTGACGAAGAACCCGTTGGGCTGATGATGGAATGACCCTCAAGAGCTGTGCTGCAGTTTGACCCTGAGAAAACAGCCAGAAGCAGAAGCAGGTGCCCCGCATCGCCGCAAAGTGTAATAGTGCAGTTCGAGCGCAGCCAGCACAAAGTCAATCAAGCAGCGCAACACAACAGATAGCGATTAATCGTCAAGAGCATCTCCCGGGCGAGCATCTCGTAATCGGCCGTCGCATCACAAAAGATTTCTGTTTCTCGTGCAAGACCGGAATTTGGTCGAAGCCCCGTGCAGCGTTTCGTCTCGTTGAGCCTGTGCAGCAAGACAGGATTCGTGCCGTCAGCATCGCGCCGTGCTCCACAGCCTCCGTCCCGGTCCTGACGTACCTCCTCCACCAAAAAGCCTCCCGTTTCTGCTCCTGAGCCGCCAACGCTACCATCGACAAAATTCGCAAGACGACCGCCAATACTGCCAAGCTCCTGCAGCTCTTTCTCTCGTCAGCCTCGCCGACGCTTCAATTAGCATCGAATCGGCCGTGAGCCTGCATCCGGTACGTACATCAAACATCTACCGTCTCTGTCCCCGTTCAGCAGCGACGCAGCGCCGTGCAAAGCCCTCACCAGCGACTCATGCTGCCTCGCATCACCCACTGCCCTTTCTGCCTCCTCGCGGTATCCAGTTTTCCCGCTGGCCTCACCGAGGCTGCAACTCAGCTCGCAGCATCTTGAATCCCCAACGCTGTCCTCCCCGGCACTTTCCCCTTCGTTGCGTGGCCTTTTCCTGCTCGTCGCCTGTTGCATGTCACGAGCCCACCTCGTTAAGCACCCCGCCCTGCTCCCTCCAAGACCCGCCTCTCTCTCTGTGCCCAGCATTCTCGTGCCACTACACCAACCACTACCAGGTAGCGTTTTTTCGACCTATGGAATTCTCTCTACACCCGCTGCCGCTTGTCACGTCCTGATTGCATGTACCTTTTACACTACACCTTATTAGCAGCTGTCTTCCTAGGAGGGGCATCCATTTCTCTTTTCCTCTTCCCTTTTTTTCCTTTCCCCTTTCACTCACCTACCCATTCTACTGTCATACTGCCTGGTGCAGCTGGATTCTTCCCATCGCACCGAGCAATCTTTGCACTTTCGTATCGAGTTTATTGGGGGCTGCTTTTTCCGCGCCTGTTGATTATTTCATCGCTGGTAAAGCTACCACGTTTTTTTTTTCGGCCCTGCGCGTCCGCCTTAGCTGGTGCCTTTTCCCCCATCCAGCTTCAGCTCCAGTCCCCTTCCCTCCCCGCACTTCCCAGTTCGCCCTGGCAGCGAGCGTGTCACCACAATTTGTGACCTGCCAGTCTAGACTTCGTTTCAACCGGCGTTGCAGTCTCCAATTCTTTTCCTGTCAATACCCTTGATTCGCGGTCCTCCTGATCTCAAAGCCCGATTTTTGTCGCTAACTCTCGACTTCTCTCTGTCTTTTTCTCTAGCCGCTTCTCTGCGCACAGTTCCGCTAGCAATCTCAGCTGGAACTTGACGAAATTCGATCAGCCGCGTTTCATCGCCGCGACTGCAAAAAATCTTTCTAGTCGATTAACATCGGCTCGCCGCTACCGGCAACTGAAGCTTTTGCGACTTGTCGCGTTGCAATCCGCCTCTTGGCTTCTTAATTTTCGTCGCCCACCACGGCCCTCGCCAGGACTCTTTCTTCGTTGCCCCTCACCTGCTTATCGCTTGGGTGTTTCAAACCGGATCTACGATAGCATTGGCGCTCTAGTCACAGTACACGTCGCCCAAAATGTCAACCCACCGGCCGAATGCTTTCAATAGCTTGCGGATGGGAGGTAAGCTCACTATTCGACTCTATACGCCTTAGCATATGGATGAGACTGACTCTTCGGTTCAACTTGCAGAGGTCATCCGCGAGAGAGTTCAAGATGGTGTCACCGGCGAGACTAGAGATCTGCAGTACACTCAGTGCAAGATTGTTGGAAATGGCTCGTTCGGCGTTGTCTTTCAAACCAAGCTTTCACCATCCGGCGAAGATGCTGCCATCAAGCGAGTCCTCCAAGACAAGCGATTCAAGGTATGATTTCCTCACCTCTCCCCATCCCCCCGCCAATGACTGATTGTCTTTATACAGAATCGTGAGCTCCAAATCATGCGAATTGTTCGACACCCGAATATCGTTCAGCTGAAGGCTTTCTATTACTCGAACGGCGAACGTGTATGTATAACCTTGGCGCTGTCTGAAAGCATTGCAGCTGACATAAGATTCAGAAAGATGAGGTCTATCTCAACCTGGTCCAGGAATTCGTTCCTGAGACCGTCTATCGGGCATCTCGTTTTTTCAATAAAATGAAGACCACTATGCCCACGTTGGAGGTCAAGCTGTACATTTACCAGCTTTTCCGAGCTCTTGCCTACATCCACTCCCAGGGCATCTGCCATAGAGACATCAAGCCTCAGAATCTCCTTCTCGATCCCAACAGCGGAATTCTTAAGCTGTGCGACTTTGGCAGTGCTAAGATCCTGGTCGAGAACGAGCCTAACGTCTCATACATCTGCTCGCGGTACTATCGTGCACCCGAGCTCATTTTCGGTGCTACTAACTACACCACCAAAATTGGTACGACATCCGGTACTCCATCAAGACCTGTATATGTTTGCTAACGTACTCTATCTGCAGATGTGTGGTCCACTGGATGTGTCATGGCTGAGCTGATGCTTGGTCAGCCTCTGTTCCCGGGTGAATCTGGTATTGACCAGCTGGTTGAGATCATCAAAGTCCTCGGCACGCCGACTCGAGAGCAGATTCGCACCATGAACCCCAACTACATGGAGCACAAGTTCCCGCAGATCAAGCCTCACCCCTTCAACAAGGTCTTCCGAAAGGCTGATGCTAACGCCATCGACCTCATCTCCCGATTGTTGGAGTACACACCAACCGAGCGTCAAGCTGCCGTCGACGCCATGGTACACCCCTTCTTCGACGAACTCAGGGATCCCAACACTAAGCTGCCCGATTCCCGCCATGGGACTGGTCAACTGCGAGACTTGCCCGATCTCTTTGACTTCACTCACCACGGTAGGCCAAACCATTCAAAGAGGTGTGATCTGATTTCGATCATGAACTAACGTCTTTCAGAACTCTCCATCGCTCCCCAGCTCAACCAGCTCCTCGTACCAGCGCACATGAAGCCCGTTCTCTCCGCCCGAGGTCTTGATATTGACAACCTCACGCCAATGGCGAAGCAAGACATGCTGGCCAAATTGGACTGAGCCACATGTCGGCCAGATGGAGTGTGGCTGGTTACTGCTGTACTCGTCGAAACGCTTGGTGTCTCTGGAAGATTAAATCCTGTTCTCGCTCCAGTGCGGAGCTTTGGATGATGCCAAGGGTAATGGCTCGCTGTTATACTTTAGGCCATGCTGAGAGAATGGAGGATGATATATACGCCCAAAGCTTCTGCTGCGTTGGAGCCTACGCGCTCAGCACCGGGGGACAGGCGAGATGGTTTTTGCTGTCTGTTGTGGAAAGGAAGGCTTCGGAAACTGTCTCAAAATTGGCAAGGAATGGAGGCGTTTTATTTTGTTTTGGTCCCCTAAAAACCTTAGTTTTCCTGGCAGGAAACTAGGTTCATCCGCCAGTACGAGGGAGGCTGCATTGATGCGCATCTCAGGGAATCGCTTTTTTAGACCACGTTTGATGCATGATGGAGCTGGCTGTTACTTTGTTTTCTTTTCTTCTTTTTTCCTGTTGTCGTGTTACGAGGCTCAGTGCAGTGGAAATGGATGATTATGGGGGCCGACGGTTTCGGATGTCGACCTTGTGTCTTTGACAACGGTGTCTCCTTTTTCGCCTCCAACGCATCGGCGTACAGAGGAAGAGGGAATCTGGGAGGTGAGAGGAAACGTTGAAATTGCTGGACCAGATTTGATATCTTGGATCGCGGGATATAGAAACCCTGCAGCAAAGCCCGGATGTCGCAGACAGTGGATGGGGAAAATGAGCTTTAGCGGGATATTAGGACAGGCATCGTTTAAACAGATGAAAAAAGGAATGGGAGATGGATTTTAACTACTACTATGAGAGCACTTATGGAAACGTTTACTGATCCTGGTTGAGGTGTGGTTAAAACAAAGGGATTGAAAATAAACAATTTGAATGGACACACATAAAAAAAAAAAGAGGTGCAGCGAGCCAGGTGAGCTGCCAAACAACAAACCGTCTGAGGAGGGCTAGGAGCTATGCTGGCCTGTTTGCAGTGGATTTTTCTTTTACGAAGACAAAAACATAATAAATAGCATTTACACTAGAATCATCAATGGGCTTATTCAATGTTGGGATGTGTGAAGGCCAATGAGCATCTGAGAATCCCAGTCTGCTGTCTACCATTCAGCATCAAAAACGATGGTAGCACGAGTTCCTGCAGCCGGCCTGAAAGGGATATTAGAAAAGAAGACAGGTAACATCGTACAAGAAAAGTAGTGTAAGTATGTATAACCAAAACATCAAGAGTTTCCTTGAAGCTCGTGATTCTATACGGCATAGCCTTGGCGTGATAGGTGACCGGGCGGCTACGCGAGTGAGAGCGAGGCCAAAAATGCGGCCTGAGGCACTAATGTGGACTAGGGCGCTTGCATGTGCAGATCCGCTTTCCAGCAGGGAATTGGCTGCTACGGTTGAGGACCTGCTTAGCTCGAGCCTCTTGAAGCCGTCGCGCGCGTTGCAGCTTTTCCCGAGCTTTAAGCAGCATCTCAAACAGTCAATTGCACGCCTTACCATCGCTTTGTGCTCCAGCCGAGCGTCGAATCATGGCCGACTACGATCGAAGACAGCAGGGCAGCTTTAACCGCAAGAGGAGATACAGAGGTTCGTCATATTCCTATACGTGTATACACACGCTCTGCAGAAGCTGATGCGACCGTCTCCCAACCCAGATGACGATGATCATTATGACCGGCGCCAGCAGCGACGGCGAATAGATTCAGCGCCACCGCCTGTGCGCCTTCGAAGGCAGCTCCTCAGCATCGCTGATTCCCCTCTGCGCCGATGGAGCGAAGAAGTGCAGTCAATTGCCCGCCTGGTGGCCGACAACTACGATGACGAGAACCTACGCAATACCTTTGTGAATCTGGCCATGCAGCTGGTTGTTGAGCAGCCCCTGAAGACTCCGTTCGTGGCAGCTGTGGTGCTGGTAGCCAACACTCTCAAGCCCGAGATTGTGGACGCCATCTTGACGCTCGCTACCCAAGAAACGGAGAGCAAGATTGCCAAGGGGGAGTGGAAGCACGTGAAGCTGTATTTGAAGTTCTTGGCATGCCTTCAGGCGTGCTTGCAAGGCGATGGAATATTCCCTCTTCTCGAAGAACTCTTTAGCCGCGCGGCTGACTTACAGACTGCAAGCTCCGAGGATGTAGGCTACCCTTTGTTCTCCTCAGATTCGTTCACGAACTAACACTTGTCCATCTAGACGATCGGCACGGAAATTGTCAAGATCATTTTGCTCACGATTCCTTACATCATGGCCGCTGCTCCCGGTCAATTCCAGCAAAAGGCGGCGGATCTCATGGACAAGACCGATATCATCGCGTCTGAGCCCCATGCGCTCCAGGCCTTGGTTGACCCCTATCACCCCGATATCAAAGATGAAAGCTCATCGGCCTCTCTAAGCTTGTGCATGCTTCTGCAAAAGCAGCTGCAAGCTGAAGCCGCCAAAAACTGGGAGCTGACCTGTATCCCCCGGCCCTGGAACATGCCCCTGGAAGACATTGAATCTCAGGATAAGCTTGCCAATGCGCCAAAGCACGAGCTGCCAAAAATCTCCATACCCGCAACGGTGATTGCTGGTCCTCGGCCACTCTTCCCTGAGGTCTATTTTTCTGTTTACTCCGACCAGGACGTGGAATCCGTGCCTTCGACGGATAGCGTGGCATCATCTTTAATAAGGGATGGTCTTACCGACACAATCAACGGCCTTCACTTCAATAGAAACGCCACAGCGAGATATCTGATCGACTTGGACTGCTATTTTGCCGATGATACCTTTGTCAAGAGAGCCACCCCATTTGATGAGCTGCGCAACGTGACGCCAGGAAAGTCCACATGGAAGCCGGAAGATGTCGCTGTTGACATTGTGTTTGCGCAGCTGTTCCAGCTACCTTCGCCCGAGCACAAATTGGTCTACTACCACTCCGTTTTGACAGAGGCTTGCAAACTTGCCCCAGCTGCCATTGCGCCCAGTCTAGGACGAGCCATTCGCTATCTTTACAACAATTCTCCTCGAATGGACTTGCAGCTGGGCTTCAGATTCCTCGATTGGTTCTCTCACCATTTGAGTAACTTTGGTTTTACTTGGAAATGGGCAGAGTGGAGCGACGACTGCAGCCTTCCAGACATCCACCCTATCAAATGGTTTCTTAAAGGCGCCTTGGACAAGGAAGTACGACTTAGTTTCGCTCAGCGTATTCAGAAGACCCTTCCGGAACCATATCAACCCTTGGTTGGTCCTGAAAAGGAAAAAGATGTCCCTGATTTCAAATTTAATAACCCTGGTAAGCCACTACTCCTTGTACGTCAAGTATCATCATCGCATTGATGCTAACCAACTACGTCGCTTTATTCAGATACGCCATTCGCTAGCGAAGGTCAAGAGCTTAGCGGTTTGCTCAGAAAGAAAGCCCCCGATGAAGAATTCCAGCCCATCATTGACAAGATTCAATCTGACGCTAGCGAAAGAGCACTCGATCCAGTCGTTGCAAGCACTGATGTCTTGATGACGGCCATTTGCTGGGTTGGATCAAAATCACTAAGCCATGTCATAGCGTGCATTGAGCGAAGCAAAAGCCGACTTGTCGATGCTGCCAATTCATCGCCAGCGGCGCAAAATCAAATCCTAGCTGCCGTCATGGCCTACTGGTCCGCACACCCCGGAATCGCCCTGTCCATCGTCGACAAGCTGGTGAACTATTCTATCCTTACGCCCACCTCGATTGTGCGCTGGGCTTTGACGGCCGATCCTGTTGCCGATGGTGCTACTGCTGGCGAATCCCTTGCCCAGCCTCACATCTTTGAGCTTGTCTTGAACACGGTGACCAAGGTTTCTTTCAAAACCCGTCAGCTTGTCTCTTCTCCGGAAACAGATGAGGAAACACGCAAGGCTGAGTCCAAGGCCATCGTGGATCTTTTCAGCACTCTCAATGACTTGCTGGTAAGCTGGGCGGGCGGCAGCAAGGATGAACTGATGGAGACTGGCGATGGCTCAAGTGAGCGCGAGGCTACCATTCGTCAATGGGGTCAGCGGTGGCTCAGGGTGTTTAAGCGCTTGGGAGCAATTGAAGAGGCCTTCCTCGTCGAGGCGGCCAAGGTAAAGCCTGGTTCATCGAATGGAGGAGTCGATGCGGTCTAGAAGACCTGGGTCGAAGACTATGACTACTATGGTGACATACTGTAAGACAAAGGAGAGGTATGTGACAAGAAAAACGTGTTGGGCTCGTATATGAGTGAGGGGGGACAATTTATAAGTTGCTATTGGGATTTGCCCGATAGGTACTTGCGAGTAGAGGGTTGATAAGGGTCATGCTTTTTAAAAGCAACGGTTTCGTTTTGATCTTTGCCAGGTTTTTCTACTTTTTATAGGCTAATTTAGAGTGAAATATTCGGGAGGTTTAGAAAAATCAGAATTTAAGAGCTATTTTTACCTACAAAAGTAATACATATGACACTCGTCTTCTTTATTACAATTCCGTCCACCTCTCCAACTTCGCCCAAGGAAGGGGGGATATGCTGAAAGAAAAAATATTGCTTATGTCGTGCTCAGCTAAAGAAATCCTCTGTTATTCTCAAAGATTAGATGCTCTATGAGATAGATAGTAGGTCATGCTCAATCGTTGATAATTTTCATCGTACGCCATCGTGAGCTGTTTTCACGATGACCCTGTCCTCCCAAAAAAAGCTACTTTCCCACAAAAGACTTGTGTCTATGGGAGAGAGAAGGAAAAAAATCAAGTGACAAGTCTTGTAGTCGTTGTCGTTATTGTTACTGTCGTCTTCGTCGTGGTATTATACGCATGTAATAGCGAAAAAAATAAAAAGCAAGATTCGTTACCATCCCCCAAACTCCATTTGTTACCATGTTCTGTTTCCTTAGAAGTCTGTCATAACCAGACTATACTATCCGGGCACGCAAATACTCGCCAATCAAAAGGGAAAAAAGGATGCCTTAAAGGAAAGGAAAGAAAATAAACCTTTCGCCTCTATAAAGAGACTTATTCGTCGTCGTCGAGCTGTAGTGTCATGCTATCAGTTTCCTCTTGATCGGCTGCGGCATCGTCCCGCCCGATATGACAGGCGGCTGCGTTTTTTCGCCCATCCGTTTGAGTTTCTCGAGTAAATGACTGTAAGAGTGTTAGACTCGCAATTCTATCAGATACAGGTTGAGGGCGGCGGCGAAATGTATCAACTAGTTGACGGAAAGACTCCTTTGCCGATCCACTAAGATCTGGTATTCCGTTGGGCGGTGGGCTTGGGGATGGAAAGGCCTCGATTGTTGTGGGATTCGATGAGTGAGAAGAGTGAGTGGTGTTGATGGATGATGATGATAATGAGGGTGGTAGAGAATTTAGTGAATCAGGACGAGGGTCAACATTGGGGGCAGCTGTTTTTGCTGTATCTGTAGGAGGAGGGAACTCAACGAGAATCAGAAACGGTGGGAAGTAGGCATACTTGATTGGCATGTGGCCGCGGGAGCTTTCAGTGACTGCTAGATTGAGCCTCTTGGTTTGCTCCTGGTGCTCTTCAAAGTGTTTTTGGATTCGGGCTTGGCATCCGTCAGCATCGCCACCTCTTACAACGTAGGTACAGTCGTCCTGGTCGCACGTCCAGGCGTCGCCGGGCCCGCGAGGAACTGTGGAGGGTATTTTCTCCGTTCGAATCACTATCTGGATGGGCTCTAAGTTTTCAGGTCGTAGCGGAGCAGCTTGAACAGCGTCCCTGGGGATGTGTGCTACAGTTGATTCCTGCATGGAAACATCTTCCTCTTGCTCTTCCTCTCGGTCAGAGAAGTAATGTGATCGTTTCAAGCCCGAGGATTCGGAGTCCGGCTCGCTATCATCTCCAATTTCGGCGAAAGTTCGTTTCTTGGAAGAAGCCACCGTTCGCAAGCTAGATGTCTTGCCTGGTCTCCGGCCAGGACGCTTCACGGTCTTCCCGATGGGGCGAGGTGAGTCGTCGGTTTCACGCGGAGAAGATTCCCCCTCAACAGCGGATGGCACTGGCTGCTTTGATGAACGCTGAGTTTTATCGCGTCGCACCAAGCGGTAAGGGAACTCGGATATTTTTATAGCGCGTGGGTTGAACGGTTTTTCTGCCAATTCCTCTAGGTATGACCAAAGTTGCAACGCCTGGAACCTGTCCTTGTCTAAATTCTGCAACAAAGCAGCAGCATTATAGTGCAGTACTTCTTGAACAGGGATTTTGTGGGAACCCGCAGAACCGTCTTTCCACATAGGGAACTTGTAATCAAAGTAGAGGGTATTAAGCGTAGTGGTTCCAGAGATGCCTCGTTTTGACCCAACTCGCTGCTCGCATATCTCCTCTACTGCAGAGAGAACGGAGGCAAAGGGAGTTTGATCTTCGTGCGCAGTGGTCGTGGCAGCATCAGCAGATTGAGTATGGATTGCTGGTTGCTGGACAGTGATGTTAGGAGTAGCCACATCCATATTTGAGGCTGGTTTCGATCGCCTTGACAGTTGGATTTGATCAGAGTCGACTTTGTCCATGCTGACGCTCCTGGCAATGCGACTTGAGGACCTGTTGCTTGGTGCTGGACTCGCTCTTTCACGTGGTGAAGGACTGCGCGCTTTTCGAGGATTCTTGAGTGCTACCATGGTTTTATGTACCACATCCTGTATGGACGTTAGCCACGGAGATAGCAACTATAGCGAAGTGGTTGACTCACGGCATGCTCAATTGTGAACCATTTATAGAATGGGGTTTGTTTCCAGTCAATGAGTTCGAGAGATTCCTGTGTGAATTGACAAACCAAGAAAATGGCGTGCTCAGCACACCGCTCCAAGACCTCATTAAATGTTGCCCCGTCGCCAGTTTTCATGGCATACTAAAAAGTCATTTAGCTTTGGCCTTGTTACCGATACTACCATTCACTCACCTGCAGAAAGTCATCGTGAAGAGCTTCTAGAAGGCCTGAACCTGATGCCTTCGGAATTTGGCTTAGTCGCTTTGAGTTATATATATCCACCAGGTTATAGTACATGGTCGTGGCTTCGCACATCTTGTTGAATATTGGGCGATAGGCCTCTGAAGGGTTAATCTCGTACCAAGCTCCTCGGCCCAGCGCCCACACGAGGGGGCGCGCTCCTGGCGCTTCTCCGATCGAATAAGCGATGCATTGGCGAATCTCTATGGGAGTGGATGATCGGACCTTCATGATAACTGTGATTGTCAGAAAAGCTATTGCGACGACGGAAGGGGCGGCATAGTGCGTGGCGGCAACTCACGAAGTCTCCTGTCTGAAGCATCCTCCATGATGAGGTAGCCTCGCACGATATACGGGCCTCTCACAGCGACATCGAGGGCATTCTCGAGCACCTCGCCTTTCCTGTCATAGACGGTGGCATTTCGCAGCTCAAGGCAAGGATAGTTATCCTTGTGGACGTCCTTTGGTTGCGATCTGACGACATTGGACTCTTGCAACCAGCGGATCTTGTCCCCATCAACAGTTTCGACACTCGATGTCGACGCCCTTCGCCTGCGTCCGCTCATTGTGATTTGAGAAGATGATTGGCAACCATAGAACGATGGTGATATGGAAGATCGGGAATATCAAGAAATAACAGATTTCGATCTAGAGGGAGCAGGAGGAGAGCGAAGAATCGATCGAAAAGATGTTTGTCGTGACGTCGATCTTGATTGTGGGGAAAGACTCTGGGCTGACTTGATGAACTGCTGGCCAACTGACTGGTTTCTGTTGGAGGAAATGGAACGACGATTTTCTCTGGTTACAGCCGGATGACCGTGCACAAAATTCAGCCCAGGAGAGCTGTCGACGGTTTTGGCGCAGTTGAAGATGCAAAGCAAATGGCGTGGAAGTTGGAAAGGCTATAGCACTTGGAAGCAGTTCGCAATGCCTTCAATGCTTTAGCAGCAGTGGAACACGCCAACGCGCTAACTTGGCGTCCTACATGGCGGTTCGCGACTAAAGAATGCGCCGGAATTACAATCGGCGGTAGAGACTTTGGAAGGGTCAGCGGCTTTGACAGCTAATCGGTAGTTGGAGAAGCCTTGTAAGGACTCACTGGCAGCACTGGAGGGCTCTGCAGGACAGCGCTGTGGCATGACCCCACCACAGCTTGGCTGCTGTACAAACGCAAGCATTACTTGCATGTAAATACTGTTTAGGCATTTAGAAACCACATGCTTTTTAGACGATGAATTATAGATTCAGTTTATACTTCTCATTGTCTATTTAACTCTTGATGGGGGATTTCGCAATGCGACGTCTGGCGCAGCTCCAAGTCAGTAAACGCTGACATTCTGCTGAGAAGAAAAAGTCCATGAGTTACGCCGGTGGATAAGTAGTATGATGGGACCCTTGCATCGGTTTTTGAACAGGCCCTACTCCGCTGTACCGGTCACATTCCATCTGCCTAAGAGGGGCTTCTGTACATGCTATTCAGCACCACAAACACCGGATCTTGTGTTCCTGCCTTGCTAGCTCGGCGCCTCTCAGGTATTTGTACCTGCGATATCTTATCGCTGCGCTAAGTCAATTTTTTTTTTCCAATCGCCGCCCATAGCCTGAATCGCGACTTGATTGTTGGAGGTGAAAGTGAGATCGTTGTGAAAGCTACATAATTTGCAGCTTCCCTTTATCCTCAGACTTTTCTCCTCTTTTTTTCTTTCGGTCCCTTTCGTATTTCTTCATTTTTCTTTCCCCATATCCAGCTTTGAACTCGTATGCGACGGCTTGGAAAAGTACTATCAACAATGGCTTCGGACGTCGTCCGGGATGGTGTTTTTGGTAGGCAATGTCTTTCTATGCGCTGACTTCGACTGCGCTTCTGCTTTGCTGATGCCTTTGGCTCTGCTAATGCGATTTGGTTTGCCCTCACAGCCATAAACAAGCCTTGCGGCATCAGCTCTGCCCAGGTTATACGAGAATGCCAGCAAGCCTTCAACCCTTCTTCATTCTTCAAACCGATGATCGATGCAGAGATTGCCCGACGACTTAAAGAAGGCGGCCAGTTCCATCGGCGCAGGGCTGAAAAGAAGGCGTCTCAGGTCAAGATTGGCCATGGAGGAACCTTGGATCCCTTGGCGACGGGTGTATTGATTCTGGGCATTGGGTCTGCCACAAAGCAGCTTCCTCAGTTCCTCGACTGCACCAAAACGTACGAGACCATTGTCTTATTCGGCGCGAGTACCGACACCTACGACAGAGTCGGCCGTATTTTGTTCAAGCGTCCATATGATCACATCACACGAGAGATGGTGGAAAAGGAGCTGGAGGGCTTCAAGGGCAAGCAGATTCAGATCCCACCGCTTTACTCCGCGCTCAAGATGAACGGCAAGCCTCTCTACGAATATGCGCGCGAAGGAAAGCCTATACCCAGAGAGATTGAAGGAAGAGAGGTCGAAGTGTTGGAAATTGAGCTTGTGGAATGGTACGAGCCTAAGAAGCACACCCATCGCTGGCCAACAGAGGAAGCAGAAGCCGCTGAGCGCAATCTTGCCGAGCAGGCTTGGCGGGTCACAAAGCAACAGGAGACTGCACGGAAGCTCACGCCAGAGGAGAAGGAGCAGGATGATCAAGCAGTTGCGGCGCATGAGAGTTTCAAGCGTAAATTCGAAGAGCGACAAGACGAGCTCATCAGAGATGCGCCACGTAAGAAGCAGCGCCCTTCCAAGCACTCTGCCATGATGTCTGGCGCACTCGGTCAGCTGCCTCAGCCCATCCACTCAAACAAGGGTAAAAATCTTGTGCCTCCTTCGCCAGATGAGAGCACCCCTCCGCCGTGGAACGACGAAGGTCCTCCTGCTGCCCGGATCCGATTAAAGGTGACATCAGGTTTCTATGTGCGAAGCTTCTGTCATGATCTTGGCACCAAGTTGGGATCGGCAGGCCTCATGGCAGAGCTTGACCGTGTCCGCCAGAGTGATTTCACCGTCGGCGGCACCAACTGCCTTGAGTACGAAGACCTGGCCAAGGGCGAGGAGGTGTGGGCACCCAAGGTCGCCGATATGCTGGCGCGATGGAATGGAGAGCCCGAGGGACAGTGGCCTGGCCCTAAGGCAGCTGAATCACCGAAGAAGCCAGAGAAGAGAAGCCCAAGCCCAAGTACTGGCGCGTCAGCTTCTGCTCGATCTGAAAAGCGATCGCGATCGCCATCTGTGAATGGCGCCTCGTCGCCCGCTCGCAAACTCCAGGCTAAAGGCGATGGAGAGAAGCCTACACGACAGGTCACTGGCGCCAAACCACCCACAAAGTCGGATGACGAGAAATCCTGGAATGGATTTGAGGACTGAATTGGACGAGGAAAAAACAAACCAAAAAAACAATCATTAGTATATCAAAGCGGATTATCTCCTTTCTGTTGTTCAGGAGAGGAATACGACAGCGTTGCTCCGGACAGTTGAGGTCAGGAACACATGCCTATGCGTATACAAACCAATGGCGCAGGGGCATGAGGGCATTATATAGAATCGCAAGCAAATACTTCCACGAGTGTAGTCTCTTACACCATGCTACCATAAAGATGCTTCTTAGTTCTCATGTTTCCTCCACCCAGTGATTAGCCGATACCTTTTACATACACCTTACTACACATTCCCCAGCCACTCCCTCGAGTCGTGCAAACCCAAAAGTCCCGGTATTAAAGTCAAAAGCCAGGGCATGATCCGTTGTTGCGCATTATCCATTCGCCAACGAAAGAAAAGTGTAAGACAAAGAGAAAGAATCAATACAAATAGATCTCAACGCTTCCAGTTCCCATATCTGATATTCCGTAATAACCCAACCCATTAAACCAGTCCATCCAATTCGCCCATTGTTATTCCTTTTGCTCTTCATTTATTCATATATCCATTCATTCAATATCCCTAGACGCCAACGTCAGAGCCTCTGCGTCGTATCCTTCTATCAGCAGCGTCTTAACTTTTTCAATTCGATGCATAGCTAGCTCCAGCTTATCCAACCGTACTCTCTTCTCCACATCCCGCTGCTCGAGTTCCGACACCTTCTGCTCCAGGGCCGCCCTCGCGCGTCGCTCCGTGGCCACCATCTCATTAGCCTGCTCAAACAGCGTCGCACTGAGATCCTCGAGTTCCCGGTTCGTCTCATTGAGGCGACCCTCTGCCGCTTTACGCAGCATCTGCTCCTTGTTCAGAGCTTCAAGCAGGTCTTCTGCTGTGCGGCCACTATATCTCGTCGTCGTCGTCAACGGCGTCATTGTCACTCTTGGTTCAGTCGGGGGCGGCGTCACGGGAGGCGCGGCCCTGGATACCGCCGGGGGGCTCGCGGTCTGCGGTCGACGCGAATACATCAGCGCGGATATCCTCGTCGCTCCGGCCTGGAAGAAGGACGAGCGGGTGGGACTGTGCGATTGTTCGGGCGTTGACGACGGCAGCATGGCTCGCAGCTTGGTCAGCTCGGCCTCGTAGTCTGCCCAGCGGTCGACGGCGGCGGTGGCCTTTTGGTTCAGCTGGAAGACCTGGATTTCGAGCTCGGCGATGCGGGCTTGGGCCTCGAGCAGCTGGGTTGATGGCGGCTCGGCATCGTGGGGGGGGATCACGACGCCGCAGTTGGGGCAGCAAGATGGGCTGGGATCGACAAAGAGGGATGTTGTTTTCGAAGCAGCGGCCGTCACGACCATGGTGGACGACATAGTAGCCAGAATGATGCTGTGCCTTTCCTTGTGCGATGCCTTGTTTCCAGCCGCTTTCGGCACAAGATACGCCGAGCTCTCGTCTTCGTTCAAAGACCCAAAAAAAAAACCAAATGATGAAATGAGGTCAGAGCAGTTGGGCAGTCGTAGGGTTGAAGAAGCACATGCAGGTGCGCTGGCGGGGTGGTTTAAGGGAATGTCGCGTGTGTTAGTGGAGCGCTGTGCAGGGGCAGACGCAAACCTTATGAGGGAGACAGGCTGAGATGCCCTTGGAAGCGCCAATGCAAGGGGGGGCTGGAGACATTGACAGCGGCAAGGTCCGCTTTATCTATTCCACGAGCTGGTCTGTGTGGCTGATCGTGTTGAAAACTGGATTGCCGTTGTACAGCCTCCACGAGACACGAAGAGTTGCTATAATTAGATATAGTTGACACATGCGCACAGATACGGAGCAAGGAGCAAACAAATAATATCAAGACACTTCCATAATATTGCCGCGCGACTGCTTCGCAGAGGCCCGTGTATCAATAGTATAGAGGACTGCCTAAGATGAAGAGCACCTCTAAGAGCTCCAATGTTGCAGCAACGGATAGCTGCGGCAATTCAGGGCATACGCTGCAGCTGTCTAGTCAGGTACAGATCAGGGGGAAAGCGCGCTAAATCCAAGCCCGACTCCATGTCCAAACCCATGCCTACCAGTAAGCTATTTTGATGGAGCACAGTAACATTCAAATGCGTGCCTGGTAGGGTCTGTGCTGTTCGACATCTAATGTATCGCCTCATTTGTTCGCCATCCATTTCGGCGTTCTGAGTGTCCGGTTCCAATAGCGACCTTATGTTTGACTAATTAACCCCAGTTCTTGCTTAGGTGTTTGCACAGCTATTCTCCCGCAGCTGTTTTTGTGTGTGCGACCCAAGAAGCTGAGCCGTAATGATTGCTGCTGACGACATCTGCAAACTATGATGATGCGCATAGTACAAAAGGTGGCAGTCGATTTTTGGTGTCTTCGCAGTTGCTTCAGCTCGGCTTGGCAACCTTTCGCGGCTCGCTCACGCCTGTATCGGGATCTTTGAACTCTTTCCAGCTAATGGGAACCATGTCATTCCCTGCATCGCTGGTTGCCATGATAACACCTAGTTCGTTGGACGCTGTCGAGAGATAATAGTTGGCCTGGTCGCCCAAGGAGATCTAATCCCAATCTGTCAGTCTTTGTTGTCAACACCAGTGATGGAGGAATATCTCCTTACTACTTGGGCCCGAACGATATCACCGGGTTTGAACGATTCGTGAATCTTGACTTTATCCTGCTCCGTCGCCCTAACGTCCTGTACCCGTATCACGCCCTGCCACTCTGTCTGCAGAACTGTATCGCCAACTTGTTGAATGACTACAATGGCCTGCTTTGGCATGAGTCGCACCACGCGCGCCAACACAGTGTTGCCGACATCTGGCAAGACCTCTCGTTTGCGGCCGCGCCTGATAACAGAGATTGTCGATAATTCTTCCACAGATGGAGCTGTGATCTTGTTTAGACGCTTGGCCGGCCCAGGAGCTTTGGCTGGTGATGTGACGTTGACATTGCCTAGCAGCGACGAGACGATATTGCCTCCGTAAACGTGTGTGCCTGGGCCCGCAGCATATTTACTGGCGGGACCCAAGATCGTGCCTGGAATAGCGAGAGAAGGTAGAGTGTCAGTCGCCATCGAAATCAGATTGGAGCTTCTGAAGCAGCTTCGCCTCTTGCGCTACATCAAAAAATCGCCAGTCATGACAGCAGCAAAAAGGCTTATCGCGATAACTGTCACGTGCCAAGCTCTGATTATCTAATCCACTTCAAAATCCGCATTCGGATCCGGATCGGGCTTTCCCAGGCGGAGAGCGGAGCAAAGACAGTAAAACGCACGGAGCGGGTTGTTTCGATTCTACAAGAATGCCTACTAGCACTCCATGTACAAATAGGCCCTTTTCCTCGGATCGATGGCATCTTGGAAATTTTCCTTAAATTTTTTTTAACTTTCTTTGAAACGAATATTCATTGGTATCTTCCGTATGAAGTGCTACTCACAGAAACGTCACGGGAAAAACTCTAATATTGCTTGATTTGCAACCATTGGTAAGACCAACAGAACCGATCCATGATGCTCCGAGTTGACGCTGACAGCTTGCAAAGATCCATCTTTCCACGCTTGTCCCCTGTAAGGTGCTTACCTTTCCGCGCGCGGTACGAATGGCGGGTCGATTAGTCGAGGATACTGTAGGCAAAAAAACAGCAAAGGAACCAACTATGCTGATCGGCCGGAATCGACGAAATCCGCACCGGCGGAGTGGATTCGCCTAATGCTTACAAAACTTCTGCCGCTAACTGGCGACCAGCTCTTGGAGCTGCTGCAGGATCCAAGAGCCCCAGAAGCTGAGAGGCTGGCGCGTACGGATTCCGGTCATGTAGTATCACAGAATCCGTGACCATTCTGCAATCCAGCAACGCCTCTTTTGTGGCCCTTCTATGCAAAAGTACTCCGAGGTGCTATCTCCGGCAGCCTTCTGGATCCCCGGCACCGTATCGGCACCAATCATCTGTCCTGCAGCGGCATTGAGTTGAGTTTTCACTCTTCTGCCTGGTGATTGAGTGAAACGAATGCGAGGTGCATTATTAAATAGATCGCCATGTGAGTCACCCTGTCGACTAGACGGTGAGACCTGCATGCGGGATGTCGGCATTGAGCCCCTTTTGCCGGATTGTTATCGTTGAACCCACGGCAAGCAACCCTTTGTTTCCTGTACGGAATTCCCCGTATTATATGTGCCTATGCGCAATGAAGCTGTTGCAACCAGGTGCCTTGCATGCCAACGAAGCTGTGGAGGCACGCAGTGGGCTTGGGCACGAATTGCCGAGTTCTCCATCATAGCTCGAAGAGGAGACGCTACGGAGTTCTCGTGCTAGCACTAGGTACATCTACTAGACGATAGTATTGCCTTTTGCGGCGCCTTAAGGCCATGCTTCATCTCAGTCTATGATGCGACCAATTGGCAAAAGGACGTGGTGCCGGTCCATTGTTTTTAATAACAAGTTTAGTTCTATTGGTAAGCTTGCAGCTTTCGCCCTCTGGAAGGGCATACGCCACCCACCATCACAGATATCGCATGGCTAACTAGCCCATCTAGTCTACGAGTTCATCGGATTTCATAGACCCCGAGCTGCTTGCCTAGTGCCAGTTGTAAGTGCCCCTCACCCCCTGCTCGTCGATATCCATCCATACGGGTTATACCCAGAAACGGGATTCTATTGCTTGCTCTCGCCAGCCCTGTCTGTGTAGTATTACAAACGGGAACTACTCCGTAGGCGGTCGTCAATATCCACTTCAGCCATGGATGGCGGGCTGTCGCTCCGCTCGCTTTTAAAGCGAATGTCGCCCCAGCTCAGCTTCTTGTTTGCGTTGACTCGTTCCAATCTACCTTTACGGGGTTTTGTCGCCTCTGATGTGCCGTGTCGTATCTCGTTAGGGTTTCTCCGTCTTGCTTTTTCGTCTTGATAGTTGCCATAATACCAACTCAGGTAGGCTATCTGAACTCATATTCTCCGAGATCAAATTTCGTTTAGACGGGATCACAAAGCCAAGACTCTCTCCACGATAGACTCCACAGCAGCGACCTAGAAGATCTCCGTGGCGCCACTCGCCTTGCTGGGCGAGATCTGTGCTTTGGTCTAAGTGACCGTTCCTCTTGGCCATCGCGCTGAGGTCCGTATAGATATGGCAGACCCCGGTGAAGAAAAGGAGACACAGGCACCCAAAGCTGTTTCAAACAGCAACGCTATCAACATTGAGTCTCCTTCGGACAGTGGTTCTGAGAGCGGGAATGCGGTTCACTTGAATGAGAAGCACGGCGATGATATCGAAAGAATTGAATCTAGATCCGACCAGGAAGATGACAAACCGAAAGAGCCGCTCGCGGCTACTAGAAGTTATGCTACAGACGCCAGTGTGGCCACGACACCCGCCCCACGATATGCGGAAAAGCCCTGGTATAAGAAGTTGAATCCCATGCGATGGGGCGCCATACCCGAAGTTCCCAAGGAGCGTATAGTCTCTAGAGAGTATGAGGCCGGTTTCTTCAGCAGACTCACGTTCCAATGGGTGAACCCGCTTATGACTGTGAGTTTATGGTGCAGCTGAACTCTCTGTTATCGAAATTGTGTGAAAGCTAACGGTAAACTACAGGCTGGGTACAGACGCCCATTAGAGAAAGAGGATATCTGGCTCGTCAACCCGGACAGAGCAGCAGAACCAATGACGCTCAGAGTCAAGGAGGCATTCAAGAAACATAGAGAAAAGGGCTCAAAACGACCTTTGCTTTATGCCTTACACGATAGCTTCACATTTGAATTCTGGCTCGGCGGACTTTGTTCACTCATCGCATCCTTTATGCAAGTTTTGTCGCCTTTTGTCCTTCGCTACTTGATCCAGTTTGCAACCGATGCCTATGTCGCCCACGTTAGCCACACTCCTGGTCCTCATATTGGTCGCGGTGTCGGGTTGGCCGTTGGTGTTACTCTCATGCAGATCGTCCAAAGCGTATGTATCAGCCACTTTATCTACCGAGGTATGATGATGGGTGGTCAAACTCGCGCGGTCTTGATTGGCATGATTTACGAGAAATCCATGGTCATTTCGGGTCGTGCTAAAGCTGGTGCCACCAAGGCGGCCATAACGCCTGGAACAAGCGAACAAGAAGATCAGGACAAAGGCAACAAGAAGAAGGCGAAGAAGGGGAAGAAGGGAGCTCCAGAGGAGCTCCTGGGCTGGGGCAACGGCCGCATTACTAGCTTGATGAGCGTCGATACCTACCGTGTTGATCAAGCCTCAGCTCTCTTACACATGACCTGGACCTCTCCTCTTTCCTGTATCATCACATTGGTCCTGTTGTTGGTCAATCTGACTTACAGTGCTCTGGCTGGCTTTGGCCTCTTGATTATTGGTGTCCCTCTCATCACAAGGGCCATGGCGTCGCTTTTCCGCCGGAGGAAGAACATCAACAAGATTACCGACGAACGTGTATCACTCACCCAGGAAATTCTCCAGTCGGTTCGATTTGTCAAGTATTTTGGCTGGGAGAAGTCTTTCATTGATCGTCTTGCTCAGATTCGGGCTAGGGAGATCTTCTCTATACAGAAATTGCTCGCCATCCGTAATGCGATCAATGCTGTCAGCATGTCCATGCCCATCTTTGCGTCTATGCTGGCCTTCATCACTTACTCCCTAACCAACCACGGCCTGGCACCCGCAGAGGTTTTCTCTTCCCTGGCGCTTTTCAATGGTCTTCGAATTCCGCTCAACTTGCTGCCCCTTGTTCTTAGTCAAGTGACCGATGCTTGGTCTTCCCTTCAGCGAATTGAACAATTCCTTCTCGAAGAAGAACAAGAGGAAGATGTCATTCTCAAGCCTGAAGGAGAGTATGCGATTGAGCTCGTCAACTCCTCCTTTACCTGGGAAAAGACACCCTCCAAGGAAGCCGACAAAGGTGCTGCTGGCAAAACCAAGAAGGACACGAAAAAAAAGGAAGCTCTCAAGCCTACTGCTCAACCTGCAGCTACTGAGGATTCCGCTAGCACCCTGGTGGAAGAACGTGAACCTTTCAAGCTACAGGATCTTAATATACAGGCTGGTCGAAACGAATTGATTGCAGTCATTGGTACTGTCGGCAGTGGCAAGAGTTCTCTGCTCGCCGCTTTGGCGGGTGATATGCGTAAAACTGAAGGTGACGTCGTTTTTGGCGCATCCAGATCTTTCTGCCCTCAGTACGCATGGATTCAAAACACCACTTTGCAGAACAACATTACGTTTGGCAAGGATATGGACCGTGAATGGTACAAGGAAGTTATTCAAGCGTAAGTCTACTCCCTACTCCTACATGGTATCAGCTGTTCTCAGCAGCTAACTTTCTTTTTTGTTTTTAATTAGATGTGCCCTTCAAGCTGATTTGGACATGCTTCCACATGGTGATCTTACCGAAATTGGTGAGCGTGGTATCACAATCTCTGGTGGCCAGAAGCAGCGTCTCAACATTGCACGAGCTATTTACTTTGATGCCGATATTGTTCTCATGGATGACCCCCTTAGTGCTGTTGATGCTCACGTCGGTCGCCACATCTTTGATAATGCTATTCTGGGTCTCCTTAAGGATAAGTGCCGTATTCTCGCTACTCACCAGCTTTGGGTTCTTTCTCGTTGCGATAGAATTGTTTGGATGGATGCCGGCAAGATCCAGGCCGTTGATACCTTTGACAATTTGATGCGAGACCACAAGGGCTTCCAGGACTTGATGGAAACAACTGCCGTTGAGAAGAAGGAAGAAGAAGCAGAAGAAGAAGAAGAAGACGACAAGCTGAAACAACTCGTCCTGACTGAAACCGCCGAAGCTCGCAAAGCCAAGAAGAACAAGAAGGGCGCGGCTCTCATGCAGCAGGAGGAAAGAGCTGAGGCCAGTGTGCCTTGGTCCGTTTACGGTGCCTATGTTCGTGCTTCTGGAACTATCATGAACGCCCCCCTCGTCATCTTTGTCCTTGTGCTCTCCCAAGGCGCCAATATCATGACCAGCTTGTGGCTGTCGTATTGGACTTCGGACAAGTTTGGACTGTCAATAGGCCAATACATTGGCATCTACGCCGGCCTTGGCGCCGTGCAAGCCTTGCTCATGTTCCTCTTCTCCGTCTTGCTGTCTATCCTGGGAACCAACTCCAGCAAGGTCATGCTTCGCGAGGCCATGTTCCGAGTTCTACGCGCGCCCATGTCATTCTTTGACACTACGCCACTAGGTCGCATCACGAATCGATTCTCGCGTGACGTCGATGTCATGGATAACAATCTCACGGATGCCATCAGAATGTACTTCTTCACCCTGTGCAATGTCACTGCTGTCTTTGCGCTCATCATCGCATACTTTCACTACTTCGCTATCGCTCTTGTTCCCCTGTACTTTTTGTTCATCGGCGCCGCTTCGTACTACCGCGCATCGGCCCGAGAGGTCAAGCGTTTCGAATCAGTCCTGCGATCCACCGTCTTTGCCAAGTTTGGCGAAGGTCTCTCGGGAGTGGCTTCGATCCGCGCTTACGGGCTCAAGTCCCGGTTTATCCAGGATCTTCGCCAGTCGATTGACGAGATGGATAGTGCTTACTTCCTTACCTATTCGAACCAGCGCTGGTTATCCCTTCGAATCGACATGATTGGTAACCTCCTTGTTTTCACTGTTGGAATCCTTGTTGTTACTTCACGATTCAGCGTCAATCCTTCCATTGGTGGTCTAGTCCTCAGTTACATTCTGTCCATTGTGCAGTTGCTTCAGTTCTCCATCCGCCAATTGGCCGAAGTCGAGAACGGCATGAACGCTGTCGAACGTCTCCGCTACTACGGCAATGAGCTTGAAGAAGAAGCCCCTCTTCATACTGTTGATATTCGCGAATCTTGGCCTGAGAAGGGAGAGATAATCTTTGACAACGTCGAGATGCGTTACCGAGACAATCTACCTCTGGTTCTCAAGGGCTTGTCCATCCACATCCGGGGTGGAGAGCGTATTGGCATCGTTGGCCGTACTGGCGCGGGAAAGAGCTCCATTATGAGCACTCTGTTCCGTCTTGTCGAGATCTCTGGAGGGTCCATCACAATTGATGGTATCAACACCGCTACCATCGGTCTGTTTGACCTGCGTTCCCGCCTTGCCATTATCCCTCAAGATCCTACTCTATTCATGGGCACTGTGCGCAGCAATCTTGACCCCTTCCAAGAGCATACTGATTTGGAGCTTTGGTCTGCCCTTCGACAGGCCGATCTCGTACCCGCGGATGCTAACATGGAAGACCGCAAGGCTGATGCTTCACGCATTCATCTTGATAGCGTTGTTGAAGAAGACGGCCTTAACTTTTCCCTCGGCCAGCGCCAGCTCATGGCCCTCGCCCGTGCTCTTGTCCGCGGCTCACAAATCATTGTCTGCGACGAGGCTACTTCCAGCGTGGACATGGAGACGGATGACAAGATCCAACGAACCATGGCTACCGGTTTCAAGGGCAAGACTCTCCTCTGCATCGCTCACCGTCTCCGCACCATCATTGGCTACGACCGCATCTGCGTCATGGACAAAGGTCGCATTGCTGAGCTGGCCACGCCTCTGGAGCTGTGGAAGATGGATGGCATCTTCAAGAGCATGTGCGACAGGAGTGGCATTCGCGTAGAGGATATTGAGCACGCGAAGCTCGAGTTAGACCAACTGGATGCTGCCGCTGCCGCTGCCGTTGCCAACCCCTAAGGGGAATGGCGATATATCCATTTCCAATCCTCTCTCTCCCTCTACATATATATATTTTTTCTCTCACGCGTTGGTTCTTTTTCAGATAGGATGATGTTCTTTTCTGTCTGTTGAGCCAATGAATGGAAAAGTGCTTTCTTTATGAATTGAGCACTTACAAAAAGTTTTGATCAAATTGGTATACGTTTTACGGCATTCATGTTACTCTTTTTTACAACTTAATAGACCAGGGAAAGGAGGGTATGGTTTTGAAGACGGAAACTGCAAGCATATGGGCAGTCTCAAGTACGAAGAGGCGTACGCTTTATATATAGATATTTAATCCACCATACGCGCCTTTGCGGTTACAAGTCCCATATCTCATAATCCGAGGCATCTCGTGACTCTCATTCATTATGCAGTATTCCCTAGCAAAACTCGAGTGTGTGAGGACCCCATGGTGGAGTTGGCGAGATCAGGTCGCAAAGTTGAGCTGTCGAAAGAAAACCTTGGTCTGATAGTAGTATCCTAGGCATCTCTAATGCTTTTATGAATGTAATTTTATCTATGCAAATCCGAAATAGTAACAAAATGCTTACTCCACAGTCGAGGTCGTGAGGTCAATGTAGCAAAGTCGAATCTGCGAGGTTTAAACCTTGGTCTGGTATAACAATATCCTTGGTATCTTAGTAAATCATCTTTTCTTACTAAAGACCTACATATTTGTTAAACGCCCAGTCCCCTCATAGTCGAGTTTCATGATGGAATAGGTACAGCATCAATAATTCACTGCTGCATTATCAGATGTTATGTGATATAATTCAAGGCTGAATTCATAAAGCACATCAAGATACTGCAGCAGACAATCAGTCATAACACACAAGCTACGTAGATACATGTACTCAAAGAAAGTAGTAGTGCTTCACAATGAAGAAAGTTTGGTTGATTTTACAGAATTTTCTTACAAAGCCACGCGCAATCCTCTATCCAGAAAAATAGTAAACAAGACAAAAGCTTACGTCCTTCAGCCCGCATTTGCCCCCTGCTTACGGGATCTCATCATACGCCAACAAGATGAAATCAAAGTAGATAAACAGGTGAATAAACCGTATAAACTATCATCAGCGACGCCGTGAACCCCAAGTCTTCCAAGACAGATATCAAAGACAAGAACAACTGTGTATACTTTGTAATACCAACAGTAATAACAACATTAGAAATACGCCAAGAAAAGAATAAGAATAATCATGTTAAGAACAAAATGTTTTGGAAAAATTAGTATCTGTTTCGAGGGCTGCCTCGAGGGCTGCCGCTACCGCTGGCTCTGTCGCGCGGCATCTGGGGCGGAGGAAGGCTGCCAGGCTCATCGGCAAGCAAGTCTTCGAGATAGGCACTTGGAGCCCGCTGGCCCGGCTGGCGAGTGTTTAGGTTGACCGAGCTGCTGCTCATGTCTCTTCGCGGGGAGAAGTGAGGAGAGTCGGGAGGCGACGGGCCCATAAGCGAGCCTCTCGAGCCGTTGGGGTAGCTTGTCGATTCAGGTCGCAGGTTGGTCAAGCTAATGGAAGGGCCTTGCTGTCCGCCAGGAGACGAGTTTCCGGCAGCGTAGAATCCGGAGGGCAGGAAAGCCGAGCCGCGAGCGCCCGGAGCGTTGGAACCAGCTGCTGTGGGCGAAAAGAACAGATTGGATTGGCTGGGAGCGGCAGACGGAGTCATGGTGTTGCGGTTGGTGCGACGGACGCCGCGGCCGCTGGAAGGCGCAGCGGGAGAGGCGTGGTCCGAGTACTTGTAGAAGGGCGCGGGCGGTGCTGGGAAGCCAGTCTTGGTGTTGGCCTCGTGCTGGGCCAGAGCGGCGCGGCGGACGGAGCGATGAAGCAGGAAGCTGACGATGACGCGCCAGAGAAGAACGCCGAGGCCAAATGCGCCGAGGATGGCGCCAACGGCGATGAAGACAGTGCCGTCCGGCGCGCTGGAGTGCTTCATGAAGGGCGCATTCTTGGTGGGCGGAACGGTGGGCGCTGGGTATGTCGGAACAGGGCCGCCTGGGCCGGTCAGCGTGGGCAGTCCAGTAGGGCCCGAGTCGTCGGCGGTTTGGGAGGGCGACTGAGTGGGCGATGAGGACGCGGAAGACGCAGAAGACGCAGAAGACACTGAGCTCGAGGAAGAGGAAGAGCCCTTCTTCTGGGCCAGCACGGGAGAGGCCAGCACGGCAAAGGCCGTCAGGGTCGACAAGAGGTTGGAGGCCCGCATGTTGTTGGGGATTTTCGATTTTCAAGAATGGACACCAAGCTGAAGTATGGCAGGCAGGCAGGCGAACAACGATTCTATGTCTACTCAGGCGCAATCAGAGCTGTCAAGTTGATGCGATTCGATTCGGGGTGGAAACTCTTGTTGGGAAGAGGTTGAAAATCGGAGCGTGTATTGTCGTCGCTTCTGCTTTGCTGTTGAGACGGCGGCTGAGAATCGAGTTTGTCGCAGCTCGATATAACGAATATTGCGAGCCAAGAAAACAATAGACGAATGCGATCAAAGATGCGATGCGATGCGATAAAAGGGCGAACGAATGACAGCCAGGCTCCCCAAAAAGAAAAAAAGAAATAATATATCCTCCCAGGGCGGAGTTCGGCGCTGACGAGGGTTTTGGCGATGCTGGGGAGAGACAGACTGAAAACGGCCTGCGCGTGTTTTCAGACCTCCTTTTGGGCCAAGGGCAGACGCAGTCAATATTACCACCATACGCAGCTAAAGCAAAAAAAGCTGGAGAGAGGCCCCCCGTTCTCGTAAAATGCGGTGCTGTGCTACTGCTAGCATTTGCTGCTAGCGGCGCTACTGGAGTCAGCGCACATGGCACACTGTACGGGCGCTGGAATGCAGCGCCAATGACGGGCGGCAGGGCGGCGGGAGAGGCTGGGCACGGGCCCTCAGCGCACTGGGAAAAAGCTCGTATCGGCCTGGTAACAGGGAGTCCTTACAGTGCGTGGGGATGGTTTCTTGGTTGGTTCAAGGTTGTTTAGCGGCTGCTATCTTGGGGATGATCCCCAGACCAGGATATGGAAATCGTGATATGGGGCAGCTCAGTACGAGGTGGTGCATCAACTGAAGAAACTGATATCAAAGGATAGACGATGCAGCGAGGTTTAAACTCCAACCATGGCTATGATGGCTTCCAATGGTTCTGTATTACATACAACCGCAACATGTGATAAATAACTATCTAGGAAATTGTTATTCAGCACTCTTTTCTTCAGGCAGTCGGTCCATAGGTATATAAAATAGGTATACCTGTATACTACTCAGAGCAGTAGTAGCGGTAGGTTAGAATAGCTGTAAAGTCACGACATTGCCATGACTGGGTTGCTAGATAGAATTGCCTGTCTACATGATAAGCCTCCAGGACGTGCAGATGCCCAGGCACCATCTGTCTGGCAGGCGCCACAAAAGCATCACGATAGCGAATGGGCTCTCCTTGCGCGAGAAGCGAAAATTCTCCACATGCTGAGATGCTTCTTTGAGGCTAGCCATGAGGGTCCTGCAGGTTCCTGTTACCGGTGGAGTGCGGGCTTGATGGCTTGATGGCTCAGGTCTGCGACATGCCTTATTCGTGATAGATGATGGATAGTGGACATAATCCAGATCAATGAATTAGAGGGGAAAAGGACGTCAATGTATGGCAAATGTCTGAGAGATGATGCGAACATATATACCGCCCCTACTATATCATATCAGAAGATTCTAATTGAACCCGAAACCAATGCTTCTCTCTAATTCATCTTCTCTCGCATTACCTCGTTTCAAAACCAATTTCGTACGACGGCGGCACCGCCCAGCTGACGCCGCCCAGGACGCTACGCACGTGACTCTGACGTTGCCCAGACTTGCGCTACCGCCGGATCCCAGCGTCTCTCCAAGAGCGTCATCACCATTCAAAGAAGCCTCAGCAAGCCATCCTCTCAACGCCGCTCCGTTCTATCGCCAGCTTTGCCTCCGTTCAGCGCGTCCATCACCCGCCACACTCGCTACCTGATCATCTCCTTACTTTTAAATCGGATCATCACCATCGCGATTTCGACATCATGGAGGAAGAGCGCCTTTGGAAGTTTAGGAAACCCGAGTGGTTAAACAGCATGTGGGCTCGGAACGCTGGCGTCTACGGCGCCGGGGCTCTGGTGAGTTTGTTTTTGCATTGTCTTCAACTCATATTTCACAGAGATAGTCTTTCGGACTTTGTTCGACGATTGAAAATGCCTCGATATGCCGCAACTTCGTAGAACCGCTAGCTGACGTATGCGTTTCCTTCATTCATTAGTTCTCCATCGCCTTTTACGTTATGCTCGACTCCGCCGTCTGGTCAAAGTCGGCCAAGAACGGATCCAACGTCCACGTAAAATTCGTCGACTGGCTGCCGCTCATCTTCTCCAGCCTGGGCATGCTCATCATCAACTCGGTCGAGAAACAGCGCCTCAGCACCGACTCTTTCAGCTATAGCGGATCTGGTGTCGCATGGAAGGCGCGTGTGGTCTTGTTCTTGGGGTTCGCGGCCCTTGCGGGCGGTATGGCCGGAGGTGTCACCGTTTTTGTCCTCAAATTCATCGTCCCGGGCGTCGGCATGCCGGCTCTGAGCATGGGTATCGAGAATCTGGTTAGCAACGCTCTGGTGGGTTTCAGGTATGTATAAACTTTCTTAGCCCGCTTCTACTCTGGTTTGGAATCAGCTAATCCTTGTGTACTTAGCTCTGTCGTTCTATGGATCAGCCAGAACATGGAGGACGAGTACTCCTACAACCTTTCTCTGTAACTGAACTGAACTGAATCGAACTTAAACTTATGCAGCGCGCAAACGAAAGGGGGGGGGCGAGTGTTGGCGCATATCTATGGATCACGGGCGTAACTTGGGGGCTCTTAGGGAGGGTCTGGATTTTCTTTTTCATCTTTTGGCAACAAACAAGCACACACACTTCTCGGAACGTAGTCGATGATGATTTGAGCCCTTGTTTTCTTGTATCAGTATCAATTTGAACTTGAGTCATGTTTATATAATACAGTAAAAAGAATCGGCCATGCATTGATATTTTGTGATCTTTTATTGCATCATTCAGATGAGGCCATATAACCTCGTAGCGTATATCCCATACTATCCATACCTACTAGTTTAGATATAATGTTGGAATGTGACATTTTAATTGGCCTTATAAGTAAGTGATGGCACCATTGTTGAAGGGCACGCTAGGCGCGCAGACGCAGTTGTCACCGCCAGCGCTAGCCGCCCCTGTAACCGATCTCAATTGCCTGAAGCAGCGATTTCTTGTTTTATAAACACAACCTCACCCTGATATCCCATCCATTTCATAACTCTTCATTTCGTCTACTGACATCCCTTTCATTCATTTCCAGAAACATTTACAACACAGCACGTTATCTGTACTGTTATAACCTGTACACGCAAATGGATTCCAACTAAACAGCAAAGGGAAGAAAGAAGCAAAACAGGGAGATATGGCGGACCGCACTCGAAGCGCTGCTCTTAACGGGACACGCACCACCCGAAGTTCCGGCCTCGCAAACGTCCCCAGCGGCGGCGGTAGCTCCAGCAACACCAGCAAGACAAGCCTCTTCCGAAGCCACTTCATCAGACGGCCAAATGCGCCCTCTGCAGACCCGGCCGAGAGCGTGCGCCTGGACGCGGAGAGGACGCCGCGGGGTGAGGCCTCGGATCTTGTTGTGAGAGACCAGCACGGCGAAGTCGAGATTGGGAACCCGCCGACGCCGGTGGTGGATGATGAGGAGGAGTTGCAGGCGTTGGAGTATCAGCAGGAGAATGAAAGTACGGTTTGGCATCTGTCCCTATTTCCTTATGCTAAGATATGAAGGGAACATTACATGCTAATGATCGAATCTGTAGGGGAGAAACAGCGTCTAGCAGAGGCGATTCGGCATTATCAAATTAGCCACAGCTCTATAGCTGATCAACCTGACGGTAAGTCACGACAGGCATGAATACTTTGCCTTTTCAGAATTCATTACTTGATATAGAATAGAGGCCTGAGCTGATTTTCCAATCTCTAGCCCTGTTCGAAGCTGTGCGTGAGAGCAATAGAGCCAAGGTCAACGCTTTAGCTGAAGATAACTGGATGTTCGAGCCAGAGGAACAGCCGCGCATTCCATGAGACGACGGCAGAATCGGTGCTTGATCATGATTCTTTTTAAAGCTCCAACCCCCTTTTCTATCCTCCTACGCCGGTTGTGTCTATGATACATCACCCATTTTTATCCTACTCGTCGCTGCCGAAACCCATGATATGAACAAAAAAAAATGGAAAGAAAATCAAAGAAAGCTTTGTCTAGTCGAGTCCCTCAGCAGCAGGAGCTTGCAGCCCCGGACGTCGTGCCTGCTGGGGCGGCGCTGCTCCGCCTCCGCCAAACAGTCCGCTCATCATATCCATCAAGGGATTGCTCTGTCTCGGCTTCTGAATGCCAAAGTACATCTCGCCAATCATCTCTAGGGGCTCCGCCCACGCCTCCGCCTCGTCTATCTGCGACGCATACTTGGAAACCAGGCCCTTGTAGACTTCGGGAGCGCCTCGCTGGATGGCCAGGAGCAGCAGGCCCAGGAAGTTGAGCAGCGGCAAGCTGGGGAAGATTCGAATGTCGGAAGTGTTGCTGGAGACATCTTGGACGCCGAGAGCCGGGTTGTCGTTTGTGAGGGCGCTGATGAAGAGCCGGTAGGTTGAGGTAGCGGCGCGAACGTTGCCGACGAGGAGATAGGGTAGAACGGCTCGTGCTGCAAAGTGCGGTGCCATATGGGCGTCTCCTTCTTTGTACCAGGCGTACTCCATGTTAATAAGTACTTCGGGAGAGTCCTTCGTTCCCAATACCAGATGTCGCTCGGCCTCGTAAGTCTCGTGTTCTTCTGCGTATAGTGAACCAGCGACATGATGTATTTCAGGGTCGCCGGCAGGGTATTCACCAAACTTGGCAGACCATCTAGTCCCAGTCCATAGTCAGTTTAAAAAGCTCGCCCAAGAGAGGTAGAAGTGTTTATCGCCAACTCACCCCACGCTCTCGGTGATAAACTTCTTCCTCGTAGGCTCCAGCGGATCAAACAGCCGCAAACACGTCAACAGCCTCCCCTTGCTCGTCGCATCAGGCTTCAGCTCAGCCTGCTTATACACGTCCAGCATCATGACGCACAGGTCTCCTCCGCTGCCGCCCTGCTGAGCCTTGAGCAGCGACTGCGCGACGCTGTAGAGAATGTCGATGGCGGCAGACCAGTTCTGCGTCTTGATGTAGCGGGAGGCGGCGACTCGCGTCTGCTGCTGCGCTTCGTAAAAGTCGCCATCGGTGATCTTTTCCTGCAGCCGGGCGACGATGCGGTCGACTTTGTTGGCCATGGTGGGAAGGGTTGAGGATACAGTTCCGGGGAAGGTGGAGAGGGTATCTTTGAGGTGGTTTGCAGGAAGAAAGGTTGAGGCCGTGAATACCTGGTCTATATGCCTGGGTAGAAAGCTGTAGGAGGGGAGAAGTGGCTTGGGAGAGCAATGGTAACGATGGAGGGGTCAAAAGGCGAGCGGCTCAAGGTGGCTATAGCTTATAGCTACGATAAGAGTTATACTTCTCTTATAATGCGTGAGTACAGATTTTTGCGATAAGCCTATTACATCATCGGCGCGGATAGTGTAGCGGTTAGCATGCGTGCTTCCCAAGCACGCGACCCGGGTTCGAGTCCCGGTTCGCGCATCTCTTTTTGCCGTTTTGTTCTGTGTAAGTCTCCTCTGTGAAAGATCCATCACGATAATTGCTTTTTGGTTCCATCAGCAGGGCTTCTCTTTCATTTCCCTTGTGTGTTGATCGTTTTTACTTACCCAAATCAGTTCCGTCTGCTGAATCTCAGTTTCGTCGAGTGAGTGTAAATAGGCTACTAGCCTTGAGGGCACGTCAACGCAGAGGAACCCTTTGCTCGCTTTGCTTTGCAGCCATGTAGCTGTTGAAAAGATTGTTCAATTACCAAATACCTGTTGTTACGTACGTTTATCATTAAGACGGACCGGTCTATACATTGCCGCCACAGGCACGCCAGCCTACAAAACGGCACTCGCCCTTTTGTTTGATACGTCCAGCCCTGAGAGATGGTAGCGTCTCCCCTCCCAAGTAGTGCCAATTGATACAGAGAAAATTCCAAAGCCAAGATAATCTCCTTTGTATCAGTGAACCCAAGTGCTCCCTGAGGTTGATTTTCTTCCCTTTTCGTACAGCCACTTGCTGTTGAGCCCAATGCTTGTCCTCTTACCTGCTGACGGGCTTGGTGAGGCGGGATCAGAAAAGACATTTGACGAGGTGCTCGCGCCAAAGTTGCCGCCCGCGCCAAAGTTGCCGCCATTGAAGGAACTGCTAAAGGCGCTTGGTGATCCAAAAGAAGATGTACTATGGCTCATGCCATTAACACTCTGTGATAGAGGACTTCCCATGGGATGAGGGGAGAATTGGGAGATGGAGCCGGCAAAGCTCTGAGATGGAGAAAAAGGGACCGGGCTTCCTCGTCCTTCGAGAGGAGAGCCGTTGTAACTAGCTCTGCTCCCCAAAGAACCAGCCATGGACGGCGTTCGCGAATATCTCGGCGGGGTGCTGAATGTTGCGTCGGGAGTTACTGTGCCAAGTGCCGGGTTCAGTCCCAGCAGTTTCCGCTGCGTAGCCGTCAACGGGATATCGGAGAGCTCGTCCTTGGGGCGGACAAGCGGCAGGCATGCCATGCCAATCTGGATGAAGGGCACCAGCTGAACGAGAAACCACGCCCAGCCAAAGTATTGTCGAAACGGCTTGGGGAACCTAATCGTTGATCCTTTGTTAGAAAACACACCAGTTGCCTGAGAAGCTCCCATGGTCCTGTGCCCTGTTTTATCTCACATTTGCGCGTCGATCTTGAACTTGGCCAGCAGCTGGAGGCACCACATCAACAGCAAGGCGATGATATTATAGATAATGCGCCGCACATTCTTCTCGGAGAAATTTGAGGCATCACGGCGCCTGGCGATTTCGTGGAGTCGGGGATGTCTCCATGTGCCTGGGCTATTGGCCGCTGGGGCTGTCGCGACCTGCTTCGCGGGTGTGCTCACCCGAGCCAGAGCCGATGACATTGTGCTGTAGAGTTGCGAAGAATATGATTCGTGCCGGGGGAGATGACGGCTGGCGGTGAAACAAGACGAGTGTGTCTTTTCGATTTCCTGATGCGGCTGTTGGTGAGCTTTAGGCCGATCTCGAAGCTAGGCGCAAAGAAGGGCGGCAGAAAAAATCTTGAGCGCGAGGGATGGAGACGTGGACGAACAAGAAGACGTACTCTCGCTGCCAAAGCGAGGCTTTCCAAAGAATACTCGAAGTGGCTGGTCCTATGGGTTAGTATAGCAGAGGTGCCGGGGAGGGGGAGCAGTGGCCGGAGCGGCCTGAGAGCTTGTGATGCCCGTCGCTGCGCGGTTGTTTTATGTTCAATTTGCACGGCAACGTCGTGAGCGCAACTGCGAAGAAATGACCGGGGGCAGCACGCCAGGCCAGGTACCGCCCGGCAGTTGCAGGGGGCCACGGGTCTGCGCTGAGTGGCTGGCCTGGCTGCAGCACAAAGGCTGGGGCCAGTGAACTCATTCTGTCTGGCGGCATCTCCCCAGCACGCGCGCCCACTGAAGAAGCCCATTGCCTGCTGTAGCACAGCATGCCAGATGTCGCAGGTACCTGGCTGCAAGGAACTGCGCCCGTGTACCTGGAGATTGCAGGTCCGCCTCCCACAACCGCAGTTTTAGGGCGAGGCCACGGCCGTGTCGGCCATCGCAGGGCGATTTTGGCTTATCCTGCTAGCCTTATTAGCGATGCGCGTGCGTGCGCCTCGTGCTTGACCTCAGCTTTTCTTGCCTCCCGAGTACTTGTAGACCTAGCTTTGTCGGTGGAAACGCCAATCGCCAGCCGTTTCCCACTTTGCATCCGTATCTCCATCCCTTCATCTCTCACCACCGCGCGACCTTCTCATCACCACCATCCGCATCCAGCATCAAGCATCACCATCGGCCTCAACGATTCGACTTGCGCTATCGGCCCGCGTTGAAATCCTCCTTGATACTTTGTCAATCAGAATCATGCGGCGTTAATACCATCATCCACACCACCAGGACGAAGAAGCAAACGAACGACGCATACCTGCCCTTCTTAACTTTTTTTTTTCTCTCTCTCTCTCTCACCAAACTCAGCGTAGTCGCTGTCAGCGCCGAATTGCACCCTCGCCATGGCTGCCTCGCCGAGCTCCGTGGACGCCACGTCCGATGTAGAGCAGCCAAGCTCTCCCGCCCCAGCAGAAAGCAAATCGTTCGCCTCACGCGCCGATGCTGACGACGAAGACAACACCATTATTGCAACGCCCTCCGAGGCCGCTGAGAAGCCCTCCAGGGGCAAGGGCAGAGGAAAGGATAAGGACAAAGACAAGGACGCGCAGTCATTGATTGGCAAAATTAGACATCTGAAGAAGGAAGACGGAGAGCCCCTTTGGCGCAAGGATATCCAGTACGACTTTCTCAGGGCTGTCTTTGACAATGACCAAAAGGTCTTCACCAACTCGTATGACCCCGAACTAGAGAAACAGTGCTTCGCCGACTTGTACATCGACACCATGGCACGGAGTTCCAAGACAAGCAAGGTACTCCGGGATAAGCTGATGAATGACCGAGAGGCTGCCAAAGGCATGGCCATGGTCTGCTTGCTAGTCAACATGGGCCGCATGAACACTACTCTCAATTGTGAGCTTTCGTCTACCCGGTTTAACGAGGCATAGTATGCATACAGAAGCTAACCAACACAACTCTTACGTATAGTCTTTCCCGAGATGCGAGCACAGCTGCGGACATACCACGCTATCCCTTCTCTGCAAGCACAGCAAGATCCTCACGCCTACAAGCAGCTACAGGATGCTCCACGACTCAAGTCCATCTTAAAAGGCGGTGCGGAAGACAGAGACGAGCCAACTTCCCTGGAAAAGATCAAACAACACGATATCCCGCGCACCAACCCCGTCAACCTCATCTTTGTTATGTGCAACTCGGCGTTGAAGGTTGCAGAGCTTCACTTTCCACCCCATCGCGAGTTTCATGATGTCATCATGAAAACCCAGTACACCAGCATGTCCAGAGCCAAGGCCTTTTTGTGGCTAATGTGGTTCTATCTAGAATCTGACTTCACCGAAGAAGGATGTGAAGAGAACCCATTTGGAGCTGGTGTTGATTATGGTGTTGATGTTGCCAACCAGGGCGTTCCTGAGCTTCAAGAAATGACCGAAGAACAGGAAGCTGCAGAGAACGTCGACCCTGAGGTCGAAATAGAATTTGGCCACGAGAAGCAGAAAATTCGAGCTACCATCTTGGAGATGGACCATCAGTTTTTGACAGAACGGGAGAAGCGTGGGAAAGCGCGGCCAACGGTTGCAGACGACGGCCCTGCCATCTTGCCTCGAATTAGACCTTCGAAGCACGAGTCTGATATGGAAAGCAACCGATCAACTCCGCCGAGATTGCTGGCCAGAAAAATTGCCACTATGAATGGACACAGGTCCGCCCCTCTCAAGTATCAAATCTTTGAAGGCTCTTCGCCGGCTCGTAATGGAGCCGACGGTGTTGTCGCCCGAAAGCCTCGTCCCCCAACAGCCCATCAGCTTGCTGTTGAGCGGAATAGAAGCCAGAGAGTAGAGTACATTCTAGACCGTGGCCTCCGAAGGCGTCATCACAAAAGCAGGAAGCTCAGGCGCCAAGAGGGCGCCATCGTGAGGACATACAAGCGTCTTCAGGCTCAGGCTGATCCTTTCGAGGACAGCGACGCCGAGGACCATACTCCACGCAGCTTACCCGTCAATGGCGACAAGGGCAAAAACGTTTTCAGAGAGAGGGGCGTTGGCGGCCTCTGCCTCTTGGCCACTGACGCAGACGACTACGGAGAGGAGGTGAGCTCATATGCTGCTGCCATTAGACGGTCAACACGGCGTCTCGCCCGCTGGAGAGGGCACGAAGCCGAGCTTGGCGTGATCCCTATAGTTAAGAAGCCCAAGCCAATGACAGCCAGCGACAATGCCAACGATGAAATTGTGGCTGATGCCTCAGACAATCTTGCTATCGAAGGCTCGAATCCCAAAATCAACGGCAGTGCATCTAAAGACGACGACAAAGACATCAACGGCGACGGCGACGGCGACGGCGACGGTGCGATTGCGGATGATGTGGAGATGGAAGAGGCCGACAACATGGCACTTGCAGATGAGGAAGCCGATGATGCGGACAAGACAGAAGTCATGGTAGACTCGGAGATGGAGTAGCGGGTGCGAACAAAAGCTACGAACGTGATGATGATCAGGTCATATGGAGATTCGAAAAAGGGCCATATTGGGGTCGCTTTGTTTTTTTAGTCTTCTTTTCTTTTTCTTTTCAACTGTTATCTGTCTCTTCATCTTTTAGGTGCGCAGGGAGGATCTTGTACACAAATGTATGGCTTTAAGGGGGAATTAGATATCTGGAGGCGTCGAGGCGTTTTAACTAAAGAGCTAGTGCTCCGTAACGACAAAATTCAATAATCAACTACAGGCTTAAAGTACGGTCTCTATAATCTATATCTCTTCAACCAGTTACTACCGCGTTGGTTAGTATTGTCTAACAATAATGAATATGGTAGGCTACATTATAACGAACTAGAACTTCAGGGGACCGAATACGAATACGGAAAGGGACTTTGAAATTCGGGCTCTCCACCAAATAAAGAGGGCGCCATCCGGATCACGGCGATCCGGCCGAGCGGTGAGATGCGGCAGAAAGCTGGGACGACTCCTCGGGCCCCGAATGACATGCCAACATTTGAAATCCGAGGGCGCTTGTGGATGGGAGAATCGGTTATATAACTCTTCCTTTCGGTACAATCAATTCATACTTGTGTTGTCCGGTTGTATACCTGCTTTCCTTTCTTTGATTGGTCCAATTGCCCATCAGCCGTTCCCTCTAGATATCGGGCACCCCACTAATACCAACCGTATCATACCACATAGCCTTTCGGTACCTTATATGAATAAATAACATTTATTTATATATATATATATATATATATATATATTCAAGCAGTAGGTATTGGGTAAAAAAGAGAGATCAAAACAAAGTTATGCCTCAAAACCAACCCTCGCCTCCGGGCATCAGCCGCCTCCTCGCCATCCTAGGCCTCCTCACCGCGCTGCTGGCATCAGTCGTCTACGTGATCGACCAGGACCTGGACCGCTTCTACATCTTCGAGATGGACCACCTGCACGATCTGGCGCAGAGGGGCATCGCCCAGCACGGCAACGACACGAGGGCCATCGTCAAGTACATTGTCGACGAGCTCAACGAAAAGGTGCCTGGATATGTGAATCTCAACGAGGACTGGATGTTTAACAATGCGGGCGGCGCTATGGGCGGCATGTACATTCTTCACGCCAGTAAATACTCACTTATACTTGAAACCCCCCCTTTTTTTTTGCCTTGCGTTTGCTAATGCCTGTGTATGCAGGTATAACTGAATATCTCATCATCTTCGGCACCGCCGTCGGCACAGAAGGCCACAGCGGGCGCCACACCGCCGACGACTACTTCCACATCCTCTCCGGCACGCAAATGGCCTACGTGCCCGGCGAGTACGAGCCCGAAATCTACCCGCCCGGCAGCGTCCACCACCTGCGCCGCGGCGACGTCAAGCAGTACAAGATGCCCGAGGCCTGCTTCGCGCTCGAGTACGCGCGCGGCTGGATCCCGCCCATGCTCTTCTTTGGATTCGCCGATGGGTTGACCAGCACGCTAGATTTCCCGACGCTGTGGAAGACGACGTATATTACCGGCCAGCAGATGATTGGTAATTTGCTCAAGGGCAAGCTCTGAGACGGAATGGGATGGGCGGTGTATTAAGAGGAAGGGACGGATCGTCAATCATCACTTGTCATGAGGAACAAGGAAGAGGGAGGTTTGCGCTCCAATAGAGTTGGTTCACTCTGGTTAATGACGCTAGATGAGATGAGCCGGCAATATGTAGATAGGATGGGTGGATCAGACATATTCATCGAATGATTGTACGCATAAGGATAGCCATCACGGATAAGAAATCTTATTCCATACAACTAACATACTATCTTACTCTATGGCAAGATAGGACGCAATCGCAGAGAAACGCGTATCGCGGGATCGCATCGCTATGTACCGCTGTATAAGTGGATGTAGATCACCCCGAACAGAATCCTCCATTCTCCACCAAGTCCAAGACACGCACCTTCATCAGGTTTTGGTATACAGGTAGATATATATGTATGTATTTTCTCTCGGCTTCCACTCTTCCACCAACGCCGCGCACATGTGCAGTTGTGCTAAGAGAAGGAAAGCATCGTCACCTTGAAAACTCCCGTCATCCATTGCCCAAACACTTTTTTCTCTTTTTGAGTTGCATAGAGGAATCCTTGTTCCCCACAAATTCAGTCCGTATAAAGCAGTAAACACCCGCGCCTTCTTTTTTCAAAGGCCAACAAGAAAAGACAACAAAGACAGAGAGACAAGAAACAATTCTCCAGATACACCAGTTGACTCAGTCCGTGGCTCCAAATCCATGTCGTATAACGCCGGGGCTTTAAAAAAAAATACAGTAATCATTCATCCAATGACAAGGGAGCTCCACACAGACACGGCCAACGCTAATAGCGTCTCGCAGCTCAAAATCCCCTCTCTAAGCAAGCCAGCCTTCCTCAGCACGCTTGCGGCCTCGCATGACAAGTACGTCGTCGTCGTCGTCAGATGAGTCGTCCTCTGCATCATCTTGAATCTTCATGTTCTCCACAGAAGTCGTTGTAGCCTGGATTCGAGCTTCGATTCGAGCGTCGTGGCCATCGTCCTCCTCTTCAAACATCCATGTCAAGCCATTGGCTTCTTCCTCCAATGGAAACATTTCTCTCGCATATTCTTCTAGCCCTCGGGGGCCCTCCCACAACTCAAGCGCCTCCCGCGGACAGCTAGCTTCCAGTTTGGGGTCTCCAAAGTATGGCGGCTGCTTCTTAGCGTCCTCCTCATTAGGATCGAAAAGCTTCTCCAGCGCTTCTAGCTGTTGTCGATAGCCGGTAGGTATACGAACTTTGATCTCAATGGGCCCCCTTATATAGCGAACACGGCGACCCACGCCACGAGCAAATAACTTACATGCTTCTACCGGCGTGAGATACTCGTATGCCAAGGCAATGCGCTCCCCAGCCCACTTAGATACGCCATCTTTAAAAAGCTGTAAAATGGCAGGTCCAACGTCATGTTCAGCATCCAGCCACGGAAGCTTGGCGTCTTCATGGAATGGCGCCTGCCAAGTAAAAGAGCCGTCCGGCTGCAGCTCCATGCAGAATAAAGGATAGGGCAGTGACGTAAAATTGTTATTGTAGATTCCGGTGTACACAAAGGTGGCAGGGAGACCCAAGTGCCTCGCGTATTCCTCTACTTCGTGTTTGGCGGCCCATAGAGGTAGCGACGGCCACCCACTATTGTAAGCTGCGTGATCGGGCATGGAGGAATATATGTAGTGTTGGATATTGGTCTGCTTGGCTGCATCGGCAAGAGCCTTGCCGATTGCCAGTTCATCGCCATAGAAGGTGGTATTGATGAATGCAAGCTGCGCGCCCCGGAAAAGATTTGCGATCAATTCGTGGTTGACTCCTACGCCCGGTAAGGAACCACTCTTGGTTACGTCCCTGTTCTCCGCGGTAGGCTGGTGTCTGGTGTAGAGCTCGCCAACAAAGACAGTGACGTTTGGGTTGGTCGATACCTCAGTCGCAATGACGCCCTCAAGATTCCTCAGCTGCGCATTCACATGGTAGCCAACGGCCGTAGCTACGCGTATAAGCGACGCAGCTTGGCGGCCGCTGGCATTGATAACGGCAATGGTCTTTGGGGTAGACATGAGCCTCTTAGGCGGGCGAAAGGTCAAGGAATTGTTCCTGGAGTTGGCAAGGGGAGACGCCTCTGAGTAGGAGGATCGCGAATGCTTGTGTTGCTTATGGAACCCGTTTGTCTGGTCGGTCACGATATGGATGGGAATGCTGCCCGTGACGGGTCCGTTGAATTGTGCCGGCATGGCTCCGTCGCCCTCTATTCGCTGGATTTCAGGCCGAAGCCGTGGAGGTGGTGCAAGTCGGCCGAAAGTGGAAGACTGACGTCCCGGCGCAGGGTATTTATTCGACAGGCGAGGCCACCGTTATCCAAACGCGCCAGCCCGCCTGCAGAATCGCCTTCAATTTGCTGATTGATGGTGGGGGAGAAAAAAAAAGGTCACAGTAGGGCTTGTGATCTCAGCTCATGGATCGGAGCGGATAGCCAGTACGTAAGAGCAGAGTATGACAGTGGACCGTGGACCGTGGGTCGTGGGCCGTAGACCGGCGTGGGAGGACAAGCAGCAGGCACGGTATTAGTAGTGGTTAGTCTATGGCCAGTGCCGGCGGCTGGACGCGGCGATGGAGGCTGCTACAGGGTCGGTTTGCGCCAATGCAGTATTCCACGAGGGTACGAGGCAGCCTGGAGTGTCTGGCTGGATCAACCGTAGCGCAGGAGTCGTCGGGTCTGGGCTGGCAGCACAGCAGTAGCGGAGGGAGCTCGAGAGCGGCGAGCGAATGGGTGAGAAAGAGCTGCAGATGCGAGTTGCGACTGGTGGCAGGGGCCAGAGGAGACCGGAACCGGGATTGTCAGCGGACGACGAGTCTGCGATATAGCGAGACAAAAGGGGTCGTTGCAGTCGGTGTACGGAGCAACGTTAGAAACAAGAAGAAGAACCACAGTGGTATGTTTCGCCAAGATGATGGGAGTGAGAAAGAGAAGGAGAAGAAGAATGATTCAGAGGCTACAGAAATCCCAGAGGCTATCTATCAGAGCAACGGTGGGATAAGACCTGGATAACAGAGGGGGCTTCCTTTTTTCCCCCGATAAGGACGACGGCTGTAGTCGACTTAGCTCGGGCGAATTAGCAGGCTAGCTTCGACAAAAGAACGATTGGCGTTAGTTTAAGCTGGCCTCGCCACGCCAAATTCTATGGGCGCGTCGTTTGGACTTTGCTTGGAAGGCGGCGGCTCGCCGAAACCAGTCAGATGCTAATGGTGCAAGTGCCAGTTATGGGTGGCAGGGCGATAAGGGATGATGGGAGGGAGGGGCGTTTGTCTTGGTCAGGATAATGAAATTGAGAAGATGGAGGGGGAGAAAGCTTGAAAACGCCAGTCTAATCTGCCTTCAGGCAAATGATGTCTCGACTAAGGAAAGATTGGATGTACCCCAATATACTAAACTTTGCGGCAAGATACAGATGGAGATTGGCACAGGTGCTACATGCAAGCATCGCAACTGCCCGAGTACAGTGTACAGTCGCAGCCCTTGTTCCTAGAGCAGCAGGAGCGAAGGTCGGAGCCGCCAGGTACCGTCACAGGTACCAATACAGTCGCGACCTGGGGTTGCCCGTACCTCTGCGCGACGCATTTGTACCGATGCCGTCTGATGGACGAGGATCCGATCAGGGAGAGAGATAAGCAGGTACATATCAACTTGCTGCGGTGGACTTGGACGCAGTGTCGCTGCACAGCCAGCATTTTCCAGCAAGGGGAGCAAGTTACTGCCTCCTTCTAGACCGCGACAGTCAATATCCCAGCAGCAAGTCCCGTGATTGACAGCGGCGGAGCCAGCCAAGGGGAAAGAAGAAGAATTGGCTTCAAGGCAAAAGGCATGAACAGGTCCCTCAGGTACTCTGCCCAGAGTGGTATCAACTCTTTTTTGGGGTTGGCTAGCCCCGATCTCCGCCATCATGGACCCCTGCAAGGGAGTTCCGAGCAACAGCGCGCCGGGCAACATCTGATTAGATTCCGTCGAGAGCTATGCCGTGCTGCTGCTGCTACGTAACACACAGGGTCTTGCGGACCAGTCAGACAGGTCCGGCTCGCGAGCTGGCCTGATTGCTCCAAAATCTCTTACAAAAAATCGATCCATGCGAGCGGATGACCCGACTGGAGCAAGGCTAGCCACGGGTTTACAGCCAGTGAGTTGCGCAGAAATGCTCGTACTGTCCTGTCCGCATAAAGGGTCAATCAATGAACCAGCCCATGCAAGATGCACCGCCAATCGGGCCAAAGGTGCTGAGCGGATGGCTGGCTGCTTGATGCTGTGCTCTCACCACCGCCTGGAGATAGTCTGGGGCTGGCCAATCGGGCGGCGTCGCTAAACAATCGCCCTCTCTAGGATTTTCTTGTTTGGTCTCTTGGCTCGACGCAACTCCGCGGAAGAGGCGCCAAGGCTCACAGAGGCGCTGCCTTCCAGCGCGATTCACTATCTGCACCAAGTACATATTACTCCATGCTATTAGACACTCCCCTCCGGTATGTGGACTAGGCAGGTATGCAACAACCTGAAGCTACTCCGTGCTAGCAACACTCATCCTGATGTCGGTTACGAGTGCACTGTGGCATCGGAAGAGAGACCAGAGGTCAGCAGACGTTCGAATTACACGCCGCCCCCATATTACTAGCAATAGTACTGCGCGATGCTAGATGACCTGCCCTTACCGAACACAAGTTCTCCATATTGGAGACACGCAGCATCAGCCTAATAAAACTTGACTCCTGAGCAACGTGGACGAGTGCCTGGATGGAGATATACGTTCTGAGTACCGACATAAGCATAGAGCGCAGGGCTTGAAGCCCCAGATTGCTTGTCACGCGCTCTTCGCTATGGAGCAGCCATCGTGGCTCATACATGTTCATATTAGCCCAGAGCCGGAACGATATACGAGCACCGCTACTGGGTACCTGTAGGTATTACAACACTATAAGTCCTGGCTCGAAGAAGGTACTCCGTGCATGTGGCCTTGGACGCAATACGGTGCGCCCTGTCCAACTACGGCAGCTTGTCCTTTGCCATGCTGTTGAGACAATACCGATGTTGAATTGCGGCATCGGACCAAATCGCAAGGGAAAAAAAAGGTTTGGATTATGCGGCTGCGAGATAACAAAAACGCTATCTATCCATTGGCTCTTAAGAGTGAACGGGGGAAAGATCAGCTACGGAACGCGATGCTAGTACGAGTAAGAGCCGCCACGAGAGAAAAAGGGTCTGGAGGGGAATTTCCTCAAAGAAAATTCTTTCCTACGTCGCATCTCGGTCATGCTCGAATCACTGGGGATAATATGACCGCCATGTGGGCTTCTCCCGCCTTTCCGGCGTTCGGCCTATTTGCATTAGCCTTCTCTAGCGATTCTTCCCACGTTCCCACGTCCCAGGTCCGACAAGGCCAGCCAGCCAGGGCCTTTCGAAAGACGCAGTGCCCCTGCAGCGGCAGCAGTTGGGATTAGGTAAATTTTTGCCCCGGTTCTCCAGTCAGATGATTTCCTTAACCTCATTCCATTGCTCATATCCTCCAGTGCTTCAAGATCGCGAGATTACTGTTGGTCCATCTTTGAAATTTTTTTCTCACTACCGGCCTGGACCGCCATCGATCAATCCAGAGCCCCATGGGTGCTGGCTAGTCACCAGACTCGTTGATAATTTTTTTTTTTTGCTCTCCGTTCTTATCAGTTGCTCTGGTTTTGCCGCTCGCTCTCTTTTGGGTGTCTAGGTGCTCTTCTAAGTGCTCCGTACAGAATACTGTGCTCCGTAACGTGACGACAGAAGCTCTGCGCGCCGTTGACGCTTGTCCGTGTACGTACTGGTTGTGATTGTTGCAGGCAGAATACACACAGCCAATCGTCTGTGTCTTCTCTGCTCTTCCATCAATTTCGTGTGGTCCCATTCGTCATGGGCTGCTAAGTGGCTACGTTCATTTAGACGATGCTGCGTTCCGACATGCCGCAACCACGCCGTTAACGCGGCGACCCCATAAGCACCAATTCTAAATGCTAAGCCGTCGTCCTCCCGCCACTATCGCGTTTTGGAACTTCTTTTCAAAAATGGAGTTTTGTCATTTAGCGCTGAAGCAGGAGTCGGCAAGCACCACTTGCATCTGCAGGCAGATGTGTGACAAGGGCTGTCTGTTGTCTTCACTTGTCTCAGATCTCAAGAGCATCTAACCGATGGTCAACCTCCTACATGTTTCTCGTTTATGTTTCCCCGCCTCTCTATGCAGGGCATTGTTCATGTCACTGCTCCATCTACTTGCTAGCTCAGTTTCTGTCCTCGTGAGCTTCGTTGGTGCCGTCTCACGCAAAGACAGCAAACAACTGACTGCAGCCTTGGGGTCGTACAGGACACGGTAAGCCTCAGCTCTGGCGCAAAGGTTCACTCATACGACGCCCCAGGCATGCTTGTACAACCACATTGTCGATCTGTCAAGCGAGCTTCCGGACGAAGAGGCACATGTACAGAGTACAAGCACCTACAACACGAGGAGCAAAAGGGGGGGTATGCAACTGCGACTCGGCCTATATCATGCATTAGCTCGCGTGCGCTGCAAACCTCACTGTGTTTCGGTCCCTATCACGGTGAAATTATTGTCTATGCGGTCGCAAAACTCCGTGCTGCGTGACTTATTTGCCATCACCCCGTGTCGTCATCAACCTTGATTCATTTGAGGGCCATTACAGGACGTTGTATGAAATTAGAGTGAGAAATATTCCCTGCGATGGCTAGAATGTCGAAGGGCTGCTATGAACGAACCGTGGTGCCTTTCCGTAAACTCTCTGCGAACGGCTGGCTCTTTGCCTTACTTGGCTTTCGAGTTTAATTTCTTTAGCACCCCCAGGATTCTCCCCATCCACGTCACTCCTACCCGTATCAGTATTCCCTTTCCGTTCTAATGGCACGGTGCTATCTACGGATATTTGAAAAACGCCCTCCAGCCCCTTCTGGTGTAGCATCCCAAGTGGCTTTTCCCGGTTCCTGCCATCCCAATGGGCAGCCAGGCTGTGGAGAAGTTGGCACACTGAGTGGTGTAGCATTTGGCCGTGAGTTTTGTATTTGCAGCCATCCATAGACGACTCTCACCATTGGCTATGGCATGGTGCATATTACAATGTACAGATTAGGCAATCGCATCCTTTTGAATGAATGACGCCGATCCGATAGGTATCTAGGCATATTGGTTTACAGCTAGTTGTTGTTGCTATATCATCATTGACACTGGGCGCTGGTAGGTAATTAAAACTCGCGTAATGGTGCTTCAGTTACATCCTCATTACTAATAAGTATCCAAATATCATCCCTTTGAGGAAATATCGTAGCAGCGAGCGCCTTGGTTCGTCATAATTATTAACATGTCATTATAGTATGCCTTTTTCCCCCATGCTGTTAGATTCCTTGGCTTCGCCCTCCTGAAGGCATGCTCCAAAGATCAGTGGTGATCATATCCACATCATCAAGCTGCAGCCTCTCCGCCCACGACTGAGCAGCGCCGGATCCCGAGTCGCCCACCACATTTTGGGCGAGGGAAGCATCAAGATGTCTCTGGTATCAACGGGTTAGTTTGCTGAACTAGGCTGCACGTAGTCCACTCGAACGCGAACTGTTTTGGGGGCGGAAGCTTACCCAGTCTACGTTATTCGCAGACAACATCCACGACATATCAAATTGGTCGACATTAGGCGCCATTGGCGCATTGCTGTTACTGAGAATGGTTGACGTATTGGCGGCAGTGGTGGCTGGGTGTCCTTGGGAGAACGGTGTTGGTCCAGAGCTTGAAGCGGAATCTAGATGTCCCCTTGTTAGTATCTAATAACTTGTTTTGCGTTCTTTTTGCTTCCTGGGTTTCAATGATGAAATACGAACCTTCGAATCCACTGGTGGTTGCATAATCAGACATATTTCCAGTTACGTCCAGAGATGATGATATTGCTTGGCTGGATGCTGACCGTGACGAGTCTCCTCCGCTTGGGTGATTACTTGATGGTGCAGGGAAGTTGCTGTCAACTGGTCTTCCAACTTTAGCCAGCATGACGGCTAACGTATCCGCAGTTTTCTTAAGATCCGTCAGTTTGTTAAATACTTGGCGGCTAATGTCATACGATCGTTGAATCATGTCAATCAGCTCGTCCTTGGTCGGCGATTCCCTCTGTCTGCCCGCCGTGCCGAAGCCACTGCCATCGTCCGAATAGCTTTCGTTTTGAATGGTGAGATACAACATCATGGCTGCTAGCATAAAGTCATGCACCGCAAGCGAGGTCATGAACCACCCAGAGCGGCCGAGGACGTTTCCAGGCCTGGTTCCCAACCAAGAGGAATACTGAAAGCCCAGTAGCGTTGTTGCGGCATCCAGGCATTGGTTCCGCGAGTAGTCGTGCTCGGGCTTTGGCACGGCTTCTGCGAGATAGCGGCGATGCAGAACGCAGCGGCTCTTGTGGTATAGAGAGGCGAGTCCGTATCGCTGGATGATCTGGTGGGGCTCCTCGCCGATGCACTCTTCCAGTGGCTTGACGTACATGAATGACGGGACGCTGTTCCAGGCTTCCTTGAGGAGGTTGTCCAGTTGTAGCACTTCGCTGTAGCTCGGCGGCGTTAGTGAATGGGCTTGCTGGGCGATTTTTCTGAATACCCGGAGGAGCCTCGACTTGTGGATAGCATAAGTCATGGTTGAGTAGACTGAGTCGGGTCGTGGTGCCGGTAGCTCCTTGCAGCTGTCGTCAAAGTCGTCGTCCTCTAGGTTGCGAGGCAAATCTGTGTCGGCCTCGATCCCACCAAGCATGCTCGGCAGGCCCATGTGAAACGAGACGAGGAGGTCGATCTGGGCAGCCATGTTCCACTGTCTCCGCCGCATCTCACCTTCAAAGGGGGAGATGTTGGCGAGGTGGGACGGGTCTCGGTGGAAGCCCATCTTGAGCATCAGCCGCAGGCAGACGCCAGACAGGATGTAGCAGTTCATCTGAGCCGCCCGATTGAGGACAAAGTCGGCCTCGACGTAGAGAATAAAGGCAGGGATTGTCACGGCCGTTGGCTGAGAGTATTTGCCCGATATCAACGCCCATCCCGCGGCTGAGCGGTACTGTCTGATTCTGTCCTTTATAGAGATTGGAGAATCCCCTTCGACTTCGTCAGGAGCGGAAAAGTTGTTGAAAAACACGCCCATGGTGAGGACCGCAAATAGGAGGGCTATCCAGTGAAGCGAGACTTGGTCGGGGTTTTGCCAGAATTGCACGTACTGGATCACATCTTTGATTAGAAACGATTATACTTCTCGGTTGACGTGAAGCTCTTTTGGATCAACTTACTTCTCTTGTAAATGTCGGACGGTGAACGATATCTGCATCTCATAAGTCAGCCTCTAAGAAAGAAAATTTCCCATAGACTCGACGTAAAGACGGAGCGGAAGACAAGATACTGACGTTGAGATGGGCTTTTGGATGAAAAATATCGCGTTACCAGCCGATCAACCACATGCCGTTCGGGTAGCTGAGCGAGAAGCTCTTGACGATTGCTCGGCGCTCCTCTAGAGTGCAAAAGCATCTCTGGCCCTTCCAGCTCGTCGCCCGGCCCGAACTCCTCTTCCGAACTGCCGGGGTCGTCAAAATACGCTTTAATATCTTCAATCTGCACAATAGTTAGTGTCTCATTCACAATGCTCCATCAACCATCAGCAGTCATCTTGTATCACTCACATCTTCGAGCATCGCCAAACAGTGAGTCGCGCCTATATACGTCGTCGCATGATCTCCGTGAATGACCTGCCCCTTCACCTGCGGCGCAACAGGCTCGCCCGCATCTTGAGTCGTTTGAGGCTTGGGACCGCCCTCATCGTCCATCATCTCTCGGACCATGCCCTCCAGCCTCTTGAGTCGGGCCGCAACGCCTTTTGCTGCCGGCCTCTTCTTTTCCGGCTTTGGCGCATAAACACACAGATCCAGCCGGCCCTTTTTTGCGCACTGCCCGCATGGTTGCCCGCGGTCACACTTGAGCTTGGAGTTTCGACATGGTGCGCACGAGAGCAAAATCCGCGTGCGCTTCTTTGAGATGGCCGCCGCGTTCCTCGAAGCCGCGTCCAAATCCATTTTTATGCGTTATCACAATTAGTGTAGGTTTTCTCTCAGCGTTGCTGCTTCACTCTTGTAATTCAATGAGTCTGGTGGCAATGGTGTTAAGCTGCGCTGACATGCGGACGGAACAGGATCTCGGAAACTCTACACGCCACAAACAGTTTTCCGGCTAGGCAGGTATATATGCATAACACAACTAGCCGCAAGCCAAATGCGCAACAGCTAGCCGTTTAAGAAGTTTATTACAAGAACCGCAGTCAACTCTCGGAGACCACGAATACTATTAAATCTATTCACAACAAAGGCTATGCCCGTATATTACCTAAGCGGCATACTTTTTACTTTGCTCGGACTTGCGCTAACTCCAGTCGCGAGAAGTTATACAAAGTGTAAGACGGCGGCGAAAAGACACGAAGAGAGGAAGACTAGAAAAACGCATCAACAACTGAAACCGCAAACCCCTAGATTTTGCATCATGTAGGCAGCGCTCCCGGCAACCGTTCTATTACATATTTGCCCCTTGCAACGCTCATGATCGGAACACCGGGGATCTTTCGTAGTCTCTGCTTCAGGGCCTTGTCGTTGGTTCCCACGATATATATCCTGTTCTTGCTCACTCGGTCCACGATGCAGTCATCGGCATAGGTACCCTTGTGGTCGCACTCTATCCGCTGCCATCTTTCGTCTCTGGCTATCCTCAGCGCCAGTCTGTATTTTGAGCCCAGTTTCTCGAGTTCGGCCATGACGCATGAGGTGATGATGGGGTTGCACTTCGCATAGAGACAATCCATCATGTTGTCCAGCAATGATAGTTTCCTCTGGACGGTGTGACTGAGAAAGTTTGTATCGCAAAGGACGTTATACGGCGGAACCAGAGCCTCGTTGTGGAGGAAGAACATGTTGCTGGGCAGCTGGGCAGCTTCTTTGACGAGCTCGCCTCCGACTGTCCTCTTGGCTTCCTTCTCCTTCTGCTTGAGTTCTTCCTTTAGTCGGTTTTCCTTGAGGCGGGTGTCCTTGAGTCCGATAACTCGTTTGACCTGATGTCGAAAAGTCAGTGTTTTGCCGGTGAATGCAATTGGTTCCCTTCAAGGGAAGTGACGAACCTGTCCGAACTTTCTAGTCTTCTTCGCAACACCCATGATTGCGGTGTTGGAGTCGTTAAGTTGTTGAAGATGATTGGCTGCTTTAGAAAATAATTCCTCGGAAATTACGTAGAATTCGAACAAGAGACTATTGTAGGCGCGACAACCTGAGTGAAAGTGAGCTTGGCTGCCAAAGGCTTCGACTTCGTTTCTGCTGCTGGAATATGGCGATAAGACCAAAAAAAAAGTTCGGATAGATAAGATTTGCTGCAGCACCTGTTCGCTGGTGGCGGCGGTGCACGGGCCACTTCTAGTCCATCTTAGCGGTACATGGGAGGTACCCTTTTGTACGTGCTGCAGGCAGTCAATTCCACTAAAAGATGTAGCACCAGCCTGCTAACTCTAGCGATCTCGACGCGTCCCTCCAGATCGCGTAAAGTGATTATTTCATCGCTCCCAAATCCCCAAGCGAAAAATGCCTGCCGCAAAGCCTGAAGAAAAGGGCGAGTCCTCCAATGCCACGTCAAAGGCAGTCCTTGCGGCATCTTCCAATGGATCGCCCAACTATGAGCTGCCATGGTACGTCCAAGATTCAACCCCTCCAAGCGTGCTGCGATAGCTTCTGTCCAGGTATTAACGGGCTACTTCAAGGGTGGAAAAGTACCGTCCGGTGTTCTTGGACGATGTCGTCGGCAACACGGAGACTATTGAGCGATTGAAGATTATAGCAAAAGAAGGAAACATGCCTCATGTCATCATTTCGGGCATGCCTGGTATCGGAAAGACAACCAGCGTTCTCTGCCTTGCCCGCCAGCTACTGGGGGAATCGTACAAAGAGGCTGTCCTGGAACTCAATGCCAGTGATGAACGAGGTAAAATGGCTTCCGGTTTCCGATTGAGTGTCAATAAATCATCTTTGCTAACCTGCTCGCATAGGTATTGACGTTGTTCGAAACAGAATAAAAGGGTTTGCGCAAAAGAAGGTCACACTACCTGCTGGCAGACATAAGCTAGTTATCCTCGACGAAGCCGATAGCATGACCTCCGGTGCCCAGCAGGCTCTTCGAAGAACCATGGAAATCTACTCCAACACCACCAGATTTGCATTCGCTTGCAACCAGTCAAATAAGATCATCGAACCGCTACAGTCACGATGCGCAATCCTTCGATATGCCAAGTTGACCGACGAACAAGTCGTCAAGCGATTGATGCAGATCATCGAGGCGGAAAAGGTCGAATACAGCGATGACGGCTTGGCTGCCTTGGTATTTAGCGCAGAGGGAGATATGCGACAGGCGATCAATAACTTGCAGTCGACGTGGGCTGGTTTCGGCTTCGTCTCAGGAGACAATGTCTTCAAGGTGGTCGATTCACCGCATCCGATCAAGGTGCAAGCCATGTTGAAGGCTTGCTACGAGGGAAACGTCGACTCGGCTCTGGATACCCTCCGAGAGCTGTGGGACTTGGGATACTCGAGCCACGATATTATCAGCACAATGTTCAAAGTCACAAAGACAATGCCGACGCTGAGCGAACACTCAAAGCTGGAGTTTATCAAGGAGATTGGCTTCACGCATATGAAGATTCTAGAAGGCGTTCAGACATTACTCCAGCTATCAGGGTGTGTTGCCCGGCTATGTAAACTGAACATGGATCCCAAAAGATTTAAACTGGTGTCAAAATAGGATAGAAGATAATGACGGAATACAGGCAGCGAATGTGATTTTTTTCGGCGTTGGAGCTGGGGAGATGCTATACAATGTGAGGTAATTGGGTATCATCAAATGATGCTATGTACATGATCAAGACACATGACCTTGAGGGGCTTTACGGGCAAAATAACTGTTCGTCGTTTTACTTTCCATTGTTATGTGCAACTTCTTGCTCATACCTGTCCCATTTTGCTTTCTCTTTAAGCCACCTTCTTTGAGCTCTCATCTCAGCTTCATAATCTCTCAGGCGCTGGTCTGCTGCAATCATGCCTCCTAGAGTCATGGCTGATATCTGAACGTAGCTATTCGGTACATAAGTAAGCTTATGTAGTGATGTAGCAAGCATATTCATCCCTGATGTACTTACACTTTGAACTGGACGGTCATTCTCCGATAGAGCGGCGACCTGAGATGGGCCAAGGCTCCCACAATTGCCGCTCCAACACCCCATTTAGCAGCTCCTATGAGTCCTCCTTTGCCGGCTTCCCATCCGGCGTTTTGTGCCTCGCCGCTCTTTAACGGATCGTGAGGCGCGATCATCTTATTTGGAGGGGGAGACATCTTTTGAGTGAGTCTATGAGACAAGAGGCAGGTTGAATGACGTTTTGGGTGTCGAGGCTTAAGCTGGGACAGTAGAAAGGGGGGGTAGAGGACGGTAGAATGCCAATCTTTAATATACGAGGAGCTCTTGATATGAAGATGCGCTCTGGGATAAAGCAAAGTTTACATCGAAATCGACGGCGTGAGATCTCGGATGGCTGACAGTTCGGGAAATATTGGTACGTCATTAAAAAGCTTCAGGGTAGCAGCTAAGCATTTTATGAGCTTCCCCACATGGCTTTGCCTGCCTCGTACGATTAATCTGTGCGCCCGATTTTTAATGGGTAATAAAAGGCGAAAATATCACAGTAGTCTTCCATGTCTTTTTCTATGTGAAGTGTATAATGGGTGATGCATGCAACGGGACTAAAGTCGTAGGCTGGCGGTGATTTACAGTGAAACTCTCATCTAACTTGCGCTATTCAGCCTCTGCCGCTAATATAAACTCGCTACTACCTACCTACCTACCTACCAACCTGATATACCTGCACTCCCATCTTAAGTCAAATATATATATCAGAGTTTCTATTTGACATGATACACACATCTCAAAAACATCCGAAAGTCAAATCAGGGCAAATCAATTCGCTTAATCTCCTCACAAGCACTACTAGTCGAACCACAAACACGGATAATTTCTCGCTTCTGGTCCAATTCTACGTGCGGCATGATGCGGCAAGTGCGGGCCTCCGGTACCTCTACCTCTCAATCCGCAATCGAATGGTCTTGAACGGGTGGATCGTGGAACCAAACCGATTTCAACTGTTCGCCTTTTATCTCTTCAGCTGTGGGGTACAGACCTGCAGGTACACAACTTACTAAGCAGTATATGCATCTAACCAGACGCGGTCAAAGCTCTGATGACAAAAGCCCTTCAGGACACAATTTCTTTTCGTTCTGCATCAACAGGCAGACAAAAAAAAAAAAGCTCGACACGGCAAAGTCTAGCAATGATTGCGCCTCCATTGTTGCCTGGAGCTGCCAAGTCTATGCTTTCCTGTTTATAAACTGCCGAGCGCTTTGGTCTCTGTACCTCCTCTCTCCTTTGCGTATGCACTCTGGGATTTCTTGCCTTTTGTTGAGCATAGTTGCATACAATGGCTGAGCTTTCTCTGGACGCGTACTGGCGGGCGCCGCCAATTGCTAGGTAAGGATACCATTCAAACGCTCTTTAGATAACAGGGTTTGAAGATTCTCATACTGACTGGCCTCCTCTGTTTAGAACTGCTGCCACTGTTACCTTTGGCCTGTCTGTCGCCGTGCACATGGGAATGCTTGCCGGGGACCTCTTCCTCTATGACTTCCACTACTTGGCGCGGATTCCCCCGCAAGTATGGCGCCTTGTAACATGCTTCCTGATCACCTTCCCAAATCTGGGTGTTCTCTTTGACACTTTCCACATGTACATGTACATGAGTCAACTGGAAAAAGGTCATCCGCGATTGTCGAGACGAGAAGATCTTGTCTGGTATCTGACATTTGTGTGCGGAACAATTCTGGTAGGTCTTTTAGTTCAACCTCTTCTGTGCTCTCCCGTGTACCCTATATATGAAAACCCCTCAAAATATCTGCCCGGATAGTGCGATGCTTCTACTGCTATCACGGTTCCTGGAATTGAGGGAGATTACCCCTGCACTGCGAGTCGATCCACCTCATTCGCATTAGGACGGCTTGCGGTGTGGGCATGGTGGGATGCCGTAATCTATAACCCGTGTGAATCCATTCACTCGGGTGCCTTGATATGCTCCCTACATTTCCTCATCTTGATGACACTCGTGCCTGCTTTTCCCAAATATCCTCTTAAACCACCCCGATATTGATTGAGGCTGACCCATGCTTCAGATACTCAATCATCTATTGGGTTTCGGGTATGGAGTAATGACGCAGGCGCTCCTCCTCGCCATGGCGTATACCGTAACTCAAGAGCAACGCGGCCAGACAACAAACTATATGTTCGTTAGCATCCCGTCTCAGCTCGTTCCATTTGCCATGATGGCCATCAATCTTTTCTTCCCCGGTGGCATTGGTATTGTGCTCCTGCAGCTTCAGGGGCTTGCCGCGGCGCATTTGTATCTGTTTCTGACCAAAATCTGGCCTGACGTTGCCGGCGGTCGGAACTGGCTTGAGACTCCTGCGTTTATTCGGTCTGCAGTGAATGGAGTAACACCTGCGCCGCAACCATCTGCTGGGGGCAGAGGATTGAATACGACGTCCGCCCCAAGTAGCGGTGCAAGCAGTGGTGCTTCACGTGGACCATTACCAGACTCATGGCGCACCAGAGGACCAGGGCACCGCCTGGGCTAATTCATAGCATAGTTTTAATCAAACTGAGAAGTTGAACAATTGAATTTTATTGCTACACTCCAAGTAAATGTTTCGTGATAGTATACATGTTTTTGTCGATGTAGTAAGCTCATTCTAATCACTGGACCTAGGCTATAGTAGCCACGACGGCTGCATCGCGGAATGCTCAATGAAAGTATCAAGTTATTACATCTTGTGGATATGAATTATATGTATTCTAACCAGAACGCCTCGGTAGATATCCCAGGGTATAAATGATTGACAGCCGTTTCCTTGCGGCTAAATACCTTGCACAAACCGAACGCCCCTGAAACAGACAAAGCCACCATACCAGATCACTCCAGATCCCATCACAGCTTGAATAAAGCATTCAAGAACTTTACATCGCTTGGCCTCCCAAATACGTAAATCTCAAGAGAGAATAAAAGACAAAGGAAACATAAAAAAAGACAGCGCAAAAAGAGTGTAATCTTGGTAGCATCCCAGCGTCCACTATTCACATCCCGTACAATATGCTCTTCCCGCTGGCTAATGGCACATCCTTATAGGCAGAATACTTCTCGCTGTCGTTCGGAGTAGCTGGACGGTTTCGCTCGAGGACAACGACGCCCGCGCCGAGTGGCCTATCAATGAACCGAGGATCGCTCAAGAGAGGAGGTGTGATGTGCAGCTGATGATCTGCAGCGTCTCCAGGTCTTGTAGCCAGGGGCTGAAGCACGAGACTCGGCGGTGGAGCTTTCTTTGGAATATATAGCTTGGGCAAAGAGAGCGAAGAAAGTCTGGACCATCGGGACGAAGATCCAACCAATGTTGGCGAAGAGCTGGGCTCAGATGGAGATGATAACACAGACTGCCCTGGTGTAGGGAGTGGCTGCGGCTCAGATGGCCGAGAAGCGTTCTCTACGGCGGATTTATAGGCTCGGATGATGAACGAGTCGGGAGTGCCTGGCCTGCGTTTGTGTATTGGCTGAGGAGTCGGCAGAGAATGGCTTGAGATTGCGTCTCTGGCTTGCTTGGAGACGGCATTCGGGTCATAGGCGTGATGAGCAGGCATGGCGTTATCGGGGCCATGGATGACAGATCTCGGATCATGAGTGAGCTGTATGTGGCCTGAACGAGCAGCATTCTCCATGTGGTTGTAAAACTCGCCATTTGTCCCAACAGAGCCGTCTCTGGAGACCTCTGGGTAATGAGACTGGTGGGCCACATATACCCAAGGCTCAACCATAGTTTTGGGAGACGCCTCAATGTCTTGTCTATAATAGTAGCGTTGCTCGTAAAAGGGAGGAGGGGCGTTCCTCTGGCGAGCAAAATAGACGGCGAATAAGACAGTGGCGAGTGCGAAGATGATGACAATGCCAACAATGATGCCGATGATGGCGGATGTAGAGAGGCTTTTGGATGAAGTGGAATCGGCGTCGCTGGTGCCATCTCTTGGAGAGGCCATGAAAGCTTGAGTAGTCTGGCAGCTGGCCAGAGCCAATAGGAGGAGATGTAATGAAGAGATCATGCTGGGCTCTGCGTACGACTGACGGAAGATGGGAAGATATACAAGGGAGTTTAACACGAGTCTATTACTGGGAAGGCCTGCTCACTGTAGGATCAGATCAATCTTTTGCTAGTATCAATCACCACTTCCGGGAGGACATGACACTGGCAAGTAGAAAGATCCTTACAACAGTTGAGCTGATCAACCCTACTCGAGACAGGCGACGAGACAGGTGACTATCTGGGTAGGAGACGCAGTCTCTAGGAGCCGGCCGGTGGGAAGGGCCGGCAACAGTTATATGACTACTAATACTAATGCCAGCAACAACGAGCAACGCCACTTCAAGAGAACACAAATCAGATATACATCCCAATTAGGGCATCGGCACCACGCTGTGTTGGTTCCAACGTCAACACTGCATGTACAGATAGGCTACAGGCCATGTACATGTAGATATGGGGCTCTTGCCAGCAGCAGCAGGGGGCCGGCAGAGGCCTACGCAGAAACGAGGCTATGGCGCGGACTTTGCTGCCGATGGATGCTACGCTCATGGTGGGCAGCGGACACATGCACGCAATCCGACGCCTTTCGGGCCCCCGAGGAACCATGAGGCGTATTCGAAGTAGAGGCCGAGGCCAAGCTGGGGATGGGGGGGTGTAAGCGTGAAAGAGCTCTGGGCTGCTTAATATGCCATCATGGCGATGCTATTCGTCGAGACGCTCCCGACTCATGACGCTGCTGTCTGCCGTACGACGTAGGGCTGTGAGGACTCTTCCCAGCCAAACAGAACGGCCAGCACGGCTTTTGCAGGCAGAAACGCAAGAGGGATCTAGCGGGAGATCAGCCAGCCCAGGACACCAAGGACTCAGAGCAAGGCCCTTTCAGGTGTGAGTGGGACAAGAGACACGACAAAGTCCTACGGGAGTCGAAGCCGTGATGATGCCTGGCCCGTGCTGCTGCTGGTACCAGCACGCTATGATGCATAGAGGCAGCTGTCAGAGAAGAAAAAAACGAAACGAAACAAGAGGCGGCCCAGATCGCGGCTCGGCTGAGCGAGGCTTCTTTTCTCTCCACCAGCTTGACGAGGGGGCTTCAGGCAGAACAGAACAAGAACAAGGGCCTTGAATGGTGCCTTTAGACGCCACAACTCGTCCCCCTGCTCGTATTTGGCGGCCGATCCAATCAGCAGCGGCATAGACGCGCGGGCAAAGAGAACAAAGCTGCGCACTTGGACGAAAGAAGATGCCGCGGAGATGGAGCCCCAAGCCGCTGTGTAACGTCTGAATGGCCTGATATCAAGGGTGTGGACGACGAACAGGGGGGCTCCTCTTTTTTCTCTCTCGCCGTTTTCCGCGCTTCAAGAGAGAAACGTCAAGCGATAGAGACGTGAGTGGCTGGAAAGATGAGTCTTTTCGCCACTTTTTGACGACGACCCGCGCAGAATGCAACCCTACCTGGTTGACAGTGATCTTTTGAAGCGGAGGTCAATTTGATTTGGTGCTGTCTCACGTATAAAGAAAAAAGAGAGAGAGAGACAAATTAACCCACTTTGACTCGTGTGTATTGCGTCTAAGCGGGCGGATGACCGCGGCACGGCTTGACTGCAACCTGAACCCACCTTCTCTTTTCTGCCTCTTTTCATTATTGATTATCCCTGTTGATTATCATGGGCCGGCAGAGAGAGAGAGACAGACGCGCACTTTTGCGAGTACGGTTGAGCTTTGTAATTGGTTGAATGGGCCCCGGGCATCATCCCGTCTGCGGGGGATGGCGAACCTTGCAAACCACAGAGAAAGAGAGATGAAGATAGTGAAGGGGTAGAGACTTTTGAAGCTAAGAAGACACGGCAAGGGGAAGATGCCCGTCGACGATCCCGTGGCCCCCAAAACTTGTTCTCTTTCTTTTCATTCTTTCTCCTCTTGGACTAGGGTGAGCGGTTTTGAACAATGATGAAGCAGAGCTTATTGATCTACTTTTCCTTCCCGGCCGAGAAAGACCGATAGCAGGTTGTTGTAATCTTACTGGGTAGCAGTACTAGCAGTAGCGATATCCAGGATGCTTGTCATCCCCCCCTCCGGTTCGTCTTGCACGAGAACCCGGTCACTTGTCATAATCCGCGCTAAGCAGCCTTCCGATAGCCGCGATGGCGGGCTTCTCACGAATCGGCCTTTTTGGACTCTTGCAGGACAAGTGCGCGGTTTCGGGTTGAGAGATTGCTAGGCTGGTGGGTGACATTGGAGATTGACATGTGCTACTTTGCATCTCGTGCCATCTTTTTTTTGTTTTGCGTAGAGAGACATCCCGCGTGGATGTTTGAGTAAGGTAGGTAGTATCTCGCATAGCTGTGTCGATGTGAGTTGTGATATGACAGCTGATATCAACACGCTTCTGTCTTGCACGTTTTTTATGGTGTTGCTCCCTAACTGTAGCCGGTAATCGCTGTTGTGACAAAGTGACGTGTCGGACCGATCTCCACACATTGTAGCTATGGACTTTTCTCTCTCTCTCCCCCTCTCCATTAATCTAATCTCTTCACATTGCCTGAATGAGTTGGGGCACTCGTCCGAGGAAACAAGGGGGAGCCCATTGATCAACGGGATGACCTTTGATATAGTAAGTAGCTACGTTGGAGGCCCCTCCTTATCAATTGTCAGTCCTCAAAGCCATGCCTGACAGAGCATATGCAAAGCCTTCGTCTTTCACTGATGGGAGGTTGAAACAAACAAGATTTCACTGGCGGAGAATGCCGCGGTAGGAAGAATGATGTAGTCACAGGCTTGCACCCCACAGCTTTTTGTGATCATGGTTGGAGAAACGATAACTTGATGTCTTATTCCAACTGGTAATATGCCGTGTATATGTTCAACCATATGCTTCGCTTGCCATCTTTCCAGGTATAAACATTCTATACTGTGCAATGAGCCTTCTACTAATAATGGTATGCCGTGTATGATTTCTTAACCAATAATGCAGCCAAAGCGTTCGCAATATAAAGAAACAAGAGTCGCTAGACATGTTGTTGCTGTTATCCCTCTTTTGCCTACATAATAGTCAATATTGGGATTTTTCGTCATGTGCTAAGAAAAAGGGGAAATAAACGTACTCTTCTTAACCATGACGAGCTTTGTAAGCTCTAGTGCTCCTGATACTGCTACGTACAGTAGCAAAGACGTGTGTTATCGAGTATATCATTATGCAACGCTGTAAAGTGAATATGACAAGAGCCGTGTTTTAGTTTGAATTTCCGTTGGGTATCTCGATAGGTGTGCCATTGGACGTGGGCTGCTTTTGGTATAGATGGTGTAGCTTGATGTACTTGTAGACGGAATCGGGTATATCTTCTACTCTTTCTCCGTTTTGTATTTGAGCACGGACTCGTGTTGACTAGATAGTCGCCTCGTTAGCACAATAGAAGTGACTATAAGACTAAAAAGAGGGAGATTTCCTACGGAGACTTCGTTGGTAATTGTTGGAACTACCCAGATCTTGTCGTATTTCTTGAGAGGCTCTATCGCATCCTGGGTTCTGCATTGTGAGGGCCTGAATGGCATTCCAGAGATTAGCGCTTGCTCAGACGAGTCGACACCGGCGAGGGTTTGCTACCTTTCAACAACAAATGCCCCGTAGTAGCCCAGCAGCACGTCAAGATCCGCAGGATCCCATACTTTAGGATCGGCCATTGTTACGGCGAGATCAGCCCCAATAAGTAGCATGACTTGCGCCCTCACGAAAACGCCGTCGTGAGTCTCAATGCCGCCGAGTACATTGTTTATTTCGTGGTCGAAATGGCGGAGGACATCCACCGTCGGGCTATAGAGAGGCTTGCCTGCTTCATCGAGGCGTACAGTCTCCCAAGGGTCTATGGTGATGGTGGCCGTCGAGTCTGTATCGACGGCTAGGCTACACACTATGGAGAGCAGTGAGCGAGAGTTCGACTCTCTCTTTTATCTTGTATCTTAAGCCAATTATAAACCTACTTTGAATCCGGTCGTCGGCTGGTGCTAATGATGCCTTTTGGTACGCATCCGAGCAGGGCGACATGTAATTACCAACGATTTCGAAGCCGGGGTCACTCTGCCTTACATATTCCTCCGCCAATTCAAACATTCGCAAGTCTACAGACTCGTTAGGGAGAGTCATCTATATCAGCGCCGCGCCCGACTTACGAAGAGTCGTCACAGGCGAGAAGCTTCCGCAGGCGACGAGCACCAGCGGCACCTTGTCAGGCCGTGTCAAGCGACGCTTCAGGTTCTGCACTGGAAATTTGTATCCGGGCGGTGATGCGATCGGCTCGGGAGGAGGCATCGGTGCGCCGTTTGACTGCGGGACAGACGCAAAGCTCGACGCCGAGGCCACCATGATTTGATGGGGCGTTTATTACGGAAGGCCGAGGGTGTCGCGGAAGGAGAAGAAGAGAGGCGGCCGGGATCGATTTCGGGGATCCGTGATGCTGGTGTTGGCGTGGATGGTCGCGTGGGCAGGCAGGAATGGCTTGTTGGATCTAAAGAGGTTTGCGACGATGACGAGAGTGGGATATTGGTGATAGATGCCTATCTGGGCGGGCTATTAATAACGCTGAAGCCCCGGAAAGGATTGGGGGAAGCCTCCCGCTAAAGACAGCGGGCTAGCCGAAGTGAGCCTCTCTAGGAGGAGTCTGTTTCAGGCGGCTTACCAGCTATTGGGACCTTCTTAGGCTTGTGGCTGTTTGAAGCCATGTAAGAGAAATAGTATTGACTGTGATGAAGATAATTCTTATATGAACCAATCATCAATATTTGCGGAAAAAGAGTGACCATTACTGTATCGCGGAATGTGGCAAAGATGACGTCAGTCTATCTCAGCCGAAGTCTCACATGCATCGTCAATGTTCTGTCAGTCGATCATTGTCTGTGTGACATTGCGACGTCAGCTGCTTATTTTCACACTGGGGCACCATTAAAGGTAAGAAAGTACAATGAAGAAGAAAACGATCTAGACGTAGCGAAGGGCGATGGCTGCTGTCCTGCAGTGATATATATACTGAAGTAGTGCGCATATAGCTGCCGTGGACTATGGGGAATTGAAAGAAAATAATCAAGACAAACTTGACAATGGAAGCCAATATTGTATAGATTAGGGTAGCCGTAGCAAAGTTCCGCACCTTGTCATAGCCTTGTGAGCAGTATATCACTTGGGAACTGTGTATCAGCCTTCAGCAACGTACAGGTATAAGTGGCATTGGACTTTGCAGGGTACTTGGCTATAGACCACGGTCGAGTTTTGCGAGGAAACAGAGAGCACCTATATCAGTCCAACGTCAGCATACCACTTGTGTTTATGAAATCTATACTATTGTGTCTTGTCGCGTGTAAAGAGCTCGTTAAGATTTGGATAGCCGTATGAAATCTCGTAGATGCCAGTACTGTCTTATATACACAGCCATATACTATCTGGCTTGTCTTCACTACTAGTAGCACTCACAAAGCCAGGTCTGTTCTGCGACAGAATGCGGCGGGGTGGCGGCAAACTGAGCGACGTCATTGGTCAGCCGTGATGTGGGAATTCTCATCACCCAATCAGATATGCCTTTTTTGTTTAAGCAAAGACCCCTTGCAGGGTCTGAAACAAAATCCAGCCACGGGCTTAAGACTGGAGAGAACTGAAGTGCCACTGTACGAAGTACTTTATGCGTAGAGGCTGTGCCGTCTTATAAGCGTAAATTGACAGGTATCAACTTGGTGAAGTTTCGCTTTATATACTGTGCGGTCTGTCGCCTTGCTGTTTCCCTTGGCCATGAGTTGGGAGAAGCTTCATGTTCGTTTGATTTCTTCCGCAGCACGTCAAAAGTATCAGCTTTATTGGCAGCTTGAACAGGTAAAAGCGCGTGTGTCACTACTAGTACTCGACTTGTGCCCGGCATTTAGAGTTACGGAACGCCACCTGCCATTTCATGTACCGAACCACCTCTAGGAACCTTGATCCTACCCCTCTATCGATACTCCGATACTCCATAACCGTACGGCCAACACGCAAAGTCTCGGGCTCCATTCTTGACAGCCCTCTACGCCCAAAAGAGTCGTTCTGCTGTTGGCCGCTGTCCAACGACAAACACCTTTGCCGGAATTAGTGTCGCCTGCTCCTTGCCTGTCGCGGTACTGAGCTGTAGAGGAGCTGCTACGAAAAGCCGGGCGCTGCCCGCAACGCTTGACTTTTCGCAGCTTTGCAGTTGCTCGTCTGGTTTGCTCTGAGAGACGGGCTAAGCCAGGGCGCTTGGACTTTGAAACGGTGGAAAGATGAGGATCGCGTGCCTTCAGTTTGCGCCGCACGTTGCAGATGTGGAAAACAACCTCAGCAAGGCGGACGAGATCCTGAGTCAGGTTGACGCAGATGACCTGCAAGTAGACCTTTTGGTGCTCCCCGAGCTGGCCTTTACCGGTACGCCCACATCAAGTTCTACGGCACTTTCCATCTGCTCTGTGGGGTTTTCTAACTTATAGTTCTTCTTATTGTCTAGGCTACAACTTCAAGTCTCTAGCTCATATATCTCCCTATCTCGAAGAATGCAGCACGGGGATTAGCTCGCTTTGGGCTCGAAACACGGCCCTCAAGCATGACTGCACTGTCGTCGTTGGCTACCCCGAAAAGGTAGATCCAGCGCTCAACTGGCCCACGGACCCCCAGTATTACAACTCTGCTATTACTGTCAACGGCGATGGTGAGACGGTGGCCAACTATCGCAAAGTGCACCTCTATTACACCGATGAGACTTGGGCTTTGGAGGGTTCCCATGGCTTTCTTGGACAGCGGATCCCTGGCCTGGGCCAAACTGCCATGGGCATTTGCATGGACTTGAAGTGAGTTGTTTCATAGGACTGACATGGCCCCTTCTCTCCTTCTCTACGTGTTCTCATGACCATACTGACTGATGATCCACGCTTCTAGCCCATATAAATTTGAAGCTCCATGGAGCAAATTTGAGTTCGGGCAGCATGTCTTGGACAGCGGTGCTCGACTCGTTGTAGTTCCTATGGCGTGGCTCACTAATGACGAGCAGCAGGAATTCTTGAGCACTCTTCAGGATCCCGACACTATGAGTTTACTGTACTGGGTATCACGCTTTGAGCCGCTGATTCGTGCACGCTCCAATCAAGAAGTCATTGTCGTCTTTGCCAACCGTTGTGGCACGGAGGGCGAAACGACGTACGTCGGCACAAGTGCTGTGATTGGTATTCAGTCTGGTGAAATTCATGTCTATGGCATAATGGGTCGTGGAGAGACGGGCCTCCTCGTGGTTGATACGGATTCTGAGCCGTACGCGAAATTGGCGTATCAGCCGCTTCAGCCAGTCGTCCGATCAGATAACAACGGCTCACCCGAATTAGATGCAGGCTCACGCAACAATACAACCCAGTTTCATGACTCTCAGGAGCAAGTATGGGGAAGTCCGGAAAGGCCCAAAGATCGTGTCCCCGATGCTGCCCATCAACAAGAAGTCGGCTTACACGGCTGGTACGGGAATGATACGAATAATGCCAATGAGCAAAAACATCATCAATCTTCAAGACATGATGAGGAGCATTATTACTACAGATCACATAAACAACAGGCCGACCATGCACCGCAAGCATCAAGTCCCAAGCTCAACATGGAATCTTTACAGTTGGATATCCCGCCCGACCAATATATGCTCCGAAGATATCTTGAATCAGAATCTCCGGTACATGTAGACGCATTCAACTCTTCGATCCATTCCGCGATAAGATCCCCAGAGCCATTTCGAGGATCACGGAAAGATCGGGACGACTATGTAGCATTTTATCCTGATAATACGGAAGATGATAAACGATTCAGCATGCGATCGGACGTCTCCGTCTATAACAACCAATCAGGTCGACCTCGTCAAGCTTCCGTCTCGATGGTGGCCCCTTCTGGATTATCGCATGTGGCAACTCATGAGAGATCTAGGACTACTGAGATTGCGAATAACTCCAGATGGCAAGGGGGTCATAAGTCGCTCCTCAGCCAGCGGCGATCATCAGACTGGAATAGTCGGCGTGGTAGTGAATATGGACAGCCGATATCGCGACAATCGTCTCAATATCATCTTCAAGAACGTTACAGTCAGGGCCAGATTGATGAAATGGCACGAAGCTACTCGAGCAGCGCTGTACTACCGCTCCACCTTTTGGAGTCTCACACAGCATCACAACTTACCCCGGAGGAGGTTGGGAGAGGTCGGCGACGTTCTTCTCATAAGCATCTAAAAGATAGACGGCGAGGGTCACGAAGCACACAAATGTCTCAAAAGGAGCCCATCGACCTTTCGCAGTTCACTCTCATCGAGGAATACCCCTCTGCCAGCTGCCCTGTGCATGGAAGCCGTCCTCCGTCGGGAACTAGGCGCCAGAACCATTCGAGGGCCAGGGGTCGGTCAGGAAGTCGCTCGCAGCAAGTACCAGAGTCGCAACCTGCTAGGAAACAGTCCAACCGGCGCGTGCCATCGCAAAATGAGAATCAGAGGGGTGAATACGGCTTAGGCTTATCATATCGACCCGTTCACTCGACAAGACCTGAATTAGAGCACTTGACCAGAGAGAGAAAGAGAGATGAGAGGGAGAGTTATGAGGAACGTGCTGCTGACCATATTTCCGGCCCAAAGACTCCTACTGCTATGCGACTGGTCCCCGATTTGGAACTGCCCGATGGCCTTGAAAAAACTTTTTCTTTGCTCAAATGTGTGGAGAAGGTGCCAGAACGCATTGTGAGACGGCGCGTGAGTTCATTTTGGTAATGGATTTTACTTTTCTGGCTAGCAAATGGAATCCTTTGTTTTTAGTTTGGTTGTATTTAGCGAGTATCTTTGGCTTTAAGAACGGCCCTTTTCATCTAATAGACGAACAACAGATGGCATGGACGTGGCTTTGTATGTGTTAATGCACGATATGGGTGCACTAACCAACATGGCCAAACAAAAAATGGCGTTAATCCACGTGTTTATTGTTTTGGTTACTCTAATCTAAGTTTTACTCTGGATAGACACATATAGACGGAGTTCTTTCTGGGAGTTTCAGTTCGGCTACCAGTATATTGCTGTCTTTTGCCGGCAACAAGTATTAGGATAGAATTCAGTATTTTTAATTAAAAGATATTGTTTACGGTTAATTAATTGCATTGATGAAGAAATTGAGATGACGATTTTTACATGTAATTGTCACTCATATTCAGCGCCTGTCGCGTATAGGGGCCCATTCCATTCGCACCACGCCATCATCACCCTGGGAATTGCGACGCCATGGCGGTATGTCATTGGTTCTAGTGCCGATGTAGAAGAACATACATGCACGGAGTAGAGTGATGTAAGTATGTTACAATTAACCATTATTAAGCGGCTATATATTTAAATATTTCCCCTTGTTTCTTCGAGCGGGATTTTCAGAGCGGCTAACAGAGTGAAGAAAAGGAAAGAGGCCATTTCTTTCTTCTTCTGCATCATCCCCGAGTTTGTGCTCGACCAACATCACCAAAGCGTGATGAAGATGTGATATCCGTGGCATCATAAAGCGGCGCTTGGGGGCGGTTATGGGCACATAGAGTCTGGTGTGAGAAAACGTGATGAGGTTTGCAGCGCGCAAGGAGCAAGGGTATTGCTAGTGTATGCATTGCCGAGCATGTCAGTTGCATGTCAATTTATCAATTTATCCACAGAGACAAGGTTGTGTATGAGCCGCGGCGATTTTGTCATATGAGATGTGAGTAAGTAGTCTACAGAGATTGTATTCACGGTACTTGTGTGTGAAAACAGCCGCCAACAAGCGGCATTTCCGGGCATCTCGCGCTAATGGCAATATTTACACGGTATCGTCTCCATCCGGTGATGGAATTATAGAGAAAACGATACGGTAGGAGGAGGACTTTTGTACGCAAAACGCATGTTGGTCCAAGACTGATGTAATCGGGCGGAGAATCTTGGCCGCCACAGATGGAGTGCAGGATGAAAAGAGGAGACGCAGAGGGTAGCAGTAAGGCTTCCTCCTGCAGCAAGAGCAGAGTGCGAGAGAGCTTTTGCATACATGTATACATGAACTGATGCAGTGTACTGTGCCTACAGTATGTGCCGTATTGTGGATGACGTGAGGATGCTGCGAATCAGATGTTGCTGTTGAGGGTACATTGTCAGCTTGAGGAACGGATACGAGCGACGGTGTGATCATCACCAGCACTAGGTAGTCTAGTATCTGAACCAACAGCTCTTGGACGGATCTCGGCCCTGTTTGCGGGCGGGGAGGGCAAAGACTTGCAAAGAGAGACAATTTTCTCTCAATTTTCATTACGGAACACAGCAGCCCGAGCAGCTCCAAGCCGACAACAACGGCCAGCGGCCATCCAGAATGTCGAATTAAGCGCCCGGGTCCCAGCGGGCTGCCAATCGGAGGGCCGCAACGGTGATGCGATGTGAAGTGCGAGCAGGGATCCCTGCAGAGGCTTGACGCCACGCAGGGGATCCCGCCTCTTAGTGGCGAGATGAGATGAGCCCTTGTCTGCGGAAGAAGGACTGGGACTGGGCATTGGCAGCCTGCATTTGCCTGAACGGTACGGCATCACAGCCGTTTTGAGGGTGGTGGTGCAGCTGCCACAAGCAAGGGGACGGGCTTGAAGCTGCCGTTCACAGCTCGGGGTGGGCTCGAGGCCTCCCCGAACGAGACGTGACAGTCTATGCGGCCTGGCCTCGCCTGGCCTAGCCCTGGAGCTCGCCATGGACGGGACGACGCAGATTGGACTGAGCGGCGAGATGGCGGGCGAGCCGCACGTCCACTTGGGGTGGAGAATGTGACCAGCACCAACCAAGAGACCAAGAGAACTGCTGTCCGGATCAGGACCTCCCATGTCCTCTCGTCTGAGGGAAGCACCTGAGGTGCGACTCTGCATCTTCATCACATCTGCCATCCAACAATCACTCGGCAGCCTCCTGGTCGCTTGGCTTCACTGACGGACGCGTCTCCCGGCGCTGATATATCAATCTCGATTAGCCCTCGAACTGAGGAATGCCTTTCGTCTCTTGCTTCGTGACCATTCACATTCAATAGTAAAAGGCGTGGCATGTAGCACGGGCCGGCACTGTGTCTTGCTACAGCTCCTTCGCTCCAATCCCACGCTCGCTATTCCAAACCTCCCCAACGCTCTTTTCCCAAGAAGAAACATGTTACGCCTCCTCACGAGCTTCGCGGCCGTAGGCGCCGTGCTGCCGGCGGCCGAGGCCGTCATCGTTGCGCCAAACTCGCCGTGCTCGGTCAACTGCGGCAACGTCCTGGACGCGACGACCCCCGCCGACGTTGTCTGCAAGCCGGATGAGTACACCGGCGGCTATGACAATGGAGCTGGCACCGTGTTCCAGGGCTGTGTCCAATGTGAGCTGAACAGCGGGTATGCCACGGACAGCAATTATACCGACAACATGGCGGCGCTCTGTATGTATCTTGTTTTCCCCCCCATGTACCTTTGGCCTCACTATCTATACGATGGCGTGTCGAAAGTGGTAAGCAAGAGTTCTAACGTTCGGTTTGCCCTTTAGATAATCTGCGGTATGCCGTATCATACTGCGTCTTCAATGAGCCAAAGCACGATGATTATATCAACAATCCGTGTACCACGAGGTAAGTAGCAACGTCTTAGGCGTGTCAAAATAGCATGTGTATATGCGGCGACTGACATGTCGAATTATAGCAAGGCCTGTGGCGTCTTTGCTGATGCTATTGCGTACCATAACTTATCAGCCAAGTATGACGACTTTGGTTACTGCGACATATGGCCCACGGGCGACACCGTCGACTTCAACGGCTGTGTACAGTGCCTCCAAGTGAAGGATAAGTACTTGGCAAATTGTACGATGCCTCCTGGGTATCCAGCCCGATGACGATGTGGACGTTTGCTAACATGCCATGTAGTTGTTACTGCTCTCGAGGCTGGATGTCTACAGAAGCCGGCCGCTGGAAAGAAGCTGGGACTCCAGGGCAACCTCTTTTCAAGCAACGTCGTCAACATCACTACTCCCACACAGACGCCGGAGGTAAACCCAGCCTGGTTTGATCATGGGCCTTTGGGTCTGGGTGGGAAAGTTGGCATCGCCGTGGGAGGATTTATTTTCCTGCTCATCCTCGCCGGTGCCGCCGTCATCTGCAGAGGCAGGAGACGAAGAAAGGCCTTTCTCAGGAAGTTGCAGATCAATATGCCACAGATGGGTTCCAACCATGGCGGCTGGCCGTCGATGCCTATGAGCCATGACACTGGCGAAACGCCCATTAGCCAGCGTCCTCTCCGGAACTGGGATGACTCCCCCGTGACCATCAACACCGAGAAGAACTTCCCTCGATACTTTTCGCCGTATTCTTCTCAATACAACAGTCCCGTCAGCGCGACGGACGTGAATCACATGCCGTGGCCAGAACCAGCCTTGGGCTCTCCTCGCACATTACGGGAAATTGGTCTCGCTCTTGGTTCGGCCGTTGATGTCAACAACACAGCTAGTCATGGAGGCAACGAGCGATGGCCCTTGTCGCCTGAGGATAAGGGCAAGATGAAGGACGAGTCCTACGAAATGCAGCACGTCGACAGTGCTGGCGGCAGCGTCGCTCCAGACCCGCGCGCTCTCCAAGTTGAAACTCCAATTCTGGGGCATCCCGGCTACGGGAGAAGCTCTGATAGCCCGCCCAGACAATATGATGTGAATGGGCCCTCTGCATAGGGGCAAGGCTTTTATATGGCCAAATAATGCTCACGAATTAATGAACATGTCTATGGGTTTTGCGGAGGCAGTTGACGATACCTTGCTGTTTTGTTCTTTACCCCGGTGGTGTTTTGGAGCGATTTATAACACACATGTATATATCTATATAACTCTTTTGTTGATATTGGAGCGCGGTGAGCGCAACCTAGGGAGAAAAACCGGACGTATGTATGGGAAGGAGGATGCTGGGGATACCCAAGTGCGCCTTGATGGTGCCTGTTTCTTTGAATATATAAGACCAGAACATTGAATATGCATTGAACGAATATTCGAGTTTTTTTTTTTTTTTTTTGAGAAGACTGATGGAAGCATCTGGATAGTTATTGAAAATTATTCGAAATAGCATTGAGTGTCATTTGCTCCAATTATTGCTATGGCTTAGATTAAAATCTGTGTAAAGCGTCAGGTAGTTACAGATTATGCACAGAAAATCGACGCTCAGACTACGCCGCGGTAGACAAGTTGAGGTGAGTGTGGCTGGTGCGTCTTGAGATGTGGCGTGCATATACACGCTTATCCATAACAGGGCTAGCGGTCAATTGGCGCCACACTTTGCATGCAAAGTTTCTGCCCCACAGAGCGAAAGAAAAAAAAAATCTGGAAGCTCGAACCGGTGGTAGAACTAGAAAAAAAATCCATCACGAGTGCAAGCGCGCCCAGTTTCGCCCTCGTCGTTTGGAACCACCAGCCTTTGCACCTTCCAATTTACTCCAGGCTTTCGGATACTCGGACGATCAACTCGGAGAGAGACTGCCAAAATGGTTACCGAAGTCGTGAACAAGAAGAAGGTGGAGGAGCAGGAGCACATCATCAAGCCCCAGGCCACCACTCCTGCCGTCGACACCAGCCAGTGGCCGCTGCTTCTCAAGAACTATGACAATCGTGAGTGAATCATCTCTTCTGGTCTTTGGCACATTGAAATGGAATTGTAGCGCTCAATTGAGTGAGAATGAGGTGTCAAAGTGGCATGGAAGCGAGGAAGAGATGGGAACAAGACGCAAAATCATAGTATCTGAACTCGAGCCTTGCGCTGACCTCTTTTCTTCTCTCTTCTAGTTCTTGTGCGAACCGGCCACTTCACCCCCATTCCCAATGGATCTGCGCCTTTGAAGCGTGACATCAAGTCTTACATCAGCTCTGGTGTCATCAACCTGGACAAGCCCTCCAACCCTTCCAGTCACGAGGTTGTGTCCTGGGTCAAGCGAATTCTTCGGTTCGTACTCGCCTACAGTCCAATCTGAATGGATTTGGAACTTCAATCAGCTGCCATTTTGAAATCGAATCATTGAGCTAACAAATGCCATTTGCGGCGCACAACCATTAGCGTTGAGAAGACCGGCCACAGCGGTACCCTCGACCCCAAGGTCACGGGATGTCTGATTGTCTGTATCGATCGAGCGACTCGACTGGTCAAGTCCCAGCAGGGAGCCGGAAAGGAGTACGTTGCCATCATTCGTCTCCACGACAAGCTGCCTGGCGGCCAGGCCCAGTTCGCCCGCGCTCTCGAGACCCTCACCGGTGCCCTGTTCCAGCGCCCGCCTCTGATTTCCGCCGTCAAGCGACAGCTTCGTATCCGAACCATCCACGAGAGCAAGCTGATTGAGTTTGACAATGACCGCCACCTGGGTGTGTTCTGGGTGAGCTGCGAGGCTGGTACCTATATCCGAACCCTGTGTGTGCACCTGGGTCTGCTGCTTGGTGTCGGTGCCCACATGCAGGAGCTCCGACGTGTGCGCAGTGGTGCCATGGACGAGACCAAGCACCTCGTTACCCTGCACGATGTTCTGGATGCTCAGTGGACCATGGACAACACCCGCGACGAGTCCTACCTCCGCAGAGTCATTGCTCCTCTCGAGACTCTGCTCACTGGTTACAAGCGTCTTGTTGTCAAGGACAGCGCTGTCAACGCTGTCTGCTACGGTGCTAAGCTTATGCTGCCCGGTCTCCTGCGTTATGGTATGTGATTTGTTTTGGCAATGGCTTTCGAAGCCTTTAGCTACCCTTAAGGGACCTGCCGCTAACAAGTTTGTTTCTTACAGAGTCTGGCATTGAGCACCACGAAGAAGTTGTCTTGATGACCACCAAGGGTGAGGCTATTGCCATTGGTATCGCCCAGATGTCTACGGTGGAGATGTCTACATGCGACCATGGTGTCGTCGCAAAGGTCAAGCGTTGCATCATGGAGCGTGACCTTTACCCACGACGATGGGGCCTCGGCCCTGTCGCCCAGGAGAAGAAGAAGCTCAAGGCTGATGGCAAGCTCGACAAGTTTGGCCGACCCAACGATGCTACTCCTGCCAAGTGGACCTCCGACTACAAGGATTTCAGCGTGTCAGATACCTCTGCCGCGGCGGCTGCTGCTGCTCCTGCCACCACTTCCATCCCTGTCCTGCCTTCCACACCCTCCAAGGAGGCTGATACCAAGATGAATGACGCAGAGACCCCTGCTGGTGATGAGGACAAGAAGAAGCGAAAGAAGCACGATGGTGAGACTGCTGAGGAGAAGGCTGAGCGGAAACGACGGAAGGCCGAGAAGAAGGCTGCCAAGGCAGCGAAGAAGGGCGGCAAAGACGATGAGGACAGTGATTAAAAGTAAAAAGAGTGGGGAAATTAAGACTGAGGATTCTTTTTCAACGTGAAGTGTCCTGGCGTGGGAGTCTTTTGTCGATATGGAAATGGTCGTGCCTTGTACCTTTCTCTTTTTTCTAGTTACCCACCAGTGGCTCTTTGGTAATCGGCGTTTATAGGTATCAATTCAAACATGATTATTCTTACTAAACAAGATGTGTGTGTTGACCTGTGCTGAGCTGAGCTGTGTTGCGTTGCAAAGCGCTTGGGGTGATGCCGCAATGGGGAGTTTGTCCGCTGCGTGGCTCAAGTAGAGCTTGCTCTGGGTTGAAAGCAGGTTCGTCTTTCAGCGCGTGTATGTAGCGCTTCCAGGCGGAAAACAGACGATTGTTGATTGCATCACACCACCGATCGAGCGGTAAGCAATATATAAGCGGCAAATTTACTGGATCCAACAGTCTTGCTCCCCGGCTATTTGCTTGTAGCTTGGGATAGAGCGACTTTTGAGCCGCTCAAGGCGCTTGTGTCTTAATTTGCGGTGGAGCATTATTCTAGAGAACAGATAAACTCGCAACTAGAAAATGATAGTGCAGTAGATAGTCATTATGTGATCTATCCGTACTGATCGACCAGTTAGCAAATCGTAACAGATTCAATCGCATCTCTGTGCCTGGCAGTAGCATCAAAACACTGGCCGAATGGGAAGCCTCCGTTGGGTTGGGCGTCTCACGTGCAGCTGCTAAGCGCCGAACACTTCCCGGGTCCATCACACACCTTGAAACCTGCATCTGCATCTCCCGCTTTCTTGGTTCGTGCCGCTCGCTGCGATTCGCTACGCGCGCACATGCTAGAGAAGTACTAGTTTGCTCGAGACTCTGCGTCTGCCGCCTCTCATTGGGCCGGAGCGACGACGAGGAACGCCTGTTTGGTGGCAATCTTGGCCGCAGGCACGAGTGAAGCTTCCCGATGCGATGATGGGATGAACGATGAACAGGGATGCAAGGGGCTGGGGCAGCGATGATTGCCGGGCAAGGGAGACAAGCAAACTTGCACAGTTAGTGCTATGGCGACAGATGGTGCCCAAGCGCCAAGCAAGAGACGGAGAGAGCTTACGGACGGAGATGGATGCGTGTGATGGAGCAGCTGAGGCGGAAGCGAGGGTGTTTGGGTGCATAGCCATGGGCGGCAAGCCACCGTCTCTACCGTCATGCTATGCTGCCAGAGTATCTTTGCCGCCGTCACGATAGTCTCGTCACCGGCGCCTTGGGGTTCAGGAAGCTTTCAACCGCCGTGGACCAGGATATTATGAGCGGTGTCTGCCCCCTTCATCTTGGCTTTGAGTGTGATTGTTTCAACCTTTCCTTTATTCTCTCGTTATATACTCTCGTTACAGCCTTGATTTGCAGATACCTCTGCCATCATCTTTGTTCTCATTGCTGTCTCTCCTATTTGTGTTGCGGCTGACGGCTTCATCTACCCGTGTGGATACTATTAATACTTGAAAAGGGCGACATTGTCTTACCTTTCAATTTACCGTTGAGAGGCAATTGCAATTGTGTATCCATCTAAAATAAAGGAGTCTTGACAGATTTTTTTTTTTAAATCCATTCGCTACTTTTCTGCTGGATCACTCTCTCGATAGCATTTACTCTCTTGCAACACGCACTCGACTCTTTCTTTGCCAGCATCCAGTCCGAGTCCTATCATTCATTTTCCAACATACCGGCGCTCTTTATATCGGACACGATGGGTTACATATCGATTCGTCGTGGAGCCATTTCTCTATTCATCGCTGCTCCGTCGTTGACGCAAGCCCTGCAAGTCTCGCCAAATTCACCATGCACAAGCGTCTGCACCGATTCCAACATCTCACAATCGGACCCAACCTTCTTCGATGAGCAGTGGAAAGATATCGTCTGCACCGACACAGCCTTGGATAGTACGCCACAGGGGAAAAAGCTGGAGAGCTGCTTCACGTGCCTACAGAATAGCACTTACACCCATGGCAGCGAGAGTGATCAGGATTGGTTCCTCTGTTAGTTCCCAACTTCTACAACTCCTGTCTAATAGCCGTGACTTACATGTAATATAGACAACCTACGGTACTCTGCCAGCTACTGCATATTTGGCTATCCCAACAGCACTGGCTTTGACTCGGGCCCTTGCACGACGACCGTTGGGTGCGGGAGCCTCTCTGATGCCCTCGAGCTAAGCATTAAGAATCCGACGAGCTTGACCCCTTATGATTACTGCGATGTCAATGGGGGCGCCATCACCAGCAATCAAGTTCAGGGATGCCTGCAGTGTATCCAGGCGGATGGAGAGCACGATTACATGTCCAACTGTACGTGGTATAAAGTCTATCTCTCTTCTATACGTTGCTAACGCATGCTCTTAGTCCTTCTTGCCTTACAAGGGGCCTGCCAGGTGAAGCCTGCGTCAGACTCCGTCTTAGTGCTGAACAAGCCACTCTTTGGCAATGATACCGTCCAAGTTGTTACTTCATCTCCATCTTCTGGCGACCAAGGGCCTGCAATCTCCACTCCGACAATCGTGGGCATCGTCGTTGGCGGTGTTGTTCTATTGGCCTTGATTGCAGCCTTCACGTTTGTTTGCATTCGCAAACGCAAGAATCGTGCCAAAGAGCAAGACCGCGCCTCCGGCTATTCTTTCCGCTGCCAGACCAGAGTGACTCCCGTCACCCCCAGATTTCCAGAAAGTGCTCAGCCCGATGATAACTTTCAAGGCAACGAGAAGGCACATGTCATGGTTACCAATGGTATTCCCATCGGCGCAAATACGTATCCTCAGGCCCAATATCCCTGGAATAGCCAGAGCTCGTTAAACGTCACTACTAGCCGACAGGATAGTGCGATAATGCGGCCCAGCGTCATCACTAGCCTGCCACCACCTCCTTCGGCGCACATCTCTCCTCGGCTTGGCTCGCCGGATGACTACTCGACTCCTGCTTCTGCTGTTTCCACTCGGTCAAGTGCTCCTCTACTTGCCACTCCGCAGCGGGGGTACTCTCCTTCGCCTCACTTGGCCCAGTCTAGCTGGTCGCTAAGCCCAAGGCCAAACCGAGTCGACAAGAGGTGGGAAGACGAAAACCAAGGATTTGGTAATGCCCTTGGGCTTGTTAGCAAGAAGAAGAACCAGACGAACGCGGCAAGCCCTGTCCAGAGTGAGGTTATTCAGACATCTTTCCCGCCACCTCCTACGAGGTAACATCGGGAGCTGTTGAACGGTCATATTATTTAGCGATATCTATCAAAGCTTGTTTTGGACTGCTTTTCTTTTCTTTTTTCTTTTTTTCTTTTTTTTTTTTGTACAATACGTCTAATGGGAAGGGAATCGGCGGTGCATGTATGGGAGGGTTTGGGTCTGTATTAGTGATATCCACAATGAATTATGAAAAGAATGTTTCAAGGTCACTATCATTCAATCGCAATGTCTTCATCGTGAATAGCCAAGCAATCATTTTGCTTTGAAAATTCAATATATATATAAACGCTGAATCACAAAATCTGCTAGCAGATCAATCCATGCCATGTCATGCCCTTATCTTTCCGACCCTCTTACCTGCAATGCTGTAAACAATTCCAAAAAGATCAGGATGAAAAAGAAAACACGCTTGCCATATATCCCTACTACCCTAGCCGAGACGAGTATAAAGCAAAAGTATGAAATCGGCTCCTTCGCACTAATGTGCATAAACAAAAATAGGGGGGCATCTTACTATACATATCCTAAGGGAAAAGGGCACAGAAATGCAAAACGACTATATGAAGCTTCACCGAGGCAGTGATGTTGATCTCAGCCAAACTCAACTGCAACAGTAGAAACAAGAGAAGAGTTCCAAGCTCCTCATATGACAGATCCAAATTTGTGGACATCAGTCTGACAAACTGCCGATGATGTGTTTCGCATACACACACACACACGCTTCTCTCCTCTCTCTTTCACACACAGGAAAAAGAGAGATCAATGTCCAAAAAAAAAGGGGGTAAAAGAAAGAACTTGAGCAAGATTGAAAAAAAAACTTGCAAAGCTCAAAATGAGAAACCGAAAGTCGCTTGTTTTCTTTTGATAGGGAAAGCTGAAATGAAAAAGATGCCTTTATTACCATAATTGGAAAGAAAAATGTTTGTTTCAAAACTTTGTGATGAATTTGTGCCTCCAAACAATAACCCCAAAACAAATCTGTGATTGCCCTCTTGTTCTTAATCTCAAAGTCGGAAGGAATTTTTTTTTCTTCTGTTTTTCCTTTCATATACCGCTTTCGTCCATTGGCGTTCCTCCTCTGCTCATTATCTCACTTTGTAACCTCCCGTTTTGTGATTTGAACCACGTCGTGCCCTCCTCCATCTCTTGGCGCATTGCTCTAAGTTCTTGTAATAGAATATCAGCGTCACTTATGACGCTTTTGTGCGGGTCTGCATCCACCATGCCCTCTTTGGCTATCTCGTCGTCAATCTCCATAGATCGTTTTCTTTTATGGTGCATAGTAAGCGCGTTATCCGAGAAGTTGCGATCACCGAGAGACTTGAACGCCAGAGGACTTTGCGGCCGCACAGACGCCGCGCTGGTGATTGATGCTCGTCGGATTAACGAACTTGCCCTGCTGCTGGTATCCTTCTTGAAACCGCGACGAATTTCATCCGCCATGGACTCTGGCAAAGCAGTCCCGTCAGGCATCTGCACGATACCCATGGCCTTCAACCGCCAGCGCTCAGATACTTTGCTGGTCCGTGATTTCTCTGGCGGAGAGCTATCGCCTGATATAGAAGGCAGGGCACGTTGAAATCGACCCGGCCTTTCTCCCATAAGCTTCTCGCGCAAAGCTCGTGTTTTTGAACCGCCTTCGATGCTCATCGCGGACCCAGCAACTGACCCAGAACGAGACCGCATCCCTTGGCTCCCATTCATTGATGGAGTAGGCGATAGCCGTCTATATTCGTTGCGGAATATTGCTGAAACGGCTCTTCGTTCGTTTGTGACGCCAGATAAGACACCGGATGCGAGGAGGGCTTCTTCTGCCTTCCTCTTGTTTCGTTGGTTATTCCGTATTACAGCTGCTAGCTCATCTGGGCGATTAAGAGCGGCCAACTCGGCTTTTTGAGTAGCGATTCGTTGGGCAGTTTCCTGCTCTTCTCTGATCTGCGCCGCTCTTTGAGCTTCGCGAAATGCTCGGAACTGCTCGCGTCCGCTTCGGCGAAGCTGCCTTAGACGTTTCTCGCGGGCATTTTTCTTCCACCGGTAAAAGTATTTCAAGGAAAGATTATATACCCGGAATCTCTTAGCTTCCGCATTATCCCGCTCCTCTTTTTCTCTTCGTAACCTTTCTTCCTCATCTTTTTGGAACTTGTTGAAGACTTTCTGGACTATACTTTCCACCATGAAAGTCTCGAACTCATTCATTAGCCCTTTATCTCCATTCACAAACCACTTCGTCAAGTCGCCTAGCGGATCTCGTTGAGGGCTCGCGGGTGCCGGGGTGGGGGCAGGGGGTAGAGTAGGCTTAGAGAATAAAGCCGGAGGCGTTGAAGTAGGGGTAGTGCTGAGAGCACTGTCTCCGAAGTGACTAGTCGTCCGGGATTTGAACTCCGGGAAGCCGGCTGAAGATGGCTGCGAAGTGTTTGGCTGTAACTGGACGGATGGCTCAACAGCCTGCTTGTTCTCTGATCCTAACAAAGAATCAGGAAATGGTGAGCTCAACACCCCTCCTGCGGCCACTTGAGTGCCAAGAAAATTTGGTGGTGAAATGCTTGAGCTTCCACTTGTCTGGGGAAACGACAGTGGCGTAGAGTTGCTTATGAACTTGGGCGGCTCTTGCGCAGTTAATGAAGGCTTTGCGTTTGTACCGGAGGGTAATATGCTACTGCTGCTTGTCCCTGTTGAAGTAGAGAAGGCCGGGAATCCCGGTATACCTGTAGATATCACCGGTTTGTTCGTACTTGACGGAGCAAGCGCCGGCGTTGGAGAATCAAATACACTGGGCTTTGGTTGGCTTGAAGATCCCTGTGCAACATCTGTAGCTGTAGGAAACATGGGTAACTTGCTTCCTTCTGATGACTGAACGTTGGAAGCAAAGGGCTCTGACAAGGCGGGCTTTGACTCCCCAAGCGAACCAAATGATATCTTTGGCGTAGCGGTAATTCCATTCGGAGCCGTAGGTGAAGAGGATGAGAAGAAGCCAGATGACTGAGTTTGCGGTTGAGGTGATATTGTATTCTGAGAGTCCTGAGAACTCGTAGAAGGCGCTGTTGTACCTTGTGAAAATGGATTCACAGCCGTATTTCCTCCAAATGGCGGTGGGGGTGGTGGTGCCGCAGGTATCTCAAACGCATTGCTTGTCGTAATAGCGGGTGCAAAAGGATTAGTCGTCGCAGGTGTATTAGTAGTAGAGAAGGGAGGTGGAACAGAGCTCGAAGCCGAAGGGTTGCCAAATGGTGTCGACATCGATGAAAAGGGGCTTGCAAAAGGAGCAGGTTTTTGCCCTCCAGGTGCGCCGAATACACTGGGAGTTTGTTCTGAAGCTAGACCGGAATTAGTGAATTGAAATGGTTAAACAAAGATGTGCAAAGGCTGCTGGTGCTGGTGTATCGGGCAAGGAAAGAAGTCTCTACCTTGAGATGCGGTGGCCAAGTTGGTGCCAGGACCACATGCAATCTGGTTGAAGGCAGGGAAAGCCGTTGAAGGTTGCGTTACCGTCGTTTGGGGCTGGGTCGGTGCTGAATCTTGTACAAAAAGAGATCCTTCATTTTGTAAGAAGCCGCCAGGTCCTAACTGTGAAGATGCAGTTGAATCCTCGCGGATTGTTGTGTGGATAACATCCGGTAGTGGTCGACTTCCTCTCTTCTTTTCCACGAGATTTTGCGAGAATTGATGGGTTAGTCGGGGGTGTAATAGCGGTTCTCTATTAGTCAATACCAGACGCTGTTGCGCAACATCCATAGGGGCCTGAGGATCTGGAACCACGTCGATGCCATGGAGTTTCGCAAACTCAATAGCTTGTTCAACCGTGTCGAATCGTAGAAACTTGTTCAAAGAGGCAGCTGTCAAGTCATTTGATGGATCCTTGGGCCTGGCCAATGCTCGCTTTACGGCACGCAGAATCGATCGGCGAAGTTGGGGGAAATGGCACTCGGCAAAACAAGCCATAGTATATGATACACTAGGATCCTCCACGATTCGGAAAAATGAATGAAAAGCGTTGCTTGCAGCCAAGGATGGGGCTGCTCTTAATGGGCCGTGAAAGTCGTCAGTATTTTGTAAAGCCTCAACAAGTGATACTGCGGTCCTAATGTCATCTGAATCTCTCCAGAATTGCGGCTTCCACTGTCGCTGCAGCATCTCGATGGTATTTGAGTCGTGAGCATGGAAGAGGAGATAAAATGCGCGAAATTCGGCCTCGTTTTCGCACGTAATTCCCTGAGCATTGCAATCGTCGTAGAGATCCCGGAGTGAAAGTAAAGCTTTGCCGAGCTGCTCGAGTTCCTGTTGTTCCACAAAGTCTTCACCAGCTTTTCCTGGCTGTGACAACAGATGGAGGGCTGTGACGTGGAATCTAGCAATATTCTCCAGCACATAGGTTTGGGTTTTCAAGTCGTCGGCTGTGGGCGATGAGAAGAAGGTGAAATCTCGTCGAATAGCTCGTGTTCGGTCCCATAAAAAGCCGTGCAACGTCGGTAAGTTCTCGTCGTCTTGAAGCAAGTCGTCGATCAGGTAATCCATTGTTCGTCGCAGGGCTGCGAAAGAGCGAACATCCATAGGAAGAGGAGCTTCCTGTCCGGCGGCTGAACGCGCCAGCTTCTTCACCATCCTACTTGTCTTTGCAAATCCTGTCCTTGTATCTTTTTCATGCTGGGGGACGTCGGCCTCGGTGATTCGTGTGATCTTTTCATATTCAGGGCACATATCTTCACAGATTCCTCGGAAATCGATAGCATTCTGGAGCGTTTTTCTTTTATCGGGATCGTCGATCAGGGCGGCTTTCGTTAGAGACGCGCGCACTTTCTGGCGATACTCCTCGTACTTGTCCCTAAACTTGGCCATCTCGGCCTTGTTTGCGGGGTCCCCTGGCTGGGACGGCCAAGACGGAGGGCTGATGCCATCTTTTCGGAGTCGATCGTATACTTTCTTGGCGAACGGGTCGGCGGTGCGCATTGATGTAGCCTCGGGTGTTTCGTCGACAGAGCTTGCACTAGAAGACGAACTTGGACGTGACGTGTTGTCTTCCTCAGCACTCGTGGTAGGCTGCGCACGGTTGCCGCGATGGTTTGTTTTCGGCGGCCGCAGCCCCTTTGCATCACTGCGCGGCTTCTTGGTGTTCTTGAAATCGGCCGCCTTCTTGTCTGCGTTTTCGCCCCGTTTCTTCCATTGCTTTCCGCTGTCGCTCAGGCTCCCATCTTTGCCTTTAAACGGGTTGCTGTGCTTCGACTTCCTCTCAGTATCGCTATCCGTGGCAAATCCAGGCTTTCGTTTATTGTTCTTCAATGCATTAGAGCCGCCTGCACCATCAGGGCCAAATGATGCTCCTTCGCCGGCCTGCCGAGGAGCGAAAGGATTGAAAGCCTGCGACGAGCCTTGCGTCTTCTGGCCGAATGGGGAAAACATTTGGCTCGATGATGCAACGGACGTCGCATTCATCTACGTGATGATTTGCGCATGGAGGAGAGGGTTTTGTTGAGAGTCGCTTTACTGAAGGTATAGTGAGAAGTGCCGTGGCGCAGGATATTTGGCTGATGCGCGGTGCCAAAGCTGGCCGGGTACCTTGATTGAGCTTCGCGGTAAATTGAAGGTGAGCGTCACGTGATGCGAGTTGCCCAACAGCAGCTTTATTGTGCATTTGCTTCAAGACAATAGGCAAAGTATCTGAATAGCAGCTGCTTTTTGTTTGGACATCGGAAATATTTGTGAAGCAGAAGAGAAATTTGATTTTGCGGTCATAAAAATATAAACTATTGAATTCGCTAGCCCTAGATTTTATCATCTTTGATTGCGCCGTCCTCTTGCCCATCTACTGTAACCCATTCTCTCAAAGCTACCTATCATGATTTAACGCGGCCCCGAATACGTGGAGGCCCCAATTCTCGTCTAATCTCTTCGAGCTGCTCTAATCCTGTCTGCGGTCTTGTCTTCTTTGACGTTCGCTTTCCGGGCCTTGTGTAGGAGCCCAGGAAATCATCAAGGATGCCATCGAAATCTGATCGCATGGGGCCTGTCACGCTAGAAGCTGTCGAAACTTCTGATACGGAACCCATGTCGTCAAACTCTTCATGGTAGCGCTCCTCCAGCTTCTCGAACCTCTCGTCCAGGATTGAAAGCTGCTCTGTCCGCACGAGTGATGAAGATGTCATGGAGTAGGCTGAGGGATTCGTCATAGCACCCTTTCTCCTCTTGGTTCTGCCTCCATTGGTAGTCGTCGTCCACATGGATTCGACTCCAGATCGTGACGGAGCTATTGGCCCACGGGGGCCCTTTTGGTCTTTCTTGAACTGTTTGAAGTCCTCCATCCAATCATTTCCAGGGCCTTCCTCTGGTTGCTCTGGCTGTACCTTTACAAGTTCAGGTACTTGGTCTTTGTATTCCTTGGAAGGCTTTGCCGTAGCATCTGACTCCCACCCATCGTCATCCTCCTCATCAAAAACCCCGAAATCGTCATCAAGAAGCTCCTTTCCGTCCTTTGACAGCTGGTTGAACACTTCTTCATCGTCATCTACATACGCATCATCCTCCAGGGCTTCCAGAACTTCTCGTAGTCGGGGATCCATATCAGGGTTGAATCCAGCGATGACATCGGGTACATTTTGCTGGGCCTGGTAGGTTAATCTCGTAAGATTCTTGGAAGGTAGAATCTCTTCGTCCAAAAGGTCGTCAGACTTTTGCTCCAGGTCCATTTTCCGCAGAGCGTCTTCCAGTGACTGTTTCTGCTTGCCCTTGCCCTTGTTTCCGGTGGCATCCGACTCCACAAACACAACGTTTCCGCCACCACTGTTGAGATCTCGCAAGTGCTGCATGTAGTCGTACTCGGAGTCGTCGTAGTAAACGCCATAGTTTGCGGCTTCACCTTCGTTGGCACGGATATGCTCCGCATCTGATCCCAGCTCAGAGGCCAAGTCATCCAAATGCTTCACTTTCGATCCAGGCTTGGACTGAACTGGGTTCAGCACCATGGATGGCGCATTCTCGTCGTGAATGAGCGGATCATTCTGTGGGCGGTGGACGAGCGTAAAGTGCTGCGCCGTCTTCTTGTCGCTAAAAAAAAATTGTCAGCGGCGCTCATAAAGATACAAGGCAGCAGGGCGACCATACATCCACTTTCCCTTGGGCATTTTGGCGATTTTGCGATTGCGATGAATCAGATGAGCATGGACAGTAACTTTTCCTCGACAGCGCTCAAGAAATTTCTTGGTAGCGCCGGTACAGTTTCCTTTTTGATAGTACTGTGTGTCTTCGTGTGCATATTGAGACAAATACAGTGCGAAGAACTTTTCACATGGCTATCTAAAAATTTTGCCCCTCCAATTATGATGTATTATTCAGCCCCAGTCCTGGACATGCGACCTTCCACAATAAATATTTATTCTTTCCGCCCAGCGATCCGAGAACATCTTGGTCAGCCAGACGGGACGTCTAAATCTCACGATATTCTACATATTTCCAGAATCTGACTTGACCGAAGACAAGTCGCCAAAATGGTGTTGGCAAAGTCGAAGAAGAATGAGGGGCTGGGCAATACGTTGATGAACGATCGCTTCGGCAAGGGCAAAGGCTCCGATAACAGAAAGACGTCGTCTCTTATGCGAACGAACCACACAACTGGCGAACAGTATCTCATCAACGACAAGAAAGATGCGGCCTGGGTCAAGATGCGCTCCGTTACGGAGCAAGGCGCTCTCGACGAATTCTTGGCAACCGCCGAGCTCGCCGGTACCGATTTCACGGCCGAAAAGGTCAACAATGTCAAGATCATCCACACTGATCAGAAGAACCCGTATCTGCTGTCTTCTACTGAAGAGAGAGCTGTTCTTGGAAAGCACCGGGAGCACAGGAACCGACTGACGGTGCCGCGAAGACCTCACTGGGATGCAAAGACTACTCGAGAACAGCTCGATATCCGCGAAAGAGAAGCTCTTGTTCAGTGGCGAAGAGGCTTGGCCGAGCTACAAGAGAACAACGACCTGCTCATGACACCTTTTGAGCGGAATATCGAAGTCTGGAGACAACTGTGGAGAGTCATTGAAAGATCAGATATCATCGTACAGATCGTTGATGCGCGAAACCCTCTGCTTTTCCGATCCGAAGATTTGGAAAACTACGTCAAGGCCGTCGATGCCAAGAAGGAGAACCTGCTTCTGATTAACAAGGCTGATATGATGTCCGCGAAGCAGCGCAAGGCTTGGGGTAAATACCTGAGAGAAGCGGGCATTGCCTACAAGTTCTTCTCTGCGCAGCTTGCAAAGGAGTTGAACGAGGCGAGAGAGGACGAGGAGTACAGCTCAGACGAGGAGCCAGCTGTCTCCTCAAGGCAGGCTGAGAAGTCCAAGGCTGAGAGCGAAGATGAAAGTGAAGGAGATGCCGCAGAAGAACAAGGAGAGAGCTCAGGAAACCAAGCGGACGAGGACGAAGATACCCAGATTCTGACAGTTGAGGAGCTTGAAGAAATTTTCCTAAGATATGCTCCATCTGATAGAGGTAAGTCTATACAAAGAAACTGGTAAAACATAATAACTGGGATGCTAATTTATGGACAGATGCGGACAGCAAACTCCAAGTTGGTCTAGTCGGCTACCCCAACGTAGGTAAATCTTCAACCATCAACGCCCTGATTGGAGCCAAGAAGGTCTCCGTCTCTTCAACACCAGGAAAGACGAAACACTTTCAGACCATCCACCTCAGTGAGCGAGTCGTCCTGTGCGATTGCCCTGGCCTCGTCTTCCCCAACTTTGCCACCACAAAAGCCGATCTTGTCACCCAGGGCGTGCTGCCCATTGACCAGATGCGCGAGCACACGGGTCCCGTGGGCTTGGTCGCTCAGAGGATCCCCAAGCCGTTCCTTGAGGCCATCTACGGTATCAAGATTCACACAAGGCCAATCGAGGAGGGAGGCACTGGTGTTCCGACAGGCGAGGAGCTGCTTCGCGCATACGCCATTGCTCGTGGCTTCCAGACGCAGGGTCTTGGTCAGCCAGACGAGGCGCGAGCATCCAGATACATCCTGAAAGACTACGTCAACGGAAAGCTCCTCTTCGTCCACCCTCCCCCTGGCATTGAGGATGGAAACGAGTTCAACGAGGAGCTCTATGACGAGGCGCATCTGCCCGAACGCCGTCGTGGTGCCTTTATAGCCGCCACAGAGGCCCTCACCATAGGAGGCGACGAAGACAGCCTCGCCTCAGAGTTTGTCGGCCTCCCACAGGGCCCCAAATCGAAGAACTTGGACAAGAACTTCTTCACGCCAAAGAATGTCCGAGGGCATGTGAATATGCCGTTCAACTACAAATACTCAGAACAAGGCAGCGTCGCGGGCGGCGCAAAGGGGCTCAGTGGCCGCAAGGCCCGAACGGTAGTTGCCCTGGAGAACGGGTTGGATCCAAAGGAGGCGCAGGTGGGATCGAGCAAGAAGCATTTCAAGGGAGGTCAGCGAGATGGTAAGCACAGGAAGACAAGGAGAACGGCGCCGAAGATGGAAGACTAGACACAAAGGAAGGAACGAATTTTTTTTTTTCTCTCTCTGAATGAAATTAGTAAAAGACTTTATGTATCGTCATTTTCATCCATCAGCTGGGTGACTTTTCTTCATGCATTTCATAGGTAAATACGCCGTAGGGATGGCTGGCGCCTAATACACATGATTTATCTTGAACACCATGGAAACTGCAGTTTAAACAAGAACAAGAAAAAGTAACAAGTTTGAATATATAACCCACAATGTGACCAAGAAATATCCACAATTGCTCATCCCAGAACAAAAATGAAAAAAAAAGGAAATGCCCCAGCAGTTCTCCTTCCCTTTTTCCCTCCTCTCATCTGTCTTATGCTATTAACAGTCGTCTAATTTTTACGCTTCCAGACTACCACCTTATTTCTTCTCCTGAGATTTGGGCTTTTTCAAAGACTTTGGATCCAGACCTCTCCTCCTCATGGCGTTCTTCTTGGCCTTCTCCATGTATTTGACATCCTCATCCTCGTCGAATGCACTAAAGTCAGATTTCTCAGTGCCAGTGTTGCCAGTGCCCTTGCTCTTCTTCTTGGTAGACTTGTCTTCCACCTCGGTATCCTCATCGGTTGTGATGGGTGTCTTGTCAATGACCTCCTCATCGCCAGAAGCAGCGGCGTTGCCGTTCTTCTTGCCAGCAGCACCAATGGCATTGGGCGCCGTGGGGCCAATCTTTTGGAATTTGGCGACGTAGAAACCGTCAATGTTGTGGGCATGAGGGTAGAATCGGCGAGTGAGCTTGAGGCTGGGGTGGAACTTCTTGCCCATGTAGCTGGTGAAGCCCTCCTTACCAAATGGAATGCCGGCGTCGACCAGTTTTACGTTGGGACGACGGGACAGGGCGTAGGCAACGACACTCTCGCTGATAGGAGGATAAAGGTTAGAAATTTGTTTGAATCATTGGAGCGATGTAGGATAAAAGGGACTTACTTTTCCTCAACAGTGACACTGCATGTAGAGTAGACAAGGAAACCACCAGTCTCGCTGGCATGATTGACTGAATCAATAGCAGATAATAACAGCTGCTTTTGCATGTGAGGCAGTGAGATGAAATCCTTTTCATCCTTGTTGGTCTTTACGCTAGGATCTTTTGAGATAACACCAGTACCAGAGCACGGGGCGTCGAGAAGTACTCTGATAAACCTGTTAGACTCTTGTGTGCAACTTCAATTAATGCGTGGACATAGCCTACCTGTCGAATCCTCCCATGACTCGGGGGAACTCACGACCATCGTAGCTGCAGACGATGACGTTGCGGACTCCCAAACGAGCAACGTTACCAATCAAACCCTTGGCACGCTCCTTGTTGGGATCGTTGGCGAAGACGATACCAGTGTTCTAGAGCAAAGATTAATACAAACAACTCTTTGAAACGGATCACGAGTCGTGGGTAAAAGACTTACATTCATCATGGCCGAACAGTAAGTAGTCTTTCCACCAGGGGCAGAGGCCATATCAAGAACTCGCTCATTTCTATAACACGCATTCATTAGTATAAGCAAACACACGACGAAGAATAAGCATCATTTATACTCACGGTTGCGGTGAAAGCGCCATGACAGGCAAGAAAGACGCAGCCGCCTGGATAATGTAATGACCAGCAAGATACTCAGGCGTAGCACCCAGGGGCACATTGGCCTCGAAAATCTGCAGGCCAACCTTGCTCCACTTGCCCACGGGCTCGAGCGTGACGCCACGGTTGATCAGCGCCTGGGCGAGGTCTCTTCGGTGCGTTCGCAGGGTGTTTGTTCGGATGACGACGGGACGGGGCATCTCGTTGGCCTCGAAGAAGGCAAAGGCTTCGCGCGGGGTGAAGAGGTTGAAGAGCTTCTCGGCCAGGTAAGGGCTGTAGCCGTAGTACTATAGATTCATCGCCATTGTTAGCGCCTTGAGCCAACCAAAAAGTAAAACTTGAGAGGAGTAAGTGGTGCGGGATGACTTACAGCGCAGATATCCTTCAGCAGCTGAGCAGTATACTCTGCTCTAGATCTTCCATCCTCCGCCAAGTTGGCAAAGTCATCCAGCACCCGTATCGTATCCGTTATCCTCTGCCTCAGCAGCTGTAGATCTGGTGCCAGCAGAGACTTGCTCTTATCCGCCAACTCGTCATCCTCGTCATCCTCGTCGCCAAAGATCTTGGGCCCGTCAATGTTCGTCTGCATCGCAGACTCTTGCATCTCCGTCTCGGTAATGGCCTTGTCCTCGGCAAGCTTCTTGTCCAGTTTTCGCGACAGACCGGCAATGTTGGCGGCAGTGAGCTTCTCCTCGGCGTCTGATTCATCTTCGTCGTCGGAGAAGACGAATTTGCCCTTCTTGCCGCCATCTTCCTGGTCGTCCGAGTCAAACACTGAGTCGTCCTCCTCCGCATCGTCACTGTCTTTCTCCTCATCTGACCAGATGTTCTTCTTCTTTTCTCCTAAAGAAGCATCTTCATCCGATGAAGCATCGTCCTCCAACTGGTCTAGGTCAAACTCGTCGCCCATCTCTTCGTCTTCAGAATCCTTCTCCGGCTCTGGCAGCTTCTTGGCCTTTCCATTGCTCTTCTTCGCACTGGACTTCTTGGGCGCAGGCTCCGGTTTCTTCGCTGCGGCAGCGCCCTTGGCGGTCTTGCGCTTCTTGTTGCTCAGCGACGCTTTCTCGACCGGCGGCTCAACGGGCAATCCTGCCTTTCGCTTGAGGTTGGCAAAGTGCTCCTCGGACAGGGCTTCGGGCATGCCCTGCTTTCTCTTCATGCGACGTCCCTGACCCATTGTGGCGACCGAAATTTGCTTGCTCAAAGACTGTGGTTTCGATCCCAATGGGTGTTGGTTGAATGCGATGTACTGGCGCGGGTACCGTCTTAATTTTTCGAAGTCAATGGCTCCATATCGCAACTTTTTTTTCTGCCACTTTATCGATAAGCTACTAGCAGCGCCGCCAAAGCAGCCAAGTCCCTAGTCCACTAGGGCCCAGGTAGATGAGTAAGAAATGGGCTTACCCGGCAATTGTCTGATATGTTGCTTGCTCCATTTTCATAGAAGAAAATGAGTGACGATATTAAATTATGAATGGCAGTATTTTAAGTCGTCTCTAGGAATTGATCGATTCGTCAAACAGGCCAAAAACTTGCTGCTTGCGGGTCTGTATTTCATCCATATACATCTCCACCATACATAATCAAGTAGTACTAGTAGCTTGCAGCATAACACCGGATTAAAAGCTTACACTCGTACTTTCAACAATGATGGAGACAGACAAAGCATAGGGATCGGATAATGAAAAGTAATACGAAAATGATTTAATTCCACCAAAATGGTAAATCCGCTATGTGCTATCTGTATGTATATGGGGTATCCTCTGACAATTCCTTAAACTCGCTCCAGCAAGGACATTTCATGCAGACGTTTCTGTAACAAAAAACCTATGACATGCTATGCCCAACAATGCCCGCCCAAAACAAAAACGCCATGCATGGTCTTTTCAAGCATGCGAATAAAAAATAAAATGACCGGTTCCATCGTCTCCGTCTCCCTTCAACCGAGCCCATCCCCCTTCTTGTTTAGGGAGAAATAGATACCACGCCTTTCCGTGCACGAACGCATACGTCGTGTTTCCAAGGGGAAATATAACACATGAGAAATAAAACAAAAGACAAAAGAAAACAACCTAGGCTCTCCTAAACACGCGCTTGGTGCCTCCAGCCTTTCCGATATCGCCAAAGTTCTTCTCACCAGGCTTCTTCTTCTCGCTTGGCTTCTTCTCGCTTGGCTTCTTCTCGCTTGGCTTCTTATCGCTGCTGCTGGCCATGAGTACCTTCTCTTTTATGCTTTCAACCCAGGCCTTGCTCTCTTCGCTCATTTCAATCTTCTTAGCCCTTGGTCCTGCCAGACCCAAGAAGGAGCTTTCATCCTCTACCCAACTCTGTCGTGAGCTGGGCCTCGAGATCGCCGAGCCTTCAGACGGGGGTGTACCTTGCGCCGGCTGGCCCGGAGTTACTGGGGTCTTTGGTCGTAAGGAGCTGTTGACACTGCTCCTCCGTGACTTACGCGCCGTTGGCATAGGACTGGTAGCAGAGCGGTTGTCGGCAGAGGTAGGGGAGCGGCTGGGAGGGCTGGAGTGGGTGGAGTGGGCAGGTCCAGGAGTTCGAGTATTATCGCGAACCTCTACCTTGGTCCTATCTTGACCAGTCGATCGGCGGCCATGGTGCATAGCGTACTCCTTCAAGTATTCGGACAAGTCGGCCCATCCACCACCTACGCGGACCATGACTCGCTCTCCGTGTTCTCCAACGCAGCGGATGAATAGCTTAATGGGGGCCTCGTTGTCCGATCTAGAGAGATGATAAACCCTGATCGGATAATGACCCTTGGGGCGCGTCCTCTGTTTGACAGGAGACAGGATGAATGAAGGCGTGGCAGTTCGGGTTGACATGCCCGATGTGCTCCGCTTCATCGGCTCCCTGGAGGCCTTGTTCCTCAGCCGAGGGAGCTGGAGATCTGGCGGGTTGAGGTTGATGCCCGACGTTCCATTGGTAAGCTTGATTCTAGCTGGTATAGATTCAATAATCTGGGTGATTTGCAGGCGAAGTTGCTGCTCGCCCGCACTTTCTCGGCGAGTGGGCGGGGCGGGCACGTCGGGCAGATCGGGGGCATACGAATCTTCAAAGTCATCCAAGAATGAATCTTCATCGTACGCGGATCTGAAGAATGACTCGTCGTCTTCGGCAATTGGCGCAACCATGGGGCTGTCGAGGAGACCCATGCTTTCCCTAGCACGGCGTTCTACTTCTGGAGGCGAGCTTGGGGGGCTTTCGCCATGAGCATACAGTGCCTCACGGAGTCGATTCCTAGGACCGGCAGGAGATGCAGAGATTTCAGGCATATCGCTTGAAGCATCGTCGGCGTATATGGATGCGGGGGAGCCAAAGTTGGGTAGATCCAGCTCATCTTCTTCGCTGATGGCTGACATGTGGTCGTCAACCACTACAACATCTTCGGGAGAGGATCCAGACTCGGGAGTGGGATGATCCTCGGATGAGGACAATTCATCTTCTGCAATTGGGTCAAGATCACCGGTGGGCGGCAATAGTAATAACGGTGGTGAGAGTTTGTTGCTTCCCGAGCCGGCCCTCGTTGGAGATGGCGAAGGTTTTGTCTGGGCCAGCTTGGCCTCGGCCATCATTCGTTCGCAGGCAGTAACCCACTCTCCGAAGCCTTGCTCAACATCTTCCAAGCGGTTGAGCCAGGCATCCGGCAGCGTGTCTGGAGCACCCTCCAAGCAGTCTAGCATATAATCCAAAGTACGGCCGGGCTCGGCAACTTTGAGTGCGAGTGACTGCTTGCGGGTATCAAAGTCTTTGTCGGTCAAAGTGCGTGCAGGCAGGACAATGGCCTTTCTGCTGGGCTGCTCCATTTCCCAGTGGGACTGAGAAATGGCCTCCCAGTTTTCGCCAAGAAGAGCTTCCACTTCCTGGATGGCCTGCAAAAAGGGGTTGACATGTCGGAGGACAATGATGCGCATGTGCCACAGCTGCAGTTGGCGAGAGAGCTTTGCCAGGTTGGGCAGGGTTCGTATAACAATGGCGGTGATGAGGACGGAGATGTCTTCCATTTTATGATAGCTCGATAGGGCTGACAACATGGATTGACGGGGATCCATGTTCATTGGGGTACCCGGCCTTGACAGCGGCAGGATGTGGTCGCTTATGACGTGACCTTTGATCTCTTCCAGATCCAGTCTATCCATCGCCTGGTTGATCTGGTTGATTCTTGATTCGTATTTTTCCACCTCTTCAGCGAGGAGGCTTCCCATGTATTGCTTCTTGTCAGCCTCCTCTCCAGGGGCCGGGGCCTGGGCAAAAAGCTTCCTTTGCGTATTGTTGGGCTCCAGGAAGCCCTCGGACCCCCCATGCTTTGGCCAATTCCACTGGTTCAGCTCGTCGAGCCATTGCCAGATCTCGTGGGATGCCATGGCCGTTCGCATTGCGAAGTCCCGGTCGATGGCGGAAGCTTCTGCGAGGCATCCCCTTAAAACACCGTTGGGCGGTGTTAGTGCTTCGACAAGTTTCGCGGGCTCCAGATGAGTAAAAAATTCATCGGCAGGGCGCAGTCGAGCGGCCAGCAGCTGGCCGGGTGTGGGAGTCGAAAGCCGCTTGGGCTTGACGAGGACGGGCGAATCGTTCATGATTGCGCAGGTCGTCGTGGGGCGTCGCGGTTGGTTTTGGTTGTTCGCGCGTACAGGCTAGATGTAACGGCGATTCCACCGAGGCATGTTCTGCCTCGAGGCGTTAAGAAAGAGAAAAAGTATGATGTGTTTGTGTCCTTGATAGCTGAATATTTCGTCATGGACCGGGCGGAATTAAGACAGCGATGATTCGATTTTCGTTGGTGATGCCCATAGTCGACGGAGATCGGCGGTGATGGCACGGGTTTGCGGCTATGAAGTGACAGCCATGCGACCAAAGCTATAAGCCGTCAAGTAACAAAAAAAATTCAACAGGCAAGCGCAGGGAGGCCGTTCGCCTCTTTCACTTGCCTGGGTCTTCCCTTGCTTTCTGGGGAAAAAAGGAAGAAGAAGGGTTGACAAGCGAGACAGGGAGAAGGAGAAGGAAGAAGCAAGACACGCTGAAGAGATAAATGCAAAGCAAAGACGCGGCGAAGGCGAAGGCGACGGGCTGACTCCACGCTCTGGGGGAATCTCTCCAATGGTCAAGTGTCTGTTCCCACTTCCCCTGGTGTAGCTAAGCCGCGGAGTGTCGCGGAAGAGCAAGGAATGACGGGGTTGTCAGCCAGACTCCAGCGCACCGATGCTAAAAGCTGCACAGCTGCACGACTGCAGTAGATGCTAAAGGCAACAGGCCTGTAACGGCGTCCAGAGTGTTTCGGCTTGGCGGTTGGGCTCGCTGGATGGTGCCACCTCAGTGCTGCTGCTGCGCTGGCAAGGCCGCCGGATAAGCGGGCGGCGAATGAGCTGCTGGCGAACGACGTGGAGCTCGATGTACGGAGTATGCGTTTGCGACTTTATGCGTGCGTGGGATCCGATCCAGTCCAGGCTTGGTGTCTGTATGCAATGGGGCGCGCACGCGCAAGTAGGGAGGTTTGCCACAGGGGGGATGTATCTGGTTTGTTGGGATGGGGGCTGTTTTTTGGGCTTTTCTTTTTCTTGGGTGATTTGTTACATTAAAATCTTGTACAATCAACAAAAAGAGGCAATCGGAAACGACAGTCGCGAAGCAAAGCGGCCCAAGGCCTGATAGAAGGACGGGAGCGAATGACTGGGTGAAAACGCGCGCGCGAAGAGAGTGAGTGTGAGTGAGCGAGTGAGAATGAGACCAGGGCGCGGCTGGAGAGACTTTGAATCAAGGGGGCAAAGAATGACGGGCCTTGTCCACAGCAAGAGCAATTGGGGGACAGTAGAGGCAGAAATCACAGCTGAAAAGGGGAGCAAACCAAGCGAGTGACGAGCAAATGCGCAACAGAGCAAGCAAAATGGCGACGATGGACTTGTAGAGAGTAAGAAAGAGAAATGAGCGAGAGAAAGAGCGTGAACGAGAGAACCCCGAGCCTTCGCAGACGGTTGGCGCGCCGCGCGACAGGCAGCGGTAAAATGGGAACAAAGATTTGATCATGTCAGTCAAATCAACATTAGCAAGCAGCCCAGACCTCATTAAACCGGACTCTACGCTTCTATGAACTCCCGGGGCCAGCGGGAACCACAGCGGGCCACAGCGGCTTTGACGCCATTGCAGCTGCGCTGGAGGCCCTGCGGAGGCCCTGTAGATTGTCCGCTGTAAGTGCTCAAAGCACTGGGCCAACGCCGCCCCTCTCCGAAGGGTCAAGCCTCCCCCCGGCGCTGTTCGCTAACGCTTATTAGCGCCATGCTCTCCCATGGCAGCTTTCATTTGCCGCCCTCCCGCTTTGGCTCCTCATTTGACCAAAAAGGCGGACAATCTTATTCTCAACGGGCTAAGTTTAGTGTCGCTGAATCTCGTGCCTGGTACCTGGGCTAAGGTACTACTTCGGGTACGTACTCGTATTGCGGGTTTCAAGTCGCGGTGTGTTTTGAGTGAGAGAGAAAGTCAATATTTACTTGGAGCGGAGCAGAGATGATGCCGAAACAAACAAGGCAAAAATGGAGGGGGAAAGGAGAGATTGTAAGTCGCAATGCGCTATGCGCTGGTGCATCCAACACCGCTCATCCGTTCGTGATGATATACATGACGAGGTACCAAAAACCAGAATTTTTTTCCCTCTCTTCCTCCTTTTGTCTGCTCGACCAAAGTCGCGTCTCCACACCTCCCATCCAGACGGTACTGTCTAAGAATTCTCCAAGTTTCCAGCCCAACCGAGACATCATTAACTTTCTTTTCTGCCATCAGCCTCTTTCAATTTCTCTCTGCTTTCTCAAGGACCCCTCGTCCCCAGACGACCCTCACCGATAAGACAAGCGAAAAGAGGACGCCAGCATGTAGAGCCAAGTGTTGAGACAAAGAAAAGATTACCCCGGCCATGCCAGATTCTGCGCTTCCGCAGCCCCGTAATAGCGCGTTTCCCAGGGCCGACCAGCAAGCAAGCAAAACATGACACTCACCTCGCCCGTCCATTGTGAGGCGGCGTGGAGCCCAATCTGTCTTGGCCTCCCTTGCCTAGCCTGGCTACTCACCAGGCAGCTAGCAGTCTTTTCGGGCCTAGATTCACAGCAATCAGTTCAGACAGAGAGAGAGACAGAAGACGTCACATACTCGTACTCCGTACCTAAATGTACTCCTTACCTAGTACTCAGTACAAGCACATGCTCAATACGACTCAAGCACCATACAGTACCATAAGCACCTCCGACCGCCGCGCACGTGAATGCCCAGGATTCCTGCATGCGCCTTAAAATGCCGCCTGCATACACATAAAAGATACGTGTTACCACACGTACAAGAGTTGCAGGGCCAAGCGGCAAGGTACCGGCCATAATCATGACACGCATCGATTGGCCTTGGGCATGGACACGCTTACCGTTACCTTGCCTCACACACACATATGCGATGCCGACGCCACGCCATGCCATGCACGACAGCCTGTCCTGTCCACATCCCACCAGCTGGTCCGGGTGTGCCCCTGCGAGATAAACATGGCAAGGCCCGAAAAAAAAAAGCCTGAATTTCTCGGCGGATCAGCCCGCAATTCGCAAAAGTTAATGCGTCCGAGGTGACGGAATGGCTGCTGCATGAGTGCCCGGTAGATAGACTGGTAAGGATACACGTCTTGTCTGCTGCGCATCTGTGCATAATCGTGTAGGCCTACCTTGTCTGATTATTACTACTGTCAACCATGTTGTTGCCGCGCGTGACACGCTGCATACACGCGCTTACTAAGTCACTCTCGGCAAATCTGCATTGGACAAACAATCATCCTGTAACAGCGTCGCATTTATTCGTTCAATGCACATGAAACGCATGTGAAGATGTAAAACTACCGATAATTCTTGACACTGCTAAGCGCCCTCTGCCGCATGAAATCAAGATCCGTGTCTTTTTTTTCTCTAAAACCCCTGTCGACTCTTGAGTGCAGCAAGCTAGGCAGCGGCCCGCCTCCCGGACCTTTTTTCGTCTGACAAGCTTGAAACACTCAAACCTTTTCTTCGATTTATCATTATCATTATCATCATCCTCAAACGACAACAATAAACAGAATCAGAAAATCCTAGCCAAGTCTTGTATGACTGCAAAGAATGAAAGAGAAAAGGAAGGAACTGAACAATTAAACGAAAAGGGAGAAAATGGCAAAGAAGAGTAACCAAGAATGCGAAAAAATGATGATAATCCAACAAGCAGCTGTCGTGAAATCAAAACCCAAAGGCTTTTTACCCCTTTTAGCGGAAGCAATCCTATAATAAAACCCAAATGTGCCCAAACGCCCAAACCCTCATCTCTCCCCAACCATGTTTTATATATCCTGAGAATGGGCGAGCAAAGCTTACTGCTTGCTTGCTTTATGTTTGTTTGTTGGTTTGATTCAAATGGTTAGATTATGCCGGAAGAGTGCCATCCACAGCGGTGTTAAAGACCCAATCCAGCGCATCCTCCGTTCCTGTAGCACCAGTGAATGCAGAGGCCATCAGCGTCTCGTCGTTGGCGGTAATGCCTTCAGGAGGAAACTGCAGCCACTGGTCTACATCAAAGTCCGTGCCAGCCACCGCGTTCCAATCGAATTGGTCGTGGCCCTGCATAAAGTCCACGTCCAGGATGCTGTCCATTTCTATGTGGATTTCATCCGAGCCGCCGCTAACACTCGGAGTCAAGTGGGAAGTGTCAAATTCAGTATGTGGAGGAGAGTTGACCACCTCGGTCCCCTGAGCAGTAGGAGGAGGCCCCATTGGCTTCTGCACTGGCTTGGGCTTCTGATTGAAAAGTGTCTCGGAAGCCGTCATATACGGCGCATTTTCAGGTGGCGGCGTGTGTGTGCCAAACTCTGGTGGGACTTCCTTCATCATTGCCAAAGTCGACGGTTCGACCGTAGCATTGATATCAATAGCTGCCTTCCTGAGAGCGGCATCCAGGAACCCGGTGGCATAGTCTGCAGCAGCATAAATCTCGCGCAGCTTCTCCATGACACGCATGCACTGGCGGAAGCCTCTTGTTGCTCGCCCGCGAGCCTCTGGCATTGGATTCTTCATCTCCAAGAGATGGATAATCATGGCCGGGAGTATCACTGTCACACCTGTGGTAGGTAGATATCTCTCCAGGCGGAGGTGGTGCAGCTCCGTAGCCATGCTCGTAATGTGTGTCGCCGCATCCTTCACCTTGAGGCGTGACATCTCCTGCACCTGCCGAGATACAGTCGGTGCTTGCGTGGGGGACGATGGTAGGAACTGAGGACGATGCAGAGCAGAAATGGTAGTGTGGTATACCATGTGGAGCAGCGTTCGTTGAACCGCAATAGTCGGCCTGCCGTTCTTGGTGTCTGCAGGAACCAGCATGCGATACTGACAGCATTCGGGGAGGTTCGCCACCCATTCCTTGAGCTCTGCATCGACAATCTTGACGTTGTCCAGGTTGTCCAGCTTCTTATTGGGGAACAGCATCATGGTGCTGTTTGTGGTGTTCTCAGGCTTCATATTGTCTCGAATAAGAACAGAGTACTGCGCCTTTAGCATGTGGCTAATGCAAATGCAGAGCTTCGCCTTGGCAATGCACATGGTGGCAAGCTCCCGCTGCATCTCTATATCGCGCATTAGCGTGCATTCCGGAGGAACGACGGTGATTCTGTCCGGCAAGACGGTCAGCTCAAAGTCGCTCTCCAAAAGCATCGGCACATCGAAATCCTCATCCTTGATTCTCGTCGGGCGTCTCATGCCCAGAGCAATGAGACGATCGCGCATGAAACATGACCACCATATGCGCTTCCAGAGCTTCTGGGTCGACACGGCCATGGTGGTAACATCTGGATTGCGATGAAGCCCAATGGTGTGAGCCAGGGATATCGCCACCCCCATCCAATGCCAGGTATCTTTCTGGTCGTCGGGTGTCTCATACCAATACGTCATCAGCAAAAGCCCTTGGACAAGGACCAGGCGGTCTGATTCGTAGTCGAAATCGTAGAGGAGCTATTGACATGTGAATACGGGTCTCTATTTTTAGTTCCATCATCTGCACGCACAGAGCGTGTGCACTGCACGTGCAGATGTAGCAAAGTGGCTTACCCTCGTTTTTAAGAAAAAGCCCTTTCTGGCAGCCTTACGGGTGGCATAACCCGCTTCGCGCAAGTGTCTCATGTCGACGAAAGCCGTCGCAGAGAACATGACGGCATGGTAGAGAAACAGGCTGATCTGACCTTCTGAACCATCGTAGCGGTTGATGGTGCTGAGAAAGGGCACAAGGTCCATCAGAGGCATGTAGGGATGGACAAACTCAATGTAAGCCCGCAGGAGCGCATTCTGCAGCGAGAGGCAAGGGATGCTTAGCGCACCCTTTGCATGCAGGTAGCGAACATCTTCTGGTGAGATTTTGCTAGGCAACGGCCGCACGAACGGAGGCAGCTGGGCACTCGCCTCTGCATCGCCAAGGAGGCTGATGGACTGTGAGGTGCGAACGGAAGTGGCCGAGTTCGCCCAGGGAGATCGGCTGGCATCTGATAGTTGACCCTTACTGAGCAAAATTGGCTCGTTGCGATACGCAGAGCGTTGATCTAACGGGCCGTGGTCCTGCGGTCAGCATGGGTTTCATCCGAAAAAGCATGGTGATGTTCAGTTTAGCTTCGTTGCACATGTCAATCGCTTGATTGTTTGCATGTGAAAGAGCATGTCCGTCATTATACTATGTGACAACACCAAGTATACCTTGTCCCGTGACGATTCCTGAATGGGCACGCCAAAGGCTCTAGCAGAGCCGGGTGGGTCAGGGGAAGGGATGCTGAGTGCGGAGAAATTGGAGAGAACCCCAAAAAAAAATTGAAACAATAAAGAGTATGGCTTACAGATCATGTGAGGCACATGGCCTTCGATGCCGGTATTGGGAAGCAGACCGCTCGAAGGGTCCAGGCTTGCGGGTGAGAGAGAGGAGCCACCGCTGGTTCGTCGCAAATCTGCGCTGTTGATGGCAATCGGGTTAGTCGGGGGTGCTTTGCTGCGCAGCTGAGCCTCGGCTGATTGGCCCTGCCCCACGATGCTAGGCGTAACGAGATTCTTTCTAGAAGAGATTTCGCGTCAGTGGATGCGTTTCGTTGGTTGGGGTAATGATGGCAAATCATGATCCAACTCCGGGTCCCTTGTCGGCTCTCCTCCGGACACGCCTCACCGCCGTCCAAGCTTTCTCACGTGCGAAGCGTCGGTGCCGAAATTCGCTGAGAATCACATAGCCTAGGACAGCTGCGGAGAAGCTCGGTGGCCGTCTGTGAAAGGGAAGGGATAGTTGTGTGTATGTGTATAGGATGTAAATACACAGGGCTGAATGGATTGCATTGGAGCAGATGGGAAAACTCACTTTCTCCGGCGGCTCTCCTGAACAATGCACTAAAAGAAGAAAAACAAAACGTTAGCCATACTCTGGGTGTGATAAGATGCTGAATCTCCCGTAAAGAGACAAAACATTTGTGCCATAGACTGCGTACCTCGACATTGTCCCAGCGGCAGTTTCCGCAAGGAGCCCCCTCAACCACATCGCATCGGACTTTGCGCGCGCGGCACGATACACAGGCCCGGGCGGCACGTCGCTTTGTAACCTTGTGTGGAGGCTCAGAGCCGTCGTCGGCAGAGGCTCGTTTCTTCGATTTGTCGTTGGGCCGCCCATTGGTAGAGGAAGCATGATCGGCCGGTTCTGGTGAGGGTGAAATTGACGGCGAGGTTGCATTTACCGCAGAATCATCCAGGGCTCCTTGTGACGACATTGTGGCGGCCAGTGACGTTGACGAAGAGTGAAAATAACGGATGGATAAAAAAAAAGGAGGTTCTAAAAAGAGAGGGCCTCTATGTATGTATCCCCAGGTCGTGTATGTGGATGTCGCAGTGTACTTGACAGCACGCGCCTGAGAAAAATAGCCCCTTTGTGACTTGTAAACTTTGTATGAGCTCAGAGCCTCTTGGGATGAGCCGCAGAGCGCATGTGTCTCGAGCGAGCTGATAACCAGAGAGCAATGAAGCTAGAATAGCTCAAAACATGTATTCTAGAAGAGCCAGGTATGGTAGTGGCGAGCAGAGGTCCGTATCAGGTGCTGGACTGGTGACGTCGCACGCAGGCTGGAAGGAGAGCTGAATTCCACACTGGTCACGGCAGCTTGCTGATGTATAGATCGTCAGCAGAAAAGTCTGTGGAACTAGACAAGTCCACGGCTGTGCCGGCTGTGATGTCGAAGAGGTCGAGGAACCGAGACGAGATGGACCATGGAACAAGCAGGAGGAGGAGGAGGAGCCACAGCAAGCTTGGAAGCGTGGGGTAGAAGAGGATCGTGGAAGAGAAAGAAAGAAAAGAATCAGTCGAATTGTTTGAAGAATCCGGGGGTGGATTATCGGAAACGGGGCCAGAGCCAAGAGGGGCGTGTGGGTTCCCACGGTCCGGGCTATTCTCTACGACCTGGCCCTGTCAGTCCTGACAACTCTTGACTCTTTGTGCGCACGCCGGGGCCGAAAGCGCTTGGTGGCTGTGGCTGCTTCGTTTCCCCATTACCAATCTCCAGCCATGCCTACAGCTGCTGCTAGATGGAACTAGGCGTGTATCCTCCATGCGTGATCGGTGATGGCGGTACGGATCCAGTCCAGAGCGTCGAAGCTTGTGCGTCCGTCTAGCGCTGTCTAACAAATGGCTATTCTAGGGCCAGACACCGTTCTCGGGACCAAGGGCGAGGAATGAATGGCCAGCCACGGTGAAGGACAAAAGCAGTGGAGCGCCGGGTGTGAATAACGACGGTGGATGTCGTCGAGGCCGGGGCGACGCCACGGGACTCGGGCTGACAAGCTGGGCTTGGAGGGATGGCAGACGCCATGCAAGCCGTGGAAGGCTCTGGCTTGGTTGGCCGGTCTGGTTGGCTGTGCTGATGTGAACCTGAAATGCCGGATCGGTTGGACTTCAGGTTTGTGACGGATCCGTCTGTTCCGCCCATGTGATGTCCGTATTGAAGGGAGGAAGCGAGTTGGGCACGCGAGACGGGCGGCGATGCTTTTTTGCAAAGAAGTCGCTGGAAACGTCAAGCGGATCGAGTTGGATGGATCACCTCAGATTGTGCTTCGTATATACCTGGTTGTTGCTGCCAGCACGGCGTGCGCAGAACGTGCTACTGAGTTCTAAAACGTATCAAATGGCTGGCTGTGGCTAGGGCCATGGCTGCAGCCTCTGGTCTAGCCCTTTCACGAGATAGTCTGGTGTCTATTGCTGTACCTAGTAGCAGTATCGCCTGGTGAACTTGGATCAAGCTACCTGATGAAACTGCATTGAAAATTTGCCATGATGTAGGATGACGCTCTGCAGCTGCGGGAAGTACCACCCCGGACCGCTGAAAGAAGCCAATGTCTCTCTTCCGTACCGGCAGGGTAACCGTCTCACTGCATGCCGCCCAGATATGTACGCCCAGGTACCAGCTGGTACTGCCGTGTACTGCCGAGCCCTGCCTGTCATCATCCTCTTCCTCTTTCATCATCCTCTTACCTCATCGCTACATTCAAACCAAGGTGGCACTATGTACCTGGGAACTCTTACGACGGACAGCAAACCCCGAATCACTCGCAAGTATTAATCACTTACCAATTTCCTTTGCAACGAGCCCGACTGGTCGTTTCTCCTGTAGCGCAAGCAGCAGCCAGACCCGTTGTTGAAGTGGGGCAGCAAGTACGAAGATGGTGAAAAAGTGGTGATGTTGTTTTAGTACGCCATGGCTACAAGAGCTAGTGCCGTCGTAGCGCCTATTGCATGTGTACGGTGTCCGCTCCATGGGCACTGGGGCATAACAACTTCGGGAAGCCCGTTGGATGCAAAACCACAGCTTCACCACCGGGCCATGTGTGTTTATCGGTTGTATGTTCGCTATTGAGTGTTGTCTCATTGGTTAGATGCCTGCCTGCACATTATAACCTTTCTTTTAGAATTGCCTCAAGAACACATGATTCATGCTAAAAGAGGCAGCTCATCACGATGCTTTATCCCTTGCATGTATTGTCGACACATTCCTCTACAGTACAACCCTGTACCTTGATGGAGTTCCTGCGCCCAGACGGTGGTAGCTGCGATCGCGCTTGACCCCTGCTCCTGCTATGTTGGATTGTCTTAGGTAATGCTGTCGAAGTTGTCTCTGTTTGGGGGAATGAAAATTTTTGCGCTCCTTCCTCTCGCAACTTTGATATACAAGTCACAAGTATCTGGTAAGTGCGGGAAAAAGAAGCAGGTTCGCATTTTACTCCCTATTCATCTCGCGCCCTGTAGATTGTGTGGAGACACCAATTATCTCTCCTAAGCCACTTTGGCTGGTAATTCAGGATCAACATCGACGGCGACTACTCTGCATGAACGGCCTTGATGCGACACACAAGCAACACTCATCTCATCATCCAATTGGCCACTATGCGCGCGTTCTTATGCTTGGGTATATACTACTAAGCACCTTTTTGCGTCTCAGGGCCCCATTGAAAACACAGACGAAATAATACGGCAATACAGGGTAGGTCTGCTGCTCTATTGGTCAGCCTTACACTCCTCTTCTTACATCTCTTACTATTGACTAGCGTTTACGCTCGGCATTGTTCGACGCAGTTGGATGCTCTCAGAAAAGATGCCATTGCACAACAAAGGCCAGTCTATTTTTAAGCTTTCATCAATCATGATCCCAGCTGTTACTATGCCCCAAGCCGTAGTAGCATCTGCTCCGTTCCAAAGGTCATGACTCTTCGCGAGAGTGAAAAAGCTGGGTCTCCTGCATGCTTCCCAAAGCAAACGATGCCCCGCTAGCCCGAGCAATGTTAGCGGACAGCGGGAATAAAGCAAGTGTACTGTGCAAAGTGAAACGGGGTGCCAATTCTGCCACACACAGGGCTGTCACCTTCGGCAGTTCTATATACGGACGAGGACTCAAACGAGGTAGAAGGATGCGCATGCAATAGACATGTGCAGACCAACAGACGTTTCGCTCTGTAAATACCTCCCCACGTCATGCTCATTAGGGGGGAACTCATCGCAGCCCCAGTGAGCTTGCTGCAAATATCTCTCTCTCTCTCCCTTTCAAAAAGCCGACATTGTTCTTTTCCCGCCTCTCTTCCTCTCCTGGCAAGCCCCAGCCAAGCCCCAAATAGCGCAAGATGGGATTTGCCGATCGCTAATGTTGCGTTTCTGATCTAATTCCTGTGTGCCCTCCTGACCGTTCTTTGGCTGCCGCTAAAGACTCCCTGCTGGGTCGCTGCAGGCCAACGAGCACATCGGCGATGTGTGGGTTCCACGGGAGAAACCGCGGAGTGGATCCCCCGTTACCTCGGGAGGCCGTCCGGCATTTCCTGCCCCTTCCCCTCCATCTGCCAACAGCGCATCTCAGTGGCCGCCTCCGTGAGATGGACGGGAGTTGCCACGCCGGTAGATGAACTGTAGACGGCCTTTTTCCCTTGGACGAGTGACCAGTACAATGGAATGACGATGCGATCGGCGCGGTGGATATAGCACGCTTTTGCCCTGTGGAAGCGTCTGCGTGAGTCCGGTAGGTGGATGCGGCACTCCGGATCCCGGCGAGCCAAATGGGCAGAAAAGTAGTATAGTTCGCGATGCCCCGGAAAATGAAATTTCCACTGCGCAGTAGCCTGTCCTCTAGTCCGTATGAGTCCATGGAAACCGCAATTAGTGCCCATGGGAAAATACAGCTAGATGCTACCATTAAGGGAAAATAGAGCTCGTAGTTCAAAGTCTTAGACGCCATGCACTGCTCCTCCGTTCGGTCGCCGCGACAGCATCTCGGCCCTCCGAGCTCCCTCGGTGGCGTTAACCGCTTTCCGAGCTTAAAAGCTTCTTATCTGAAGCTCACTACTGTGACAAGATCTGTCGACGATCTATCTGATAACCCCTCTTTTTTTCTCTTGAACAGATGGTCTTTTTTTGATCGTTATTTTTACTTCTTCCGTCTAATGCACTGTTACTCCTCTTTTTAACATCCCTCCTTTACCACAACTGTCCTTTCGACCGATGACTGGGAAAAGCAGAAAATGTCCGATGGAACATGCAATCTGGAAAGCTGGCCAAGGAGCTAACGAAGTTCTCGCCCATCGACCATGAAACCAATACCTGAGAAGGGAAAATAACTTCTGCTATTACACTCAGAACGCCAAGCTCATTTCATCACACAAAACACAATTAGGCGAAAAAAAAGAGGTTGAAGATGAACAAAAATAAGGTATTGGAAAAAAAAAAAAAAGCTATCAAACAAGAAAAGGCTGAAATATCCTGAAATAGAAGCCTTCTAAATCAGTGTCAAGCGGCACGAGATATAGCTGTACCCTGAACGCCGTCCCTCTTTTTCTGTGTATGCAGTCTTTCCCTCATCTCATCACCGGATTACGTCGTGGCAAGCGTCACCTTTCCCTCTGCTCTGATATTAATTCCTCCCACACCCCTCCATCTGATTAGCCCCTTGCGCTGCGGTTGAATTTATAACCGACCTTTGGCGTCTGGGAAGGAGGTAGGGTCATATACGCGCTGCTTGATGTAGTTTGTCAAAGCAACATCACCCCACTCTTCCCACTCGACCCAGAGCGACTCTGGTAGCTCAGATACGCCATCACGACGAGCAGCCTTCATCACCTCACGGGCGACAATGACGCTGGCATCGCGGACTCGTTCAATCTTGGGGTAGATCAGACCCATGTGGACCTCCTCAGCATTGAGGGATCCAGCAAGCGCTGCGGCAGATGTGTACACCATATCATCGGTGACGCGAGTTGCCTTGGCGAGGATGGCACCCAGACCCAAGCCAGGGAAGACGTATACATTGTTTCCCTGGTTGGGGTGGTAGGTGATTTCTCCCGCATCGCCGCCTACCTTGAGGGTGAAGGAATTGAAAGGAGAACCGGAAGCGAAAACGACTGAACCGTCGGTCCACTGCACGGCTTGCTCAAAAGTACACTCAGCCTTGGTCAGAGGGTTGCTGAGAGGGAACAGAATGGGTCGACGTCCGAAACCACCAGCGTCTACGGAAGCCTTGAGAGCTCGGACAATAGACTCGGTGAAGATGCCATGAGTGGCTGCAAGACCAACAAGAGCGCTGGGCTTGACATACTCGATGACCTCCTCCAGGGTGCGGAACTGGTGACCACTGTTGTCAACACGAGCAAAGTACTTCTTGTGCTCGGCAAGCTTGTCACCGCGATCCATAGTCACTAGACCCTTGGTGTCGACCAGGTAGAACTTATCACGGGCCTCAGCCTCGGTCAAGCCTCTACGGGTGTAGTACTCAACAAGCTGCTTAGCGACACCCACACCGGCCGAACCAGCACCCATGAAAACGAGACGCTGCTCTTCCAGAGGAACACTCGACAGGTTAACGGCGTTGATATATCTGCCTGGCGTTAGCGAATTAATGACGACAAACGGAACGAGCTAGATCCGAGTTCATCAACTTACCCAGCAAGGACAACGGCACCAGTGCCTTGGATATCGTCATTGAAAGCCCTGTGGGTATTTCTGTATCGGTCCAGGTAGTTGAAAGCCTTTTCACTGTCGAAATCTTCAAACTGAACTACCATGTTGGGGTACACTTCTTTGACGGCCTCCATGAACTCGTCCATGAAGTCTTGTTGATCCTTGTAAGACACTCTCTTCTGGCGCAGACCCAGGTAGAAAGGATCTTTCAAGTTCGTCTCGTTGTTTGTGCCGCTGTCCAGAACGATGGGCAGAGTCTTGGCAGGGTGAATGCCCGCGGCCGCCGTGTACAGAGCTAGTTTACCGATCTGCAGCATTGTCACAATTAGCTTTTGGAGCTACACGAGCCAGAGGGGAGGTGTTTCTGAAATGCGACTTACCGAAATACCAACACCATTGATACCGAGATCACCAAGACCCAGGATTCGAGATCCATCAGTGACGACGCAAATATCAGGGTTAGGGCAGGGCCAATTACGGAGCATTGCTCGGATTGACTTTCGCTGCTTGATGGAGATGTATAATGCTTCGGGTCGGGTGTATAGAGAAGAGTATTGCAGGCAGACATCGCCAATGGTGGGGGTATAGACCAGGGGCATCAGCTCGCGGACATTGTCCATGAGCAGGCGGTAGAAGAGGTCAACATTCTGAGCCTTGATGCTCGACAGATATAGATACTTGTCGATGCCGGTTTGGCGGGTGTTGATCATCTTCATGGCCCGGGCACATTGCGTCTCGAGGCTCTCCATGGCGTGGGGTAGGAGACCGGTCAGGTTCTTGTGAACTCGCTGTTCGGGAGTGAATGAGAGACCTTTCATGGTGAAGACGGTAAGTTAGCCAAACGATTGCAGTGAAATTTCGATTGTAAAGAGAGTTGTATCGTTGAGATCGTTCAAACAAGAAATTTATCGTAGAAATAGCTTCAAACAATACAAATCATGGTTTACCGAGGCAAAGGCAAAAGTAAAAAGGATAAATATAGCAGCAGCAATGTAGATCGATATGGGGAAATAGCGTTTACATACCTTTGTTCCACAATGGCTCTCGAAGAACCTGATAGGCGGATGCGTCGGACTCCTTGAGATACTCGGTTTCGTGGTCCTGCTTAACCTCGGTATAGTGGTCCTGGGCGTAGCCCCGGTATTGGTCGAGGGATGCGGCTTTCATAGCCTCCTCAATAGCGGAAACGTCGACTGAAGACATTGGGTTGAAATCGGTCAGCCTGCGACTAGAAATGGACATGCGCTTATTAGACACTGCAGTGCGAGAGGAACGGCCCGACGTTACGGACGGAGTGGGCGAAGCTGATCTCGGGGTGTACACGTCTGAGCTGTCGGCACTCCGGGAACTCGACGCCATTGATGGGTGACGTAGAGCTGGGCTTGTGTTCAGCGAAGAGGCTGAGGAAACGCAAGAGTGAGAGTTGCTGCTTAGCAAAGGGGAAGAAGAAGAAGAGTTAGCTGGGTTTAGGATCGAAGCAGTCGAGGTCGTTGTCAGTGAGGACGGCGATGGTGGTTTAATACTAGCAGCGGCAGCCCTAGACTTCAGACCCCTGTAGAAGATGGGGTTGCGATTTTTCATTAATAACCCCAGCCTTCCACAGGATCCGCCCCGAAGAGAGGACGGCAAGACCATCGGTTGGCGACCCAACACAAGATGAGCGCGGAGCTAATAAGGGGGGTGAAGGGGATTGTGAAGCTGAACGGGACGATTCGGGTCTGTTTCAGAGCGCAGCGGAGGCGAATGATTGCATTGGGCATCACACGACCGAAACGACAAACCCAACAATGGAGGGGTGGCAAGGGACTGGCTTGCAACAGGGGAATAGGGGTCCTGTTGCAAATGACAAACGAAAAGAAAGAAAAATGAAAGAAAGGTAGGGAAACAGAACCAAAGATTGGCGGAACGAGAAAAAAGTGAAACGTGTGGGCGAATGGTGCAGTAATACCTAGTAAAAGCCAAGATGACTCGGAGGTGTACCGGTACCTGGCGCAAGCGGGCCGGGATAGAGCTGAGCTGCAAACGGTTGGGAAATTTTGAGAGGATTGTAAAGGAAGGGCGACAAAGATTAGGTAAAAAGAAAGGATCAAGGGATGCAGCAATTTCAATCTGAGAAGACAAGATAAAGAACAGAGTTTCACTCCGTACTTACCGACGAGGCTTGTCTGTTGGGGCAGGCTAAGAAAGTCTACCTGGTCTTTGCGTCTCGTGAAGTATAACAACGATAAGTGACTTGTATTTAACACGGTCGATGGGATGGATAGGCACGGTAGATGGAATGCAGAATTGACAGATAGATTGCGAGCACAGACAGAGACGGGCAGAGGATCTCGGGCGAGTATTATATCGTTAAATCGCTAGAGTCGGCTGGCGTTGTTGGATCATTGTGAGGCGATTCCGGCCTCTTTCCGGTCAGTAGGCGTTGCTGGGCTTGCTGGCGCAACGCACAAGATTCGCTTCCATGTGGTGTGCTGCAAAATACGGGCGCGCTATCGCATCAATCGGTTCTCGATGCCCAACATGGCCCGTCCATCAACTCGCCATCCGTCTTCCTCCGGTCGAGAATCGCCAGAATCGCCGGCAGGGTGCCCGTGGCAGGGGCTGCGCCCAGGTGGATTGCGCGCGGTAGCTCTGGTTGCATCTGGTTCCCCAAGCTGCAGCAGCCGGCGCCAGGACTCCGGGATCCGCAGGGGGGTGGTGGGGACACGAAGACTAGCCTGGCGCTGTGGTTTTTTTTTCCTGTGGTGGTTTGCTCAGGTGCTTTGAGTTGGCGATAGGGGATAATGGACTGATGCGCTGGGTGAAGTTGGATGAATTGCGTATTGAGCAGACGAGCAGGAGAAGCAGGAGTTGCGATAATAGGGGCTGCAGATAAGGAGTCGCATGAGATCCTGAAGAAGTCACGGCACCTGGGCGTTCCTGCTGCGCTTAGACACCCTTTTGCGGCTGCACCTTCCTGCTCTCTCACATCAATCACTACCTGCCTTGGCATAGCGGCCCAGGGCTGGCGAATCAGCTTCGTTGCCGTAAGGGTCTCCACCCTCTTCTTCTCTAGACATTCTTTTTTCTCTTCTCGAGACGAACAAATCAGCACGCAAAACGACAAACTCAGGACGCCGCCCGGGCAGAGTCCCGGATCCGGGCCGGTTTGCTGCTGAGAAATGCGAAATGCAAAATGAAGAGAACGAGCGCCTGCTGAGTCGATCATGGGTGCCTAGGGCTTATTGCTGCTGGTACACGAGACTCTGTCGTGTGCGTTCTACTTACAGGCCCAACCAAGGCTCATTGTCCTGGGTACCTCTATCAAGCTGATCAATGGATTGTCAAGCAATCAAGGTTGTCACATGCAGGGAGCGTTTGCCTGCAAAGACAAAATAAACGCCTTTGTCAGGTTCACGACGTGTCCAGTATTCGGCCCCCCCGGTGGTGCTCGCGCAAAACTCCTGCTCCTTCGTGTCAAAAACACCTACAGCCAGCACCTCTGCTGCCACAGCTGATGCTCCTGACTCTGCCAGTTGACACACTTGAAGCATCACATCCGCTCCGATCTCACCCGAAAGCCTCCGTCTATAGAGCCAGGGCCCCCCCTGCACGCCACGCTATGGGCCTTACCGGAGCCCCGTTATGGACCCTGGAATCGGCACCGGCGCGCCCCATCAATTATTTACTTCAATTTCGCGGCACCTTAGTGCCACATCTGAACTTTTTTCCCCCAATGCTTCAAGACTACGGATTGTTTGTTCGAATGCGTATAGATGGCTTGCAGTAAAACAGGTAAGAGAAACCCGCCAATGTTGGGCATCGTGCCATGCAGCATTCGCATCACCTAATTGTTGTTTCAAGCTGCAGCGTAGCACGGGTAGCCCGCGGACGCGATAATCCATATCATGACTCCTATGTCCAATCGAACCTATTCCATCTTCCGGATTTTTCAGCTGTTTTTTTCTTGTATGTGGTTCCCGTTGATACGGAGCCGCCGATATGAAAACTGGCACCTTCTATGGAGAATTGCTTTATAAATTACAGCCCTCCTATTAGGCACTCCTTATGCCGTATTGAATGAAACCCTCTTCATATTTACTTTGTTATATTGCCCCGCCACTGCTTCCGTTTCTTTTTCTTCTTTCTCGTCTTCGCCCCTCTCTGGATAATTAAATCTCCATTACAAAGTTTGCATGGCAACTATGGCCGTGGACTACCAACGGGTATCAAATTTGCATATGCTCGCATGTGCTTTGTCTACAAGTATATCCGCCATCCATCTCCGCCTAGTGGGCTATTCCGCGGGGGGGATGGGATATTCACCATACACGTATCACTTCCTACCAATGAGACGCTCCTCTCACTCACACCATTTTGCTAGCACGTTACAAGTACCGGTACGCTCATGTGCAAACCAAGGTGACTCAATTGCGTCTCTTCCCTTTGGCCATTGCAGCCCCGATATACGGCACTCAAAACAAACTCCAGCGAAGCTATCTAGCTAATGCCGTTCAGCCTCGCGCCTGTTAGCTTCAACTAGCAAACCACTACCGGAATACTTCGGCTTGTCTGCAAATGGTCCCCCACAATCTACTAACAATAGCGCTGCAGCTAACGAACCAACAAACAAGCTCAGATCCATCTCGTCTTGCTTGGAGGTTTGCTCAAAACACGTACACGCTCAACAAATTCCGGCATCGGATAAGCTTTCCTCCTGTACCTGTCATCTTTCCTTACTAGGGTCTAGATTCTAGCTGCAGCTCCGCCAAGATCCGTCCATCCTGGAGAAGAACGGCCTTTCCCCTCAAAATCACAAGACAGGGCTATCCAGCACACCATTCTCGGCTCGGCAAGCAAGCTATAAGGATCTATCCCCAAATCACTCCGGCCCGAACAAGCTTCTTTGAGCCACGAAACCCCGCAAACCACATGCTCGCCGCCATCTTCAGATCTATTCTATCTAGTAGTATTACCCACCGGGCTTGTCGAGCCTCAGGCAGGTTCACGTCAGTCGAGCTCAGATCGGCCGATGGAGAGCCAACCATTCCCTGCTGGGCAGTTCCGCTTACGACATTCGACTTTCAGCTTGTCGTTATCATTGCAAACCGTTGAACCTTTGTCTATCCCTATTCCCTCGCCTAGATTGCTCTAAACATGTGAGATCTTCGCTTACACGTAGGGGGTTGTCTTCATATCCCGAGCTCGGGATGGAGACAACATCTGCCGACACAAAAAAAAAGAGTTGATGTATTGGCTATGGCTTGATGCCACTAAATTTTAAAGCCTAGACTTCTCTCCTAGTAATCTTACATATGGTGTGTTGGTAGGTATAGTAGTAATTCGTTGAATCGTTAGCCACCCTCTCTCTGCCCATTTCTAAAGATTTCTTATACCAAAGAATAGCATGTAAAAACAAAGGAAGAGCTTGTCAGTCACGTAAACTTGTTTCCCCAATTACAATTCATCCCAGTTGCCTCATTTTAGTGAATTTCCCTTGACTTCTTTCCCTATTTCTCCCGAGTCTTTGCATTCCCGAGGTCGCTTTCATCCACATCAGCTGTTTCCTCCCGATTTTGCATCCCCCGAGATCGCTTTCATAATCATCGTCTGCTACCCTACTGGCGCTGGTACTGTAGTTCATTTCGTATCGTCCTTGCTTGGTTGTGACATTCGCTGATTCGCCTTATCGATTTTCGCCAACGACTTGTCATCCTGAAGACTCCACCACCTCTTCAGCCCCTGTACATACTCAACCTCTTCATTTGTGATTTCTACTGGCGGACCCTTGATCTGCGGTAGCATCTCCGTGTTGTCTTTTTCGTAGACTGCCCATGCCGAGGCATCTCCGGCCCGGACGCCGAATCCCCTGCCTTGCACTGACACCACCTGGACGCGACGCAGCAGCACGATGTCACCGGCCTGGACAGCAGGTAGAGTAAACTTATGTGGCCGGAAGATGTGCGCAATGACGACTGTCGTTGGTGCTGCTGAAGGGTCGGTCAGGTTAAACTCGAGCATGTAGTCTCGGGGCCCAGACTTCGGTCGGTGTGGTTCGCGCGGAGTGGCAGTGACAACGGCTAATATATCGGCCGTTTTATTTAACGAGGCACGCAGGAATTTGAGTGGTAAATAGTCCGGCAGGGTTGTTCTTAGGCTCTTAGTCAGTTGGAGCTTCAGAGACGTGATGCTCACATCCTCAGCCACGGAGCTAGCAGCAGAAGATGGCCTGCCAGCGGTCGGTTTGCGGGGCGATCTCAGATTGTGTCCTGTGGCCGTTGACTCTGGGGTAACATCCCGACGAGGAGTTGCTGACGCGTCATGAGCTGCGTCTTGCGGAGTCTCTCCTTCAAGATGCTGTTGAGAACTCTTGCTGGAATCGGCTGTCAACTGCGAGCTCGGATCCGGCTGATCAGACTTGTGACGACTAGCACGCAGCGATTCTGTTGGGCTGTTTAGCTGTTGAGGACTGCGCTCTGGTGGCTCTGAAAGAGCTTGTGCTAGTAGGATGCTGGCATCAGCCGGGCCCTTAACGCCGCGTCTTGCGCGCAGCGATGTCGGCGCACCGGCTTCCTTTGGCGATTTAGACTCCTGGAAGGATGACTTGGCAAGTGCCGCATTACCCTCTGAATGCTCGGCCTTACTCCGTGGTGATGACCGCGACGAGCGCGGTGATCGCTGCGGGAGCGATTCTTCATCTCCAATTAGACATTGGCTCGCCTTATTGGGAGAGCCCCTGGCAAACGAAGCGTGTGGATCAGTTAGGAAGCTATCGGAACTACCACTGGAGACTCTTTTGGCACGGCAGTGGCTTCGAAGAGATTGCACCGTTATTAGCATCTCAGGCTCTGCCCTGCGAGAGCCACGTTCATGTGTGCTCTGTTCTGTATGATGAGCATGGTGGTGATGAGCATGATTGCATTCATGGATTTCTTCAACTGCCTCAAGGGGCTGCGAGAGAGCTGTTGAATCATGTGCCTTCTGCGGAGTGGAATAAAGCTGGGATTCGGCCATGAGTTGCTGCTCGATAGCAGTGTCGTCATCGTCATCGTCGCCGTCGCCTCCATCCTCTCTTGCATCCTCATACTCGTCTTCTCCCACATCTTCCTCCACATATTCTGACGTGTCTTCCTCCACGTCTTCCTCCGTGTCTTCCTCCACGCCTTCCTCCGTGTCTTCCTCCACGCCTTCCTCCGTGTCTTCTTCCAAGCCTTCTTCCACATCGTGGTAAACAGGTTCCTCCGCGTCTTCGTCCACCGCCTGAGCTGATTCATCTACATCCAGTGGCACCTCTTCTGTTACGACAGTATCGGCTACATCATGGTAAACCTCGTGGTCGTCTTGTTGAGCTTCCAGTGGAATTGATAACTGTTTTGTGGCCGCTTGCTCATCTAGAGCTGGTACAGCCGCAGATGTCAGCGAAGACAGTGCAGTCCGAGTAGCCGGGGGTGGTGATGATGCAATGACTTCAAGCTCTCCTGTGGTAATTGGTGAAATTTCTCCAGTGCCTTGGTCGACCTGGCCGATCTCCTTCTCCGAACCATTTTCGACAATCTCAGCTTCTTCTCCCAGTAAATTTAGCACATCATCTTGCATCTCCATGTCCGGTCCAGCAACAGCATCGTCCTCTGTTTTCGATTCTAGGCTGATTGGCTGGATCTCCAAGCCAGCAGCAGGCTCAGCATCCTCCATAAGCTGGTCATCGTTGGTAGTGGACCGCAGGATCGAAATCTCTTGCTCTTCGGCCATGTCGGCTGGTATATCTGAATTGTGCACAGATGGCTTAGCAGCTGGTTCTGCAGAATCTATGAATTTAGATGAGGCAGCTTCTGGCCGTTCATGTTCTTGTTCAACCTCTTGTTCGTGCTCCTGCTCCTGCTCTCCCTCTTGTTGCTGCTGAGCTATCGGCGCCTCCTCAGTCTCTCCTAGAACAGCCGGTGTTTCGATAGTAATAGGTTCTGGTGATTGTGATTTAGAGATACCGTGCATCTCCTTATCAGCAGCAATCTCTTCTTTGTTGTTGGCATTGGCGTTAACGGATTCAGGCTGTGGTGAGGTCTTGTCTGCGAGCGGGGAGCTGACGATAGGCGCCGTATTCTGGGCTTCGACTATAGTTTCCGCTATATTGACATATTGGCGCTTGTCGGATTTAGGTGACAGTATTAAGTTTGGATGGTCCATTTCAAACTGGCTGGTTTCACTCCTGTCCAGTTCGTCATGTTGAAGCAGAGCGAGTTCGTTATTGCCATCCAGCTGGCTCACCATGCTGGATCTCTTGGATGACTGGCTGACTACTGGTTTGATCTTGGTGGCCTCTCCAATATCGGACACGTCGTCGATTTCATCCATATTTTCATCCGCGCTTTCATCCGCGTCCACGCCCTCCTCCACATAATCATCCGTATCTCTCTCTTCATCTTCATCCTCAACTTCAACTTCATCCTCATCCTCATATCCATCTTGGTCTTCATCTTCATCTTCATCCTCATCCATATCTTCGTCTTCTCGTTCACTTGGCTGCTCATTAGCCTCATATTTCTCGGGCTGCGTAGGCTCTTCGCTCTGCTCCCTTTTGGCCTGTACAGCAGTAGTGGGCTTGTTACTATCGTCATCTTCAGAATCAGACAAAAGGCTGATAACGACTGGCTCTTTAGGAGCAGCCGGGGCCGGTCTCGGGATTGGAATAAATGGCCTTGGAATATGAAGTGCTGGCTGTGCGGCTTCATTATGAATTCGAGACTCTGATTCATATTCATATTCAGATCCCGATTCGTAGTCCGCGTCAGATCCTGACTCCTCAAGTTCGGATTCTGTGATATCGTCCTCCTCGATAATTTCGTCTTCGCCAGACCTCTGTTCAACATACTGTTCGTCATCATATGATTCCTCAGGGTTCCTGTTTTGCCTATTCCAGCCGTAGTAACCGCGCTGATTATCTTCCTCTTCCTCTTGTGATTCATCTGTGCTGGAATTCTCTTGCGGGGGGCTTGACCTTCCTTCTCTGCCAAACGTAGCGGTCACTGTAGCAGTCTCGGTATCATCTTCACGGCGTTCAAGATAGCTGTGATTAGGCTTTGGAACACCGCTTTGCGTAAAGGACGACGACAGCATGGTGTGTGCCTCATTTACTTGAGCATATCCCTGCATTCCCACGCTGGGAAATCCTGCAGATGCCAACGTATGCGTTTCATCAGAAGGGCTAGCTCTTAATGTGTGAGATGACCGAGCAAAGCTTCCCTGAGGGAAATTATGCACATCATGAGTGGGCATCGTAGGGTACGCTGCCGCCAATGTATCGGCTACCCAAGCTAGCCCATCGTGTGTCTGGGGGCTGTGAGCTTCGTGTTCTTGCAGTGGAGGCGGTTGCATCTCAGCCGCCATCATATCGTACGAATGCTGGTGGTTATGAACATCTGCTTCTTGCGACTGTAGACTTGGGTCTATACTCATGGACAGATCAAATGCACTATGCGGCGCATGAATTTCCGGTTGTCGGATAGGTTCTGACTCGTGTACTTGAGCAAGTACATTGTGAGCTGTTGCGTATTCAAATGAGAGCGGTGATGGTTGTTGGAGCACGTGGCCCATGTCTTGATGTTTCCATGGATTGGTTGGCGTAGGTTGTAGTAATATTCCCGTTGATTTGGATTCGGCAATGATTTGGACACCGCTGACTGGGCTGGAGCTCATCTCTCTAGTTTGGCATCCGTGATCTACCATTACTGGCTGTGGTTGGGCAACCGGTAACTGATCGCTCTTTTCGGTTTCTTTGGCTCCTTCACCATCTTCTGCCATAACAGTTTCCGTATTCGCGAGCGTGGTTTCATCCTGTTCTTCATTTTCGGTAGGCTGCTCTTCCACCTCGGGTGACGGTGACCGGCTGGCATATCTCCAGGAAGTCGGATTCATGTTGAATAGAGACCTTCTTTTCTTCTTCTTCTTGGCGCTTCTTGGAGGCTCTTCTTCGTCAAAGATATCAAAACCACCTTCAAAAAGCGAGCCATACGACACTCTTGCTCTCTTGATGAATGCCGGAGAGGTATATTCCCCAGGCCCTAGCGTCTCATAGGCATATCTCTTTGATGGGACGACGGAAAGCGGCGTTCGTGGCACGGGGTTCGCGAAATGAGTCTGCTCGATTTCGATCGAAGGCGAAGGACTCATCGTCTGGGGCTGCTCTATCGACTCCTCATCTCCTTCATTACCGCCCACATCGACGCTGATTGTGTCCACATCGTGGCTCTCGGCCCTGCGGATCATTAGCAGCAGGCGATTTGTAAACTTCATCTGCCACTCCAGTGTGCCCGGCCGCCTCATCCACGCCTGGTTCTCCTCCCACCGCACCCCGTCCAAGCTTAGCCGCACCTCATCGCCTCCTCCCAAATGTGCGTCTGCAAGAGCTTTGGCCGCGGCACCTTGGAATTCGACTCGGAGCTGGCCCTTGTCGCGTCGATGCAGGGGATCGCGTTCGGCGAGGATGAAGGCGATTGACTTGGTCACAGCACTGTACGGCCATGTCACGGTGATGACGCCTTCGATCACGAGAGCTTCTGCGTCGAGTATGGCAGGGCTGAGCTTGGCGATGGGCGTCGCTTCGGTGCTGCGCAGCACGTCGAGTTGGGCATCGTCCTTTGCCATGGCGGCTTCACTGGTGGCGCGCGCCGATCATCTAGTGGAGGGGCGGCTCTGGCGATGCTTATAGCAGGGTGGTTCAAGGTGGTTCATGATAGGGAATCGAAGAGGAAGGAGAGAAGAGGAAAAGAGGGTTCAGAAAAAGAAAAGAAAGGAAAGAAGCAGCCTCTGGCGTAGGCGGTTCTCCTGCTTTCCCCTGTCGCTGATGCGTTGTACCTATCACGTAGGTGCGGTGCGTGAATGAACTTGGATTGGAGTGAGATGCAGCTCACTTTTTTTTTCTCGCCTCGCTGCGCTGTCCTGCTTGGGCTGCAGCTCGCCCAATCTCGCAGCGACACAAATCCAAGGTTGCAGGGGTGAGCTACAGGCCTAAGACTGCTAGAAAGAAGACTGGAGAGCTGGCCAAGAGGGGCAGGCGGTGTGTGCTGCCGACTAGGCACCTGATGCACCTGGCGTTGATACATCCAGCCGCGGTCCAGCGCCAAAACAGGCCATACGGATACCTACAAAGTTACTTCAAAGCACTTAGTGAGCCCCAAGTGGCTGACATCATCCGACGCCGGCATGTTCTCATGCGACTATTTGACAGATCCGATCTCCAGGTGCCCGCCTAGCCGATATTATAAATCCCGTAGAGTGATTGCATCGTCTCATCTTCCTGCTATAAACTGGCGATGCCGCCAAGCAGACGCTCGCTCGCTTGTTTGGGCACCATTGGCCCGGTTCCCTCAATACGATTTTGTCTAAAACACTTTACCCTCTGTATTGGGCACTAGAGATATCTATATCTACTATATTTATTACATGCATATCGCAACTACTGATTCCTGCGCCGTCCAAGGAGAAACGACCAATAGCATGGGCGGCATCTGGTCAAGCCCTGCTGTTGGCACCGCAGCCAGCAGCTCAGCCGTGCCAGCAAAGCATCAGCAGCAACAGCGGCAGCCCTTCCACGTCAAGAAAGTCGCCATCATCGGCGCAGGGCCGGCTGGCCTGGCTGCTGCCAGATACCTCACAGCCCAAGGCGCCGTCGACTCCATCACCATCTTCGAGCAGCAGGATGAGGTCGGCGGCGTCTGGCACTACAGCGGCCTTGCGCCAAAGGAGGTGCCCGTGCCGCAGCAGGATCCGTTCTGGGGCCCGGAGCCCTCCATCTGGCCTGAAGGAGCACCGGCGCCCATCTTCCCTTCGCCCATGTACGAGAGGCTTCATGCGAATATTCCCGGATCCCTGATGCAGTTTCACGATACGGCGTTTCCGGCGGATGAGTGGCTGTTTCCCAAGAGAGAGGCGATCCAAGCATATCTTGTTCGATATGCTGAGGACCTGAGGCATCTTATCAAATTCCGCCATCAGGTGACACAGGTCAACTTGGAATCTCAGGATGGCAGAGATCAGTGGCATTTGGAAGCATCATCCACGGTGAACGATGACCAAGTCATTCGGGAGACTTATGATGCCGTAGTCGTCGCCAATGGCCACTACTCAGTGCCCTTCATACCCTCCATCAAGAACTTACAAGAGTTCAACAAAGCCCATCCCTCCATCATCAGCCACTCAAAGCAGTATAGAAAGAACGAGCACTTTAGAGGGAAGAAGGTTGTGGTCGTCGGAAATGGGCCGTCTGGTCTTGACTTAGCTCTTCAAATCAACGAAGTGGCCGATAGAACGCTCATGTCCGTGCGGCATCCCACCTCACCCGACAAAATCTCTCACATCGGGTGTGAAGAAGTCCCCGAAATAGTCGAATTTCTGCCAGATCAGCGAGGCGTTCTTTTCAAAGATGGAAGTAAAGAGACAGATATAGATTACATTGTGTTCTGCACTGGATTCTTGTTTGGCTACCCTTTCCTCAACAACCTCGGCCGCAAGATTATAACCACCGGGCGGGGCATTCATGGGCTCTATCACCACACGTTCCTTATCGAGCATCCGACATTGGTTTTCCCGGCTCTGAATATGAAATCTGTTCCATGGCCCCTGGCAGAAGCACAGGCAGCGGCATTCTCAGCGGTATGGGCTAATGATCTGGCTTTACCCTCTGACGACGAGATGAACAAATGGAGCAAAGAGCTGGAAGAGACTCGAGGAGAAGCACTGCATACATACCCAGAATTAGGAGACGATGGAAAGCACATCAATGAGTTTTATGACTGGGTAAATAAGGCGAAACATGTCGGCAAGCAACCTCCGCACTGGGAAGGCGAACAGTTTTGGCAGAGGAAACTAGCCCCGCAGGCCAAGACCAAATTTGAAGAGGATGGATGTCGAGCCAAGACACTGGCTGATCTTGGTTACCAGTATGAGCCTGGCAAGGAACAATGAATAACAGATGGGTGATTCTAATGGGGGGTGGAAAGAGAACATGATTTAAGGAGAGCGGCTCTTAGATATACTATTGAGAAGATAAAATCATAGACTGCAGAGCACCTATGTACATAGCACATAGATTGGAATGATCTAAATTCTCTTCCTACTACTGAAAATCTGTGAAACTACTGAAAACTTGTGACAGGTCGCTTACTACTTTACACAGCATGCACTGTTGAACAATGATACGTACTCGGGGAAGAAGAAGATATTGGTTCAAGTCATCAAAAAAGATGACCTGTTCGTAAAATCACATTGTTTAGACACACGCTGTTAATAAAGTCAAATCTCTTTTCGTCTTTTTTTCATTCAAAGAGTTCAACCTTTCCAGAAGCCATTACGCCTCGTTATGAAACCATGATATATCCCTCCTCCAAAAACCCATTGTTCGTAACTTGCTGCACACCCAGAAAGTTAAAGTATTTACTCCTGCTTCTTCTGAGACTCCTGGGAGAAGACCTTGGCGTAGGGGTTCAGGCGCAGGAGGACCTGCTTGTTGCGCAGGGGGTTCTTCTTCTGGACGGCGGATCGTCGGGTAACAGCATCGCCCTTGGGGCCGTTGAGGGAGCTCTGGATTTCGCTGCTGTTGATCAGACGAGTAAGGTCGGCCTGGGAGACGACGTTGGAAGGCAGGAGGAAGTCCCGCTTGTGGGCAGAAGGAGTGGTGGTAGAGCCGTAGATCTCATCGAGAGCCTTGAAAGCGGCAGAGGTCCAGACGATGAATCGGCCGAGGTGACCACCAGGGGCGAGCTGGAGGAGGTTGAGGGCAGAGACGGGGGAGGTCTCAACACCGGGGATGTTGCGGAAGCCCTTGACGAGCTCCTTGCCATCGACCTCGGGGTTGTAGACAACCAGAGGACCACGGCGCTGGCGGTGGCGGCGGCCACGGAGCTTACCCTTACCGGCACGGAGCTTCTTGGAGTCCTTGACCTTCTCGAGGTCAGCACCGGCGCCGACGGCCTTGAGGAGGGCGAGGGCAGCGGCAGTGCGGGCAACGGAGCTGCCCTCAACGAGAGCAGAGTCGACAACCAGGGGAACCTCGGGGATGGTCATGATCTGGTGGCCACGAGCGAGCAGAAGAGGGGCGGCGGCGGAGGCAGCCAGGGCAGAGCAGGTGGCATATCGCTTCTGGCCCTGGTTGACCTTGACGTGCCACTTGCGCCAGACCTTGGTAGGGGCGAACATGCGACCAGATCGGCACATGTTACCGAAGGCGGCCTGACCAGCACGGTGAGTACCGGAACCAGAGACACGAGGGATACGGGCAACGGCGCGACCTGAACAATTCCAATACAGTCAGCACAGTTCTAAACAGAGTTCTTCGGCGGGCGCGTTGAGGCTCTTCGCGATGGCTGGACGAAAAAAAGGAAAATTTTTATAGTCCCGCCTTGTCTCGATTTGCATCTCAAATTCTTGCCTCCCCATGATTTTCAAGACACTCACCAGTTCCCCAAGACTCAGCAGAGGTCTGGTGACCGGCCTTCTCGCTGACAGCATAAGGCTGGCGCTTGTTCTTGGCCATGCCAGTGTGAACCTGCTTCACGATATCCGGTCGGATAGGGCTGGCGAAGACGGCGGGAATGGTGTGGGTAGCTCCAGAGGGAGCACCATCCTTGCCGATGATAGTGACGGTAGGTCGTGAAGCCATTGCGATGGTAGGACTAGGACCTGATGGCGGATTGAAGAGTTAGCAACTTTCAAGAGGCGAAAAGGCTGTGTTCAGAGCCGAAGATAGGGTGCAGCATACCGTGGTCGTCGGGCTGGTCGAATTTGGCGATGAGAGGTGGAAAGTTTGCTGGCTGCTGGACCCGCGATAAATTTCACTGAATTTTCCTTGCAATTTTTGGTGGGCGGACCCTAGTTTAGTGGGGTACGTACCTTAGCGAGTAGAAACGGGGCTCACGTGAGTGCCCTTTTGGCATTTGTGACAGGGTTATGAGGTCCATTTCCTCTTTAGGAGACGGCTTAGTAAGAGAAATGTTACGTTCGAAGGAATTCGTCTTATAGGGCACTTCAGAAGCTTCAAGTCAGAGCTCATAGTATTTTAGGGGTAATTCATGTATCTATTGTCATCATGTCATATTGCTAGTTTCATTTATCATGTCCATGTATGCCATCTTAATGATATGAGCTTCGCTATGCTTATTTCCAACGCAATAAACTGACCCTATAAAAGATGTTTCTAGTTTTCTACCACTTTATTCCCATCTCTTCCACTCTCTGCTAAGTTTATCAATCTGTTCGTCCGTCCATGCGGTGTTGCGTCCATCTCTTACTAGGCTGAGAAACTTGCTGTGTACGTCCTTCTCAATCTTCAACCTCTCTCGAGCCTTTTCCTCTAGGTACTGCGGATCATTGTTCCTGCAAGCTCTCTTGAAAACATCTCTCATCCTAGCCGAATAGAGCTGGCACGTTGCAATGGGCAGCTTGGTCGGCTTCAAATAGAAATTCTGAGCAATCACATTGTCTTCTGCGCGCTGAGGCCGAACGACGTCTTCATAGCATTCCCCGCAGACCGTAAAATCCGGTAGATACTCCATCACGTACCAGTATCCTTCGCTCACGCGGCGGTCCTCGCGACACTCATTCAGAGTGCTCAATCGCGTAAGCATCATGGAAAGGTCGCCGACGTCTACCTTCCGGTTAGTCACATAGCTCTTGTCCGATGTGGTTTCAAAAGCATCGAAGAACAGCACGAATTGTTTCCGCTGAGGCGTATATTGTAGAGAGCAACTGTTTCTCGATGGCTCATTCCGGGGATCGAGCGGAATGAAGACCCCTGTAAGATTCGGGAATAGAGTCTCCACCGTCTTCGCACACTGATAGCATACTGCAAATTCGGGCACCGGCCGCCTTGTATACGGGTCCTTTACGGTGTACCAAACCCGCGTTACTTTGCGTTCGACGGGGCACGGATAGTCGCGAGAATCGAACATGACCCTCGCAAGATGATGAAATAGCTGCAGGTCGGGCACCTTATGTTTCAGCGTGAGCAGCCAAGCTATCTGATACCAAGGCGATGAACCAAAATCGCACGCAATTGCGTTGCCTGTTGGCCGTAGGACTGGATGGAAGTGAGTTCGGTACTGGGTGTCTGCAAACACATGGCCATAACAATCAGGGCAGATATTGAACTCTGTCCTGGGGAGCGTAAGCCAATCCATCTTCCCGGCTACAGGTTCTTTGCGCTTGCATTCTGGGATGTTTGGAAAATCTGACTGCTCATCATGACCTCTAGTCTCAGAGTAGCGCCGGTAAAATCCAACTGTTTGGTCAGGACGCACTGCGGATTTATTTGGATCAAATGGAGGTGGCTGCCACGCTTTCGTTGTCACAGATGGCTCTTTATATGTTGGAGACTTGATGATTTTCTCGTCTGGTGCCACGTGATCATCGTCAATCCGAGGAATTGGTGGCATCAGAACAGGCGATGCAGTATCTGCCCGTGATTGCCGCGCAGCTTCAATTCCTGCTGACTCCTCTGGCCAAGCAACAATCGCATCGTCATCATCTGGATATGGAAGGTTAATTACTGGGGGCGTTCGGTCGCCTTGGAGCTTCTTCTCTTGATTGAGCGGGAAAGTAGTTGACATGCGGCGATTAGGCACCCAATCCTCTGGCAACCCTAATGAGTTCGCCGACGAAATTGGCATCGTTGGAACTCTAGAAGGAGAGCGAGAATTTCGGCCACTAGTGCCACCTCTGCGTGATGATGCAACAGATGCATGGTCGTCGTCATCAATGATAACCGGGCTTCCTCTTCTATAAGAGCTGCTGAAGGTTTCGTTCCGCGGAGAATTTTGATCCTTGAATTTGGATGGCGATGGAGCTCTCAAGGTTTCGTTTACGGATGGCTTATGTGAAGCATAAGTATCTCTCAGGAGGTCATCTCGAAGGGGTCGATTGCTGTCTGGAGGACGAGATCCGTTGACTCGATCGTGTGACATAGGCCTTGACAAGGGCTCAAAACTTGAGTTCGGTCGTCCCTCCATCGTCGCTGTTGCGCTTCGTTTATGATACCTGTCTTCGTCTCTTCTGCTCTCGCTTGCTTCGCCCAGGCTAGCGCTACTATGGGTAGGCGGTTTGCCATATCCATTGTAGGTCTTGTCCCGGCCAATCGATCCATGTTTTGTCACTTGCGGCGAAAGATATTCCTCCCCATATTTGCGAGAGGTCTGCGTGAACTCCGGGCGGGGGGCATTAACGGCAGATTTGCTTCGATGATGGCTTGGTGTCCGGTTCTCGTTCACGTCTGTCTCCAGCCGAGGCAGGTCTTGTCTGCTTCCCCGCCTCTCTAGCTGAGGAATAGAGGCGCTAAGACGATTGGATTTCACGTTCTCGGCTTCGTTAATCTTTCTTCTATTTTGTGCTTCTGGTGAAGAAGACGTAGATATCGGCGCCTTCTTCTTCTGCCGAAATTTATCTTTATCTTTGGAAGCCTTGTCCTCAGCCTCGCTTCCGGGTACGCTTGACGGAGTCGCGCCTGGTACTATAACAAAGCGACGCTCAGTCTCGCTTTCGGGTGCGCTTGACGGAGTTGCGCCTGGCACTATCACAAAGCGACGCTCTGGATTGTATTCAAAAACTTCTTCCATGACTGGCATTTGGTCAACTTCCCCCCTTGCCTGCGGCTCTTCATCGGCCACAGGCTTGAGGCAGCTACCAAATTCCTTTGCAAGGGAATCAACCTCATCTTCGACAGTGGGTGGGGGTGGGTTTGAGCTGCGGCGATATGGAATGTCGTCGTAATATCGCGGTGCGAGGCGAGATATAGGCGGCTCTGGTGGCGTGGATAAGCGCACAGGACGCAGCGGGGAATCGACAGACGCTCTAAGGTTCAACGTGGTCAGCTATTGTGTTCTCAATCAGAGGCCCAGGCAGCTATCCATAGGTCTTGGGACGTACGAATGCCCATGCTTGGCTCTTGACGTGGTGAAATACCCCGTCTGGAGCATGTTTTCTATGGGATTGCTCATCCTGATTCGTCGTTGGGCTGTCAAGCCACGGGGCGTCTAGATTTTGTGAGATGCTGGGATAGAGCGTCACAGCGGCCCTATGCGACGCGCTGCGAGTCAATCGGCCAGAGCCCTATGTGCGCCGTGTCGTAAGCCCTCGGTTGAGCTTAACAATAGAGCTCACTGTCGAAATTGACTGATGAAAGAGGCGTCCCAGGGCCAAGCTGGCAAGTGAAGTCCCACAGCAAAGGGCTTCCAGAGAGTAAACAAGAAAAATCCACAAGACGTCAGTGGTGTTTGGGTTGAGATGATTCAGATGACATCGTAGTGGGGTCTGGGCTGTATTTCATTTAGCGGCGTGGCGGCCCGCTTTGAGGGGTCCCGAGCGCTGTAACTGCCTAAGGCAAGTGCTATACCAAGTAACTGACAGCACCTTGTTGCCACTCGTGCCCAACCAGCCCTTGCCTCCAACCATGTCGATAAAGGGCCGTTGAAAAGCGCCTGTCTTAGTACGAGGCTGTGCTGTATGGGGCAGTGAGAGTCTAATATCTATAAAAGCATTTGATATTGTCGCTGAAGTCCGAAGTAGGGTTTCTCCGTTTCTCGCTTGTGTTGGCAGCTGATCAAGTATCTTCTCCATCGAGACAATTAAATTGGCGCACATGCTGCAACTGCATCAAAGCCGAAGCCACCTCGAGCCTGATTTCCCTTGATTCTTGGAGTCTAATGTCCTGACCATGTAGATTTTCGTCATCTATTCAAAGTAGATACTAAATTTGCAGTAATTTGGTTGGCATAAGAGTCGGGTTTTTGACATGGGTAAAATATCTTCACGCATGCTCATGTCAGGCCAGAAAGCTGAGGCATATTATAAAGAGGCAGCCGGGTCAAACACGTTCATATATAAAGTGCCTATATGAAGCATTGCATACACGTACATCGACTGCTAGTGGTGTGGGGTCCTCAGCGAGGTTGCTTGATAGGCGTTTTTGGGACTTTGCAAGCACTGCCGCCCAAATAGAGGCTTACCTGGGTACATGTAGGTTACAGTAGTAGAGGTAGGTAGGTACCTAAGGCACTAGTAGTACTAGTAGTATTCTTTCTCTGACACAGGCATGCATGCGTTTCTTTCTGAGACTTGAGTGTAAATTATGTGATTATTATTATTTTTCCACTTTCGTGAGATCGTAACGTATTAATTAGGTATGATCATTTTGTAAGACGTAATGCATGATAAGGCCACTTTGGCCACATCCACCCAACCCGACTTTTGAGTATTTCGAACTTTTAGGCACCAGCCTAATTGCGGCTCCCAGACCGATTGGCATGCTTGCAACAAGCAACTTTGATAGCAAGTACGCAAACCAGCAAAAACCGAATATGGCCGTTGCTAGCCCAGCCAATTTGCCCCTGCTTACTCCAGGAGGTCCCTGATGTCCTCGTCACTCTCCTCCTCATACCGTCGTTGCTCCTCGGCTTCCAGAATCTTCCTCAAAGTCTTCCTTTGCCTGACTCGTGCCTTTGAGCCCCAGTTAGCCTTGGATCCGTCGGCACCCTCATCAGCGTCCACATCTTCTTCTTCCACCGCACCCAGGCCACGCAGGTCATTTGGCGACATTTTCGCAACCTGCTCCTCGGCGAATTTCTTGTCCTTCACATCCTGCTCCTCCAGCTTCTTGACAGCATGCTTGGTTGAGTAATTGATGATGTGTGGTCGTATCAGCAAGTATGTGCATACAACCATGATGAGACGAAGCCAGCCCTGTGTTGACATGTCGGTGAAGCTCTTCTGGATGTTGTTGGAGGCATTCTGCCCGAACTGAGACAACTGGCCAAGGATGGACTGAGCAGACTGCCCATCATCGTCTGGGTATGGCTGGTATGTTTGAGAATCCATGGTATCAAGAGCAGCGGGAAGTTCTCATCAAAGGGACAATAGAATTTTCTTCAATATGAGCGGCAGATGGCCAGACAAATGAAGACAACGATTTCCAACACAATTGGAAAAGAAAAAGCCAGCAAGGTAGGTGAGGCAAGGTGACCTCTTTATAGGGGATGGCGAGGTTTGGTAAAAGATGAAGATGCAACCGTAGTCTCAGAGGAGGGATGGCGGAAGTTTTTGTTTTAGACACCGACTCTGCAAATTCGCTAGTGAGCACGGCGTGCTCCGGCCTATTTCTCCGAGACTGCCGGTTGGGCGTGGCGGATCCGATGAGCGCCATTTACATGTATAGAAGCTCAACGGGACCCATACGTCGTAGGAAAGCTTGTGTTTTTGCGCGAGGTAATAAAGGGGCAAAAAGTTAACCCAAATATTACATTGCTACGTAGCATCAATTTTTCTTTTCTAGTATCGATTAGCTATCGACGGCTTTCAATCATTTCGAGAGGGTTTCCGTGCTCTAGAGAAGTACTGCGATACAATGGCTTCCGGAGTTTCCTGACCGCAACCTCTGATGTAGCACGGCAACGCCGTTGGGCCACTTGCTCCCCCCAATACTATTTCTTTTGCTGCTTAGTATTGACTGTGCAATTCGTTCGTTCTCCCAAACATTTTGAAATGATTTCGCAATTTTAACCCGCGAAATGCTGCATTACATGAATATTAAAAGCGAAAAGCTGCTGTAGAGTTATATATGAGTCACGTGATGTCCGATTGCAGCCAATCGGCCCAATCAAGATAGCGTGAAAGCGCTCCATGCTGGCAGCTCAAAAATTTCGTCTGTACTTTGTACCCCGGAACGCCTGATTTGCGACTCGGTTTTTTCCCCTCCCCCACTGGCCAAATATTTTTTTTTCTTTTTCGTTTGGTCTGGCATTGTGTATTTCATATTGGCGGCGCAACATGTCGACTGCATTCAGATCAATTGCTCCGTTTGTACGGACGGCCCGATATGGCCTGAAGTCCGGCAGTGTCAACCCTCTCCAGGCTGCGCTCAAGAACAGCCGCAGTGCGGCTGGTGTTCTTAACATCGCTCGTACATATGCCGTTTTTGAGCGAACCAAGCCTCACGTGAATATCGGTAAAGCGCCTTTTCGAATGCGTGATGATTAGGGATTTTGTATTAATGAAGGGTTTGCAACAGGCACCATTGGTCACGTCGATCACGGAAAGGTAAAGTTAATGGAAGCATCTTATAAAGACTTCACACTGACCCATTTCGCTGTTGTAGACTACCCTGTCCGCTGCCATCACCAAGAGGCAAGCCGAGAAGGGCTTCGCCAACTTCCTCGACTATGGCTCCATTGACAAGGCTCCCGAAGAGCGAAAGCGAGGTATCACCATCTCTACTGCCCACATCGAGTACTCAACGGAAAACCGCCACTACTCCCACGTCGACTGCCCTGGTCACGCCGATTACATCAAGAACATGATTACTGGTGCTGCCAACATGGACGGCGCCATCATTGTTGTCGCCGCCTCCGATGGTCAGATGCCCCAGACCCGTGAGCACTTGCTGCTTGCCCGACAGGTCGGTGTCCAGAAGATTGTTGTCTTCGTCAACAAGGTTGATGCCATCGACGACCCCGAGATGTTGGAGCTTGTTGAGATGGAAATGCGTGAGCTTCTCAGCACCTACGGCTTTGAGGGAGACGAGACCCCCGTCATCATGGGCTCTGCTCTGATGGCCCTGAACAACCAGAAGCCCGAGATTGGCCAGACCAAGATTGATGAGCTGCTCAAGGCCGTTGACGAGTGGATCCCCACCCCCGAGCGTGATCTCGACAAGCCTTTCCTCATGTCTGTTGAGGATGTCTTCTCCATCTCCGGCCGTGGTACCGTCGTTTCGGGCCGTGTCGAGCGTGGTGTCCTCAAGCGCGATGAGGAAGTCGAGCTTGTCGGCAAGGGCATTGACCCCATCAAGACCAAGGTCACTGATATCGAGACTTTCAAGAAGTCTTGCGAGCAGTCCCAGGCTGGTGACAACTCTGGTCTCCTGATCCGTGGTATCCGTCGTGAGGACGTCAGGCGTGGTATGGTCGTCTGCAAGCCCGGCACCGTCAAGTCTCACAAGCAGTTCCTTGCTTCCCTCTACGTCCTCACCAAGGAGGAGGGTGGTCGCCACACTGGTTTCCACGAGCACTACCGACCTCAGCTGTACCTGCGTACATCTGACGAGTCCGTCGATCTGACTTTCCCCGAGGGTACCGCTGATGCTTCTGGCAAGATGGTCATGCCCGGTGACAACGTCGAGATGGTTGTCACCCTGACCAACCCCAACGCCATTGAGGCTGGTCAGCGATTCAACATCCGTGAGGGCGGCAGGACCGTGGCCACTGGTCTGGTCACCCGTATCCTCCAGTAAATACAACTAACGACTTGACAACTCTGGAACAGCGTGGAGTTGTTGGAATGAATATAACAAACAAAAAATTGGACAACAGTCGTCAGGAAACTGGGAGACGACAATATTGGCGCAATGTTACGGCCATATCTCCTAAATCTGAGCCACATGTGCTCGTGTATAGTTGTAGGGGAAGCGGATATACAAAAAAATCTCCACTTCGCTTCTTCCTTAATGTCTTCATATATCAATGTACTTTAGACGGATGGTGGAGGCAGGAATAGATGTGCAAAAATACAAAAGCATATGATTTACCTCTAGCTCGTTTTAAACAACCAGAATGTGGGCCAGAAGTTTGCTAAAGCATTGCTTTCCTTTAATGGATATATCATATTGGGGCGATGGAGTAATATCTTGCATAGAAAGGTTTGGGTGAGGTCACTTGTATTTACACATATTTGAGCAGTATCGAAGATCTGTTGCCTACGAAAATGTCCCTTTACGAGAATTGCGACGATGCAAGTTTCCAAAAAAGTTTGATCCATGGCATTCATAGGTATTCGTCTCATCATCTCTTGGGCATACATAATGCACCAGTGGGGAAAATAGCGGACGCAGAAAAATTTATCGAATGCAATGGTATTCGTCTATCCTCGGAGGATGTTCGTCAGACGCACGATCTTTTCTTAAAACCAAGCCATCCATTAAACTCCGGTTCCAAGCGGCCGCCCTCCGAGTGCTTTTTGTGTATTGGCCATCAAAAATGCAGCACGCATCCGTCAATCCCTTGTCCCCCTTTGGAAAGCCCCCTTTTTACAGCAACTCCTTTATCGGTACTAGAAAGACGCAAAACCACGTTAGTCACTGCCCTCTCTGATGTCTCGAACCCCGTATCCCAATATCTTTCTATCATGTCTTCCATCTTCCAGCTCCTCCTCTCCATATATCTTTTGAGGTGGCTTACCTTGTGGAAACCAATGTCCTTGGCCTTCTCACGGAAGCATTGACGGCACAGGTCAAGGTCGTACTTGCGGATCAGACCAGCCTTGTGCTTGCAGACGCGGCTAAAAGAATGTCCTGTTAGCGTTCGTGGTTCATTGTATTGAATTTCGTCGATCGCCCTAATATCCTCCTGATCCGACACTCGGCTGCAAGTCGTTGCAGTAAAGAATCCCCCAGCTACAAAAAAAAGGGTAGATATCAGGCGTCATACCATTGGCGAGAGCCCTTGCCGTAGTTTCGCGGGCGCGAGTTCCAGACGCTTTCGTGAGACATGATTGCGGTTGTGGTGTTGCAAGATGGTGATTTCGCGAGGGTAGAAGTGGGCGGAAATTTTGTGTGAATTTTGCGATTTGCCTAGGCCTATCCACCAACCGATTGGAGGGTTGGCAGCCCCGGCGAAGCGGGCCCACCAAAGCCAAAGGTCGCTTTTGGAGGGTCACGTGCGATATTTATCATTATCAGCACGTGCAACAATCTTTATCTGATTTTCGACTAGAGCAAAGCTTCGGTGGGGCCCCTCTCTCTCGGTGAGGCCACCGCCACTAGCTTGGCTGAGCTCCCCGCCGTGCCTGAACCAACCACACACCTTGCATTTGGCGCAAGCTGTCCTCTTTTTGCCGCCTTGATTTCAAAGCACTTATCTCAGGGCGACTGCCGGGCTACAACGATTGATTATCAGGGGTTTTCAAGTCGGCCGTATAAATCACCACCTGCTTCTCCATTATATCCAAGCTGCATTTGATATTTCCACTACGGAAGCACCCCAGTTTTCATTGATATTACGTCTTTTCCTAATCCGTCATGGTTCTCATCAAGAACCTCATCTTCGCTGCCCTAGCGGGCTCGGTGGCTGCCAAATCGGCGGTTATTGATCTGATCCCGTCCAACTTTGACAAGCTCGTCTTCTCCGGAAAGCCCACATTGGTCGAGTTCTTCGCTCCCTGGTGCGGTCACTGCAAGAACCTTGCCCCCGTTTACGAGGAGCTGGCCCAGACCTTTGAGTTTGCCAAGGACAAGGTACAGATCGCAAAGGTCGATGCCGACTCTGAGCGAGACCTTGGAAAGCGATTCGGCATCCAGGGATTCCCCACGCTGAAGTTCTTTGATGGAAAAAGCAAGGAGCCAGTGGAGTACAACTCGGGCCGTGATATTGATAGCCTGACCAACTTTATCATTGAGAAAACTGGTGTTAAGCCCAAGAAGAAGAAGGCCGACCAGCCCAGCAATGTTGCCCACCTGGATAACAAGAGCTTCTACGAGACTATTGGTGGAGACAAGAACGTGCTGGTATCATTCACTGCTCCTTGGTGTGGTCGTAAGTATAAACCCCATTTACCCATGTTTTCATTCAGTGATCATTATATATTTACCGCCAATGTTTTCATCTAGACTGCAAGAACCTGGCACCTACTTGGGAGCAGGTTGCCCACGACTTTGCCAATGATGCCAATGTTGTGATCGCCAAGGTCGATGCCGAGGGTGACAACAGCAAGGAGGTTGCTGAGGAACAGGGCGTTAAATCTTACCCCACCATCAAGTTCTTCCCCGCTGGCAGCAAAGAGCCCGTCGCATACGAGGGTGGCCGACAGGAGATTGACATTGTCAACTACATCAACGAGAAGGCCGGCACTTTCCGCGCTGAGGGAGGCGAGCTTAACGACCAGGCCGGTCTCGTGCCGTCTCTGGATGCTATTGTGACCAAATTCCTCGGTGGCGTCTCACTCGCCGAGGCTACCAAGGAAGTCAAGGCCGGTGTTGCCAAGCTCAACAACTCCGTCGAGGCCAAGGCTGCGGAATACTACGTCCGTGTCTTCGACAAGCTGAGCAAGAGCGAGCAGTTTGCTGCCAAGGAGCTCACAAGACTCCAAGGCATCTTGGCCAAGGGCGGTCTCGTTGCTGGTAAGCGAGATGAGATCCAGATCAAGGTCAACGTCTTGAACAAGTTTGCCGCCAAGCCAGAGGAGAAGGATGAGCTGTAAGCTATTGAAGCTGTGAAAGGAGTAAAATAACATATTTCTTGTCTACTATCAAAGCGAAGAAAGCATCATAGATTGTATGAACCTAGTTGTTACAGCTATCAAGACAATTATATATCAAGACAAAAGTCAAAACAAATCCTCCAGTAACTCCGTGACTACCTGATGAGTTCACTTCCTAGTTGGGCCGTCATGAATCTCATTACAAGACTTGGGCTTGATTTCTTCAGTTCATCATCAAGGTTTAGATGAGGAGGTTGCTTCTTTGTTTTTCTTGCTCTCTAGCAGAGCAGCTTCCAAGCTATCGAGTCTGCGAGACATTTCATCCACTAGCCTCGCCTATTAGCATATTTTGAGCTACTGAGTCTTTCAATCCTTCTCACTCACTTTTGGCGAAAATCTCGGACGATACACCAGATAATTTGTTGGACAGGGTGTTCAAGAGATCTTCAACAGCTGCTGTGACATCCGCATTTCCTTCGTCCCCATTCTATCCAAGGCGGTTAGCTAGCTTCTTCCAAGCCATGTAATTGTATTTTGATTGCACAGTAATTATGGGAGGAGAGATAGAGTGTATAGAGAGCAAGGTGCGGTTTTATACATGGAGCAGTGACTGATACATCCTTGAAGATGCTCCTGTAGTATAAAGGTGAGAGAATGAGTAAACCAGACGTACAGCAGCTGGATTCGAGGCGACAGAGTCACGGTTCGATGCCATGTTGAACCTGGAGATGAAGGGTAGCGCGGGATTCGTCGTGGATCCTTTTTTGGCGGGCAATAGCGGTGGGAGCTGTTCAAAAATACGACGCGACCTCCTTCTTGACTCTGAAACTAGACGCGTGGCTTCGGTCTCTTGTGTATCTAATGTGGAATCGTGGGCTATCTGGAGCTGAAGTTTTGCACCAGGTAAAAGCGAGGTTGAGAGTTTGTCAAGGAACGCCACGAAGAGGAATGAGATTGAGCTCGAGCACAAGCATTACCGCCTAGATTTTAGCCCACCGCTAAAACCGGAGACTTGCGACAGCAGCTTCCAGCGTCTCAGTAGCGACATTAGCTCCCTGCAGGGCACCCCCTACAAGAGCTGTGCTCGGCCCATAGCTGCAGGAAGCCCCTCCGGATGTCGCTGACTGATAACGTTGTGCTGCCACTCTCGTTACTCCGAACTTGGAGCACCGCTACCACATCAACATCCCCCGATATATATCTTCTCCTAGAACCCAGCCGATTCGAAGCGCCCGCGTCCCTGACAACGCTCGGTCTGGGACAACTATAATGATAGCGACATAAACGACTCCGGGGTCTCGTCCACTAATCGGGACAAGATGCCGCAGACAAACCAACCCCACGCCTGGAAGTTCTTCTTTGTCTTCTTCGTCATCTGGCTTGTTTTGCCCGATAACGAGTACCAAAGCCAGTCGGTTGCTCTATCCGACCTCATTCTCTCGCGCCTTTCGGACTACGGTGTTGCCCTTGATGTGCTAAACTCGACACGATGGGGGGACTTTGCTCCCCTAGAGGCAAACCGTACGGAGAACAAGGACGCGAGCTCCCCCAAATATGTCAACTTGACGGGGTTTCGAGAAGAGGATCACTTTTCGTGGCAACACTTGAACAAGTTCCGGGAAAGAGGCCTGAAACTCAGCCACCATGCAGTCTCTGCAGTTGATGGCAATGAGCTGTGGGATGTGGCAGAGGGCGAGCCGATATGGGCAAACGCTTCCGGTGTTCTTGGGGGCCAGTGGGTGCGTCGCCCAGAGCTGAGTCCAAGGATCCCTGGCAGCTACAATTTGAGCCAAAGTGTGCCATCCATGCACTGGTATGCCGATAAATGGAACTGGGCTCGTAATTTGACTGGTACAAGTGGGCGAATCCATCTGCGTCTGGAAGGGAACAAGACGGTTACTGGATATGAGCAGCTCTCGAAGACCGATGCCCCCCTCGGCGGCGGCCTGATACGCAATATGAAGGGGGTTTTGACGATGGAAGATGAGGGATCATCCTTTGAGACGCGTCTCTGGGGAGTACATTGGCCACGGCAAGGAGTTATCATGATGACGACTACGAGCGAGAAATTCGACGGCATCTTTGGGCTGCCGCATCTTACACCTGGACCAGACTTTTTCCAATCTAGCCAGGGGCTCCTCAACCAGTCTCTGGCGCACACTATAGCCACAAAGAAGAAGAACATCTATACCGACCAAAATATACCGTGGAACGCAGACATTGAGAACCCTCTCCACACTCCAAGTCCTGCTCCCAACTGCGAATACGTCATGTATGCGCAGATCCATCCTCCAAGCAGACAGAGTCTTGGTCTCGGGGATACTGTCCCCAAGGGCGAAAATGTGGCAGACATTATACAATCAATCGAGTCAGAACTGGAATATCCGCTCGGTGTGCCCATTCAACGCATCCCAGATCTACACATGTCGTCGGTGATATACTCTCCAGACTGCTCATTCATGTTGGAAACGAAGGGCCCTCCAGATTTCCCTCCCAGCGAGGCTGACCATCTTGTCGGCGTCAAGTCTGAGGTTCAGGTCACCAGGATCAATAAATGGCTCATCACATATGCGGCAGTGATATTTATCCAAGTAATGTTGCTCAAAGACCAGATGAGGGAGACGTACACACCGTCCACTCTCGGCAGGGTCAGCTTCTGGACAATCAGTGTAATGGGCATCGTCGACTGCATGACCTTTTGTGCGGCTGCGACGTGGGTTTCCGAGGCTCAGAGCACCTTTTTACCGACCTTGACGCTCATGTTTACATCACTCATGTCTATGATGATTGGAGGGAGTCTCCTTGCTAGGATCCACGAGATTCAAGCGCCACAGCCTCGTGCCCGCCGAGAAGGCACGGCTGGATCAAATAGCGGCCAAGCCAGCTCGACTGCTTCTGCACCTCTGACTCCCAATGCAACGGGCACAGGACCTATTCTTCCTGGGCCTGTGACAGCAGGACGTGGCCCCGATCCCGCTGCTGCTGCTGCTGCTAATGTCGCAGACGGCGCTGCGGCCGTACCTGGGGCTGCCACAGCTGCAAGGCCATTGCCACCGCCCTCACCACCTCAGACGTTTCAGTCCATCATCGGCCGATACTTACTTTTGGTCCTCTTCATCTCTTTTGTTGGGATCTCTTCTCTGACGTGGTATGCGACTGCGCGCTCATGGTTCATCAACATATGTGTGTTTATATATCTATCCATGTGGGTTCCCCAGATATACCGAAATGTCATCCGCAACTGCCGCCGCGCCCTCAAATGGAAGTTTGTCGTCGGCCAATCCATCCTTCGTCTGGCCCCGATGGCGTACTTTTGGCTCGATGCGGATAATTTCCTCTTTGCTCGGACTGAGCCGCACTCCTTTCTGGTGCTATGCCTCTGGGTCTGGCTGCAAATCTTCGTGCTGGCCACGCAAGATATCGTCGGCCCGAGATTCTGCGTTCCCATGGACTGGACGCCGGATGCATGGGACTATCACCCAGTGCTGCGGGAAGACAACGTCGAGGCTGGAGCCTTGCCCATCGGGCTGAATCCTGAAGACAGCCCGGGTTATGACCCTAGGCACAGCAGCGAGGAGAGGGATAAGCTTCGCCCGGGTGGCGGTGTTACGCGGACCATTGATTGTGCAATCTGCAGAGAGCTGCTCGAGGTACCCATTGTCAAGGCTGGGGAAGAAGACACGAGCGTGACGGGGGTGTTTGCCAGGAGGATGTACATGGTGACTCCGTGCCGGCACATTTTCCATACTGATTGCTTGGAGAACTGGATGAAGTTTCGATTGCAGTGTCCGATTTGTAGAGAAGACTTGCCTCCTCTTTGATTAAGTACTAGTATATACCTGTTCAATAAACTCAAGTTATAGCGGAATAACACACCCAAGTTAAAGCAAAATACAAATCGCGTAATTGAGAGATTTTGTTGACACAAGAGGCAAATAGACGACGATAATTTGTCTATTAAATCTTTGACTACATAGTACTTGAACTATATAGTAATCTAGTAGCAAACCTATGGTCAATCCTTCATACATGCGTTCATCTCAGCATTTCTATGTGACGGCGTGATGCCATATGCTTTTTCCCGCTCCCTTTAAACTCCTTGTGATAAAACAAAAGGGTAGAAACAATCGCTAGACTCATGCAGATTTGATTCCAACAAGAGATAGAACACAAACAAAAGAAAGGAAAAGTGGAAACTTCCAAAGTAAATATAAATGAGGATTATTGTGCTGCGTAACACAATCATGTCGCATCCATTGTATGTTTCATAAACGCAGATGCAAGAGGAACAAGCCTGCTATTGGCCTGTTGGCTGGCTGGTTGGCTGTTGGCTCACCACGTAATTCGGGTTGTCCTGTGTCGTTGGTCATGCATCCCTTGGCGCGCATCTCGCGAGCCCACCGTCAAGTCGGCAAACCGAGCGCGCAGATCAAAGTCGACAGATTGCACCATGACTCTCTTTTCCTCGGGGATCATGGGCGTCGTCGTCATTTCGCCTGCGCGGACTACTTGAGTCTTGACATCGTCGTGATGGTGATGGCGCGTGTCTGGAAAGGCGTCGGCCTCTTCGAGCTCCATGATCCATTGGCCAATGTTGGCCGCCAGCTCGCTGTCCCACATGCCCTCGCGGCGGGCACTGCTCCTCAGTAGCCGGATGGATTCTCGCCGGACAATGGGATCTCGGCATTTGGTGGCCACGACGAAAAGGGGCGTGACGATGCCGAGGTCTGCGGAGAAGCTGGGCTTGATGTTGGGGGTGTGGGATGTTGTGTGATGGTTGTCGTGGTGTTGCTGGCATCGTTGCGGATCGGGACAGCGGTCAGGGGCTGCTCGCTTCTCGTCATCGCCGACGACTTCCCACCCGAGGCTGACGACCTCTTTGAAATGCGGAAGGAAGTTGTCAAACTGGACCTCGGTCTCGCAGAAAATGGTCAAGAATACGATTTGGGTGTTCATGTGGAACATCTTTAGAGCTGAGATGGCTGATTTCTCCAGGAGGTCTATGCCAGGCTGCAGCCGTGATTGAAAGATGGGTTCGAAAGCCCTGGTCCAGGAATCGATTTGAGCCTGAAACGTCGAGCCCAGCTGTAGCCAGGACGGCGGCAAGGTGTATGTGGGTTCTCTCCTGGCTGCCTGCAGGTGCTCGATGAACCGGAGCAGCATTTCACAGAGCTGGTCGGAAGCGAGGCGTGCTTCTCGCAGAGATGCGAATTTGTGAGGGATGGGACTTGATGGCTGTGGTGAGCCTGAATCTGAAAGAGGAGAGGATGGGTCGTTCAAGCTCTGAGGGCCGAGCTGAATCACATAGGGGTGGGGGAAGTGGAAGGCCATATCATATGATTTGGCCTGGATGGCGAATCGCGTGAAGATGACGAGGAGATCCTCCTCGACCCGTTCGCTCGGATGTGGATTTCGGGCCTGGTCATGCTGAATACGCGCCAGAAGCTGCAAACCGGTCTGGATCTGAACAATGGCCTGCCTGTGGTCACCGATAAAGGAGTCGAAACAGGCCAATAGCACGCTGGCCATCAGCCGGGTCTTATTGGTTGATATCTTGTCCCCGCTGAGAAGCAGCATGGCGTTGCAAGCCTCTGAATACTTCCTGACGGCGACTTGCCAGTGACACATGACAGACTCCATTCGGCTCATGGCACCAGGGAGGGTTGCCACATCAGGCTCGCACGACTGCTCGAGCGTCTTGTACAAGGCGCCGAGAGCCACCACGGCATGCCGGATGGAAGGCTCAAAGTGGCACTCTTGAAGAAGCCGCTGCGTCCAGAAATTCATGTTGAAGTATCCAGACAGCTCCGACGCCGTTTGCACGCGGAAGAGGTCAAAGTAGAGGCTCTCGGTGTGCATCAGGGCCAGGCTATGCGACGGCTCATACAGCAGGGGCATTGGCATCGCGCCGGCCGCGATCTCAGGGTTGTTGGCCTGGCGCTTGCGGCGATTCGCCCTGCGCGGAGGCAGCAGGATCGTATGGCCGGTCAGGAGGAGGCTGGCCGTGGTTGAGGCACCCGCCATGCCCGCCATGCCGCCGCTCGGCGCCGGTTGGAGACGCGGCATGCCGGCCGACGGAGGCGCCAGAGGCTTTGGCGCAATGCGGACGTCGGCGGCGGTAGATCTGGCGGTTCTGCTGGGGGCCGGATAACCAACGCACTCTTTTTTGCTGCGGATGCATTGCGAGCAGGCTGGACGCTTCTCATCACACTTTATGCGTCGTTGTCTGGCGGCGGTTAGTGGTGAGCTCACAGGGTTATGTTCCTGGGCCGGCTCTGCTTCAAGGAGACTTACTTGCAGTTCAAGCATCCGGTCTTGACTTTGGGATTGCTCCGTCGCCCTCGCTTGGCCGGTTTGGCTTCCTCGACATTGCCTTGAGGAGCATCTGCTGGGAATGGAAATGGAGCTGGAGCTGGAGCTGGAGCTGGAGGTAGCTGGGTTTTTCCGTCGCCCTGAGGCAGCGCCGACTTCATGTCTTCAGGATCAGGAGAGCAAGTTGGAGTTGCATCTGGAGTCCGATACGAGCCCTCACCAGACGAGGCCATTGTTAATGAGTTGGGTTCCTGGCCGGGAGCAAACATCAATGACAAGGGGTCGAAGGCCGAAACGTCAAAGCTTGCTTGTGCGAATGCTGCGGCTTCTAGGCACGGGACAGAGCGTCGTAAAAACTCTCCGTAGCCAGTTTCAGAATGAGAGGGAAGAAGAAAAAGAAGAAGCAAAGGAAGGAGAAGAAAGAAAAACAAGAGAGATGAGGAGAGCCCTGGCAATCGCGAGTCTGGATGCTATCTCGAGAACCTAGCTTTGGCGGGAAGCTAACTGACTTATAGCCTCTTCTCTCCGGTCCCCCGTCAGTCTAGCATAACCCGGTCCAGGGCCCTGGACCCAGGTCCTTTTTGGCAACTGACGGCAAGTCATGGAGCAGTCAAGATGCCCGGAGCCACCTGTTAACTAATACAGCACTAGCAGTAGCGAAGCCCGAGTGGAGCTTCAAGTGAGACACCGCTGCTGCATCTGTAAGACTGCATTGTGATGGAACATGGAGCATGGATTTCTCGGCCTGCGGCAGCGGTGCTGTATCTGTACCAGGCCGAGTCTGGAAGAGGACTGGAGACGGTTGACACGGCTTTGCGTAAGCCCGTTGTGGCCGCTGTTGGCTGACCGAGCTGGTTCCGGGAGAAGAGGAAAGAGGAGCAGGCAGATCAGAGCTAGCATCGAGATGAGATAAACGCGGAGTATACTGTACGAGAGTGTACCGGGCATGTCTTGCGGAGAGTACACACGGAATCGCTTATCAGTTCCCATTATTCCGTGCCGCTAGGTACATGTATCTACCTTTTCACATCCAAGACATCACCGTTGGCCCCCCGACATGGTCTATGCCATGAAGCATGAAGACGCCGGCTTTCTCACAGGAGCTGGATCGTGAAGGACTAAATTTCAATAGGACTATGGTACTACTACTGTAGTAGGACTGCATATATGCATGTCGCCCCCAGTTATGCAGGTCCCCCTACAAGGCTGTTGGTAAGATGCAGGAATCCTTCAGAGTTGACAGCTTGGTACACTAACCAACCGTCCCGGTTGACAAGTAAACTACCCAGTACCGCATAGTACTAGCCCGTCACTGCCAAAGGCGGCGTCTGACAACTTCTCTTTGGCGCGGGATTCGCGCGACAGCCGGAGACGGGACATGTGAGCTGCTGTGTGTACATCCATGGCTCCGCGGAGTGCTATGGCGGGAACAGGTACCTGCTCAATGGGTTGCATCGTCGACCCGCGATCCTTGGGGCCGGAGGATGAGGGAAGTCGACGTTGGCGCTTGGCCAGCGAAACACGTTGCTGGGTTTGTTGTTGGCAAGGGCCGTAAACCTGGGAGTCGGGTAAATGATATGTCAAGAATGTCGTCGTGTGCTATGAGCTACCTTGATGTAACTACATGCAGTACAGCTTTGTTGTAGCACTTAGCACCGTTGGATGATTTTATGTTCCTTGTAGAAATCGCTTTTACAGGGACTTCGCGGGTGCGGAGACGAGCGAACTTGACTCAAGTGACATCCCCAACCCTTGCATCGCGGTTTGATTTCTCCTCTTGATGACTTCTTCTATACAAACACACATTGTAACGTTATAGTCCGCAAATGCCTATAGTAGTGCGAGGTCAAAGGGTCTTCATCCCCACTGGATCATGCACTCGCCAAGTCGGGCATGTTAAGCGTAGAGCCAACGCGCGTTTGTTAGCCCCAGCGCGGTTACTTGACTTGAATCTGATCTTTGATCCTCCGAGCACCTCAGTACATGTGCGTGAACTAGACTGACAGGGTTGATCGGGCGGCAGCCTTCCCCTAGCATCATACAGGCATATCCATGTCCACGTGGGCAGAAAATTGAACCAACATCTGCCTGCTATTGGCATTAAAACTGACACTAAATTGCTGCAAGCAGCATGAATTACTACATTTCAGGTAGGTGAGGAATTCTCTTTAGTTTACCTCGCCTATAACGGTGATAGGTGCTGCTGCTGCTGTCGTGTCGTAGTCGCATGAACACGCGTCTTGCATGCATCCCCTCTTACCTGCTTGGACTGTATGATATAGGGAGGGCTCCTGTGTATGAAGAGCTCCATGCTGCATGTCGCCATGTCAGTTGGCAGCTTCTTGCGGTCAGCCAAGATAAGCTGACAGTTTCGGGGTAAATGTCATTTTACCTAATTGACTGGCTCTGCGCCCTGTTGATGGAGCAGTGCAGATGCGTGATGCTCTTTACTCAACATTGAACTCTACTCAACAAAAAATTGGATTAGATGTAGGTAAGTGCCTGTTCTCGCTGCGTTATTCTAATTGGTACATATATGTAGAATAACGGTCCAGCAAAAAGGATTTAGAGCCCCTGCATGCGGCCCGCGCCAACATACTGCCAGCTTTCTCTGCTTAATAGTGGATACAAAGAGGAATGACCCTGCTCAGAATGATTAGATGAGAGATGTTTAGGTCTGCAGTTCTTAAATCATTGTCTAGTAATCGCTGGACCCCAGATCTCGGCAAGTTCCCAGTCTCTTGCTAGGCCCAGTTCATAAAACCAGCAATTACCCAGATGCGTGGCAGACGAGCGATCATTCTCCAGTATCAACAAAGAATTAAACTCATCGTCTGATGCTCGCTGTTACGAAACATTAAACGGTGGACAGAGCGAGCATCGCCGGAGGCGGCCAGCTGAGGTCGCTTGATTGGCCGCATCAATGGTCCGCCCCGCAAAAAAGTTGCGATGATTTGCGCAATCGATTTGAATCTTTCGACTCTCCATCATCCGTCGCTGCAGATCTTTAATTGCGCATTCCATAAGCTGTGCTACGCACTCTATCGAACGAAATCGATGAGAAAAACTACATATTGCATCATCATCTTTCTCATACCCGCATCTCACCATTCTGGCGGTGCATGCGCCCTTGCCGGTCCCTACGATATACCAACCATAGCCATTATATCGAACCATGTCTGAGCAACCTGAAAACCCGCTCCCGCCTCGCAATGAATTCATACACAAGACGGCGCTCGCTGGAGCAATCCTAACCCCTCTAGCCATGCTGCTCCCGCCCAGAAAAGCCGATATCCGATTATTTGTGCTGGTGGGAACGTTTTCGCTCTGCACCAACCAGCTTGCGTACGAATACACAGGACAGTCTGTCTACGGCCGGCTTGGAAGTCGAGTGGGATCAATATTCGATACGGGCTTGCCGGAGGGCGCAAAGAGGACCCAGCAGCTGTTAAGGGAGCAAAAGGAGAGAGAGGCTGCGCATAAGCAAAAGCAGGAAGAGAGTAAAAAGTCTGTGCTCAAGGATATCTGGATGGGCGGCGAAAGCGAGGGTTGGAAAGAGAGGAGAGCGGAAGAGCACAACAAGAGCTTTCAGGAGGGCAAGGGCATGAGCGATATCATCTTTGAGCAGATTGCCGATGTGTTTAGTGGAAACTGGAGAGGGAAGGGAAAGGCGGACGAAGAAGCTTCTTCGTCTGATGACTCGCAGGGAGAAAGGAAGAAATAGATTTGAGAGAGGGAAAGATCTACGATTATGATGATGATGTCGACGATGCGGTATAGCATGTGTCTATGGTTGCTTCGTGTGTATTATATGTACGGGTTATATATTTGTCTGAATATGGGATACATGTATGGAATATGGTCTCAATGACGAGGGATTGTTCAAAACAAAAGGGAAATAACTATTACTTGGAGAGCCGAGGAGCGTCATGGAGTCTCTCATAATGAGCAAGCAAAGGGAAGGTCGGGGTCAGTTCAACTCGGCGTTTTGCTACCCTCTTGCGAACAAAGGATCGCCACACTTGACAAGACAATTTCAAGCAATTTAAGCTTAGAATGACAATCATTGGTACCCAATAGGGTCTACCTACCTAGTAGTTTGTGGAGTCTGCGCAAGTGTCTCTTGACTGAATTGCTCCATAGGTACATGTAGGTAGTTAATACGAGTGTGTTGCTTGCTTGCAACGTCAATAAGCTTTCATGGGGATTTACAGGTTGGCAAATATGTGGGCGGAATAGCTTTCACATGTAAGGTAAGACTGATCTGATAGTGTACGTGTAAGACAAAGGCGTGGAATGAAGAGCATGTCTGGTGTGAAAGTCAGCGTGCGCTGCGCTGGGGCTCTTCAGCATACAAAGAGCTAAAGGTATACGAACTCACACAAGCGGAAACAAACGTCACAAGACAAGACAAAGGTGCTTGAATATTCATCCAGCTCTGTGCTGTGCAGGGGGCAAAATGATAGGCTGGAGGCCCTCCATGCGTCCAAAATAGCAGCATTTTGGGCTCCAGCTATATGCTCATGAGCCTCCGATCGCCCACGGCACAGCCCAGCCCCCCTGGCTCCACCGCGTCAGCGCTCTGGCGCATGCCATGCCGTGGGCACTGACTTTACTGTTGAAAAGAATGGAAGCCCTGGAGTTGGATGTGCGCTGCGTGTTTCATCGCTGAGCCAGGCTGGCTGGGCGGTGCATGCAGCCACCCTTTGCTGGAGCTCGTATTTCACAGCTGTCTGCAACGCTGCATCTCTTTCTTGCAAGGCAGCGTTTTTGCGTCTCTCTTGTTTGCCTTCACCATCGCCTCGGTTCTCAGTTTCAGCCTGCCAAGCCGCGTCCATGTCTTTTGACGTCCCCCGCTGAGCTCCCGAGGCCTGAAACACCGGCATCCCAGCCCTGTGCCAAAGTGCCAAACAAAACTGACGAGTCCGGTCTGGTGGCAATTTGGCGATCTATTGCTGCACGAGCACAGACCTGCATCTCCGTATCCATATTAAACCACGCGGCGAGCTTGGCTTGGCAACCGGTACGAATCACACACAGCCTCGACTTGCTGCAATGCTTGGCTTTTTGATCGTATCCACTACGTAATCGCCCGTGTGCCAACCTTAACCACGACCGAGACATCGGTGCTATTTCACTTTTCTCTCCTCCATACCTTTCATACCTTTCGAACCTAGAAGAAGGCAGCTTCTGTTCTCCTCACGATACACCGATTCCCTGGAGATAGAAGGCGTTCGCTCATTACTGAAGCCGGCCCTTGATTTTGGCTTTTACCTTAATCTATCCCTCCTTAATCTCCTCTGTGCGTGGCGTTAGAGCCCGCGGGACAGCCCGTTCGCCATGGCAGCAAACAACTACTACTATGGCGACAACCATCAGCCTCAAAGCCACCAAACTCCCCCTTACTACGATCACACGCACGCGCCCTCCGCAGACTCGGACCTCCCGCAGGCGTACAACCCAGGCTACTCGGATCCTCATTACGGGAGCCCATACGGCGCTCCTGCAAACCACCAGGGCCAGACAGGTGCGTCGCCGTTTGATACCGTATTCGACGATCACGCATACCCAACGAACTCGAATCCAGGCCCGGGTGCGAGCGGCAGCGACATCTCCCAGCAAGGCTTCTACCACCAAGATACGAGCTACTATGGATCGAGGACGGAGAATATTCCGTTGCAAGACCACACGAGCAAATCCCCTGACATCAACGACCACATCTACGACGCGCCGGCCGAACAGTCAAATCAGAGGCGGGATAAGAGAGGCAAGGTTCGGGTTGGGGAGCTGGGCATGCTAGGCTCCAACAAGAAGCGCATCCCGTGGCTGGTTTACATCTTCTCGTTGGCGCAAGCTGCTGTTTTCATTGCCGAAGTGGTGCGCAATGGTAAGGGCAACACTCTTGATTCCGGAAATATAAAAAGCTTACGACTCTAACAATGTTGATTTTGATAGGTATATTGACGGGCTCTCCTATTATGATTAAGCCCCAGTTCAACCCCATGATCGGGCCATCGACGCAGGTTCTCATCAACATGGGCGCTCGATATGTGCCCTGCATGCACAACATCAAGGAAATTCAAGGCTCCACCATTGAGGTGCAGTTTCTTTGTCCCAACGCCACAAAGAGCACGCAATTCTGCCCCCTTTCGGAACTGTGTGGCTTCAGCGGCGATGTCCCCAACCCCAAGTTTGACGGCAACGCGAACCAATCGCCTGCTCCCAACCAGTGGTTCCGCTTCATCATTCCTATTTTCATGCATGCCGGACTTATCCACATCGGCTTCAATCTGCTTATGCAGCTCACCATCGGCAAAGAGATGGAAATTGCAATCGGCTCGATTCGATTTTTCCTCGTCTACATGAGCGCTGGCATCTTCGGTTTCGTCATGGGAGGAAACTACGCTGCCCCTGGTATAGCCTCCACAGGAGCTTCAGGCTCTCTGTTTGGAATCATTGCTCTTACTTTGATCGATCTGTTGTACTCGTGGAAGGACCGCCGAAGCCCCGTCAAAGACCTGTTGTTTATCATAATTGACATGGTCATCTCTTTCGTGCTTGGTCTGTTGCCTGGCTTGGACAACTTTTCCCACATTGGAGGATTCTTGATGGGTCTTGTCTTGGGTATCTGCCTTCTCCATTCTCCCAACTCGTTGCGACGTAGAATTGGTCCAGACCCCTTTTATTCGGCGGTGCCCGGGGCACAAGATCCGGATACTGTTCCCTTTTACAAAAACCCCGTTGGATTCTTCAAGGGAAGGAAGCCGTTGTGGTGGGCCTGGTGGCTCGTCCGAGCAGCCGCTCTCGTGGCCGTTATCGTTGTCTTTGTCGTTTTGATACACAACTTTTACAAGGTGGGAACCACTTGCAGTTGGTGCAAGTATCTTAGTTGTCTCGTGAGTTGTCCCTCATTGTCCTTTTGCTAATGCATGAGTATAAAGCTGACTTGTCTTAGCCTGTTAATGGTTGGTGCGATCTCGGAACCATCCAGGTACAATAAGAGATGGGGATCGATGTACGAAGTGAAAAGAGACCAGGGAAGAATACCGACATCTATAGTTATTAAGTAGGCAAAAAAAAGGGAAGACATCAATTGGCGAGGGGATTATTTACATCTTATACAGCGCTGGCGTTCAGGGGGCGAGGGAGAGATCACGGTTACAAGCAAGACAAAGACATTGGGGGTTAGATGATGGCACCATGGCATGTGCAACAAGCCTGCTTGCTGCCTTGCGGTTTGTATATAGAAACTTACTGTATCGTTTAGGTTAAACAGCTTCTATGGCAATTAGAAAGAAGTTGAACGGTGGAAAGCGTTGTTACCTGCCATTTGTTCTTTCAAAGAACAATAAACTTGTATGGTTTGAAGTGATGAAAATGCATCTGGCCACTTTTGCGTCACATCTCGGCAGACCATGCAACATGAAAGGCAGTTGTTTGCCCGCGCAGATTCCAAGTCACGCGACCTGTCACCTAACAAGCTTGCCAAGCTGCCTGATGTTGCGTCAACAGCTGGGGCGCGGCTAAATGCTCTACTTGTGATTCTTTGCCCGCTCTGCCTCTCTTTTCTCTCTCTTCTCTTCTTCTTTGTGCCTCGTAGTTTGCTCTGTTGATATGCTGATCCTCGCACAAGCGAACACTACTCGAATGAAATGAACGATGGGCTCTAGCTCAGGAATCACATAGCCGTGATATGACGGCACCAGGGATTTTATGATTTGAATTAAGGAAACAATCGCGATGCACTAGGTAAGAAAAGAAGTGGCACTTTAGCCACTTTCCTCGCTGCTATTTCATGATGAATGTTCTTCAAATGCATGGCTTAACTGAGTGATCCCGCAAGGAACATGTGTTGAGTAACAGAAATACATCTCTGATACGGCGGCTTGCTTTCTTTCTTTTTCTTAGCACTTCTGCCAGCTTCTATCAGATAATACTTGCCAATTGAGAATATAGGAAACGTGCAGATGAGGTCAACTTGTTGGCAGTGTGCCGCTCTAGTATTGCAGCATTGCCTCGATTTCTAAACCCTAAAACTACCTTCTTGCCCGCCCATGTGTCATCTGTAACGAATCACAGATTCTATAACTCTAGTCTCCCCTTATGATCTGTCGAGTATTTGCCTAGTAGTAGATACCTGGGATGGTCATACCTCGTAGTTTTGGAGTGCATGCTGCTCTGCACCGTAGATGAGGGGCTGCTGAAGATCTCCAGGTTTCTCAGCTGTGACTCCAGCTTTCTAGACTAGCTGTAGTATCCTACTATAATCATGCGATCTCATTGATCAACCAACTTATAATAGAGATTACAGTGTTTCTATCAAAGGCCATAGACCAAATCTAGCTGTGGTGGCGTTCTTTGTGTAGAATCTCTGCGCCCAAGTAGGGAAAAAGCTGATTCCTGTTCCTGGAGGGAGTTTAGTGGCGGGAGCCCCCGGAGAGCTGCTTAGTGGAATGCAGTGGCGAGAGCAACGCCAACTCACGTGCAAAACCCATTAAACAACAGGTGGGACTGTCACGTCACGGTCCAGCGGCGCGTATGTGCCGGCATCTGGAAATATTACCGTGTCGGCCGTGCAGCGGGAAATCCCACCTTTCTTTTCAACAACCGACAATTCGCTTCACAGAGATCTGGGACCTGTCTCATGACGAGAATTAGCTGGCCCCGATCTTGCTTGACACGCAATTTCTAGAGAAAGTACAGCGGAAAGAAGATCACCATGGCTCCTACGGCTGTTCCCCAGAAGCGAGTGCTGGGCGAGTCCCGCGACGGCCAGAATATATCGTCGCCATCGAACATCAAGAAACGAAAGACCGATGTGGATGAACCCGTACCGACACCTCGCTTCCTCAGCTCACAGAAACCTGCCGGAGCCAAGCTGGGAGCTGGCCAGCCCAAGAGCGCATTCGAATCCGAAGTTCTCGAGAAGCTCAGCCAAGACATATCAGAACGCAAGCAGAACAATACAGAAAAGGACCAGGCATGGGACCGGCCGCCGGTGACGGATTTTGTCCCCTCTCGAGACAGCCTCACCTTCCAGTCCATCGAGGCCGAGGAAGGCACCCTGAATGGCGGCAAGGTCACCGTGAAACTGTTCGGCGTGACGATGGAGGGGCACTCCGTCATGCTGCATGTCACCGACTTCAAGCACTACCTTTACGTGGCTGCGCCAATGTCCTTTCAGCCAAAGGACTGCGCTCTGTTCAAGGCATACCTCGAGACGCAGGTCGCTCAGCACCAGCCTGCGATCCACTCGGTCAGCTTGGCCATGAGAGAAGACATCTATCATTACCAGGGCAACGTGCAGAGTCCCTATCTCAAAATCACAGTGACGGACCCCAAATTTATAAATTCGGTGCGATCAACAATAGAGAAGGGCTTTGCCAATTGGAAAGGCATGTGGGGAGTTTTGGACGGTGGTCTGCGGACGTA